TTACTTATTGCAAGCATTCTTTGTAATTTAATCAAGCATCAAAAACAATCATCAACATTCAGTAGGGATTAGTGTGTAACCGGGGTAGTGTGTCGGTACCGGACCGACTAAAACCACACTCCAAACACCACATCCCTCCTATTGCAGGCGCAGCTGCAATAGGAGGGATCCGTGAACTGCTGTTATTAAGACATCCAGACCCCTTCTAGCGCCTGCCCGCAATACCTGCTTGAGACGTCTGGCACACGCGGAAGTCGCCTTCTCGCGGCTGGCCGTTATGGCGGGTGGAAAGGAAAACCCGTCCTGTCCACCCATCTAACCCAACCTTACCCACATGATTCACCAACAGTAGAGGGGATCTGGCACCCGGCGGCTGCTATCGCGGCACGCTCGCTACTCTCCCTCGCCTTCGCGCTTTAATAGTCACAGTTCAAACCTAACCTAACTTAAGGAATTCAATAACAGTAGATGGTACCCGACGCAGGTAAATATAAAAAGAAGAAGAAAACACAAAATGTTTGATCAATACACAAATATTAATAACAACGTAGACGTTTTTAAATTACATTAAACGTTATAGATTTTGAATTCTAATTATAGCAGTTTATTTATACGAAGTATTGAAAATCGGATTGTCGTTTTTCGGACCGAGAACCCATCGAGCATTTGATTCTTCGAGCGTATGAAAATCGCAAAACAAACAAATCGCATTTACAACTTTCGGTAAAACATAATTCGTGAATTTTAAAAATAGACGTTATAATTGTTAGGAATTATGAAATTCAGACTTTTGAAAATCAGAACATCGAAATTTTATATTTGAGTGTTCCCCTTCTTAGAACATTTTCAATTTCAGCAACAGAACAAATCTAGAACTATGTTTTAAAAGTACCTATCACCTACTTCTCTGCAGAATTGTAATAAACTGTTTTCTTATTTCTTTAATTTTCCACCCTTAGAGATTAATTTTCTTCAAATTCGAACGGGACCAATAGAAACCAACAGTTTATCCAGCCAGCGTGTAGTCTAAGGAGAGACCTACGTCCAGTAGTGAACTGTTAAAGGCTATTGATGTGATGTGATGTGTGATCACAATTGTATTAATTTAAATAGATCCTCCGTCCCTTTTACTTCCAATAAACGTATATCCTATGCACACTATATGAATTTATATGACTATTGGAAGTATAAAATATATATGATATGTAATATTTGTAGTAATTATTTAATTTTCAATAGTTTTTTTATGTTAGAGGGGGCAGAAGAGCACAGAACGTCTGCAACTCAGGAGTCACAAACGCGTTGCTGGCCTTTTAGAAGGAGTACTCTTTTCTTGAAGGTTTGAAGGTCGTACCGGTCTGGAAATACCGCAGACGATAACCCGTTCCACAAATAGGTTGTGCGGGGCAAAAAGTGTGTGTTTATACGTATATGGGTAATATACGTATAAACCATTAAAAAAAAAATTATAGTTTTAAAAAACTAAAAAACACGCTTTCTATAGAAAACCAAACTAAAAAATAGAAAATAAATTTGAAAAAAGCGTTGGGTGCCTGTTGTCAATAGTAAAAAGCACCCAACGCTTTTTTTCAAATTTATTTTCTATTTTTTAGTTTGGTTTTCTATAGAAAGCGTGTTTTTTAGTTTTTTAAAACTATAATTTTTTTTTTAAAACTATATTTTTTTTCATATTTTTTTTTATATTAGTGTATTGTCATCGGTCCTCGATATATCTACAAAGTTTAAACGAATTCTGACCGTTTAAAGTCAGTCAAAATTACGCCCAAAGGAGTCGGTTACATACAAACAAACATACAGGTGAAGCTAATAAAAGCGTGTTAAAAATAAAATAATCACGCTATATTTAAATACTTGTCACAATGTCGTTTGCATGATATAGAAATTTACAGCATTGCCTACATTTATTTCTGCATTAAAACAATGACGCAGGCATTAATTATATAGGTTATTACCTACATACGGGAATTAACAAATCCATAAGAGAATATTTGCAGTACGTAGTTGTACTGGACTATGGATAATGTGATCGCGTTTATTCCACATAGTACGAATATATTTAACGTTTCATGGAAATTAATAAAGTATTATGTGGAAAATATACATATTTATTGTATTGGATGTACAAATAAACGGAACACTCATTTAAATCGTTGAAATGACGCTACTCTAGTTTGCATGTGCAAAAAGTAATAATTTAAAAGACTGATTTGAAAAGTTATGACCGTTTCAATTTTGAGATATTATCAGCTCCGATTCTCATAATAGCAGAGGGCCGAGTGCGAGTTTATTTCATATCGACTCGCTCTCGACGGCGAGCGCGTTCAGCGTTGCGATTGGTGGAGATGTCAGTGCGGACCAATCGTAGCGCCGAAAGCGGTCGCCGTAACGATCGAGTAGAAATAAAATAAACTCGCACTGGTACGTGTACGATGAAGATTTTAAATCAAACCAAACATGTTTCTATCAATTGGAATTATTCAATCCATTATTTAGAAAATCTATAAAGTTCAAAAATTATGAAATGTTTTTAAATAACTTATATGCAGTATATACGTAGATTAATCAGTAGTCTAGTTACAATAGCTCAGGCTCTTCCTGGTCTTACATCAGGTGGCCTTATAAGGTGTCTTAACATATTGTTATTATTTTAATTATTATTATTTCCCTTACAAAGTCCTCTGTTTAATGCGTCAATATTTTTATACCTAATCAAATTGTCTTGATACATATATGTTCAGTGAAGCGCATTTACAAGGCCCCCATATACCCACAAAGTCTTTTCAAACTAGAAGTGTTAAGTAAAATTAAATGTGGAATTAATAATGTGGATTCATTAGTTTATACATAGACCATCTTTTGGTACAGGAACAATCAAATGATTTCTGCATATTGTACTTTTTTGTAGGTATAAATACATTTATACTATTAATACATAGCGTAAGAGTTTGTTTGTATGGTTGAACACGCTAATCTCAGAAACTACTGGTTCGAATTGAAGATTTTTTTTAGTGTTGGACAGACAATTTATCTTGGAACGCTAAAAGCTATATAACATCACGCTATCACAAAAGGAGTAGAGCATTAATGAGAAATGTTGCAAAAAATATTATAAAATAGTTTAAAACTCATTTAACTCGTATATAAAAGTTATTAGGGTAAAAGATAGGAAAGAGTACTATAAATCTTGAAACAAACCCTATACCAAACCGTCTGGCCAGCGTGGTATAGTAGACCAAAACCTCCTTTCTAAGGAGAGGCCGATGTCCAGTAGTTGACAATTAAAGGCTGTTGATAAAGATGGAACAAAAATGTTTACTATATAGGTAAAGGTTTGAAATCTACTGAGCGCAAATGACATAATATCATTGGAACTTTATAGACGGCATGTATGTAATGCTGAGGTCTCAAACTTGTCACAGCCTGTATACCGACCACATGAACCAACTTAGACGAAGCTACACCAGAATACTAACATGGCAGCCCTTTGTTCATAATCTTAAGTTATAAAACTTTGTAAAATTTTCTGTGTGTATTTAGTTGATTGTAAATATCAACACTTTGATTGAATTGAAATTGAGTTTTTTATGTTGTGCAAGCCCAAGCTTATTAACACATCGGAGATACCAGCGAAATTTCGAAATCATACCAACTAAAACCACACGTGGGAAACCCAAGCTTCGGCACATAGCACTTAAGTTCGACAGGAGTGTATCAAACCTCACAGAAAACCGGTGTTTAGACGATTGTCATTTTACTCTCCGCCGACTTGTGCATCTTCTGCGGTATGATAAAGGATTAAGGTCAGACCGCATTATATAATATTATTTATACAGTTGCCTCCGCGAGAATATTTGATAATAATGACAATCTGCTAAACGCAGCGCTGCTTTAATGCGACATACACTATACAAAATGACTAAAATAATATTTTGTCGAGTCGTGCCGCGCCGTGCAGTGACGCCGCTCAAACGCGTTCCGTTCCCACCGTCATTTTTTTACTTTTGCTTTATAAGAATAAGCAAGGTTTTACTACTGTTCGTTGTTGAGACGCGTAAAAAAAAAAGCTTGTACTCTATCTTTTGATGTAGTCTCACAATGTGAATGCAAAACTTCGTGACGAACGGTTGAGTCATTTCGGCCTAAAAACATAACAAACAAACTGACATTCTCATTTCTAACATTAATTAACAAGTCATTACTGAATAAAAATTACCGTCAATCCATAACTCAACTTCTTAAGGTGTTTACTGCAGATTGGCTTTTATTATTATGGCTCTTGGTGCGACAATTTCCTTGTAGCTTTTTCTTTAAATCAGTCTGACTAACTACTGCAGTTAAGCTACTAATTTTTACTACCTAATATTTCAACAACTACACTTACTAACCATACACGATATGTAATTTAGTCATATCCTTATAACAGAACAAGTCTTAATAAAACACAACAGTTACGTTAGATTAAAATGAGAGAAATAGAACAAAGAACATTAGTTTATAAGAGAGAGAGCACAGTTGACAATCTTTCTTCAACTTATAGGAATATACCTTAACTGCATTAAGATGAATTAATCATAATATTAATAATTATAAAATTACTTTTCTACATTATGAAATAAGTAAACTTTTTTGACATAAAGTTTCAAATCTGAGAAGTAATAGCAAATAAAACTAAATCTCACCAAGAGCAAAAAACGTTCAAAGAACAGAAGGGGAATTCCCCTAAATAATGTAGTTAATATATCAATGTATAACAGATAGTTTGTATATCATTTCAACATTTGTCTTCTTGGCGTAACTGGTCATCAAACTCATCCAAAAAACCCTAACGATCTCAAATTATTTTTGTTCTTTTTTTATGAATATATTATAAGTAGTTTATAAGAGCAGATTAACATCATAGCCATACCAACCGTCGGCCAGTAGTAACATGTCTCAAGACCGAGTCCAGTACTTATTCGCGCTGTGATATTTAATTCAAAATGCTTTGTGTAACAGTGCTGTCAGTTTTGTTCATAGTTAACGGTTTGGTTACAGGACGTAAGTTTAATTTCTCTTATTACACAAAATTACTTAATAACCAAGCTAATGTCTTGATAGGGATTGAAAATACCTTTGAGATTGTAACAAAGTCTTGACGATTGTCTTGGTAAAATACCTTGACGACATCTTGAGCATATCCTGCAAAATAAAGTTTGAATGGTTTACAAATGAATTATGAACTTCGTACTAAATTAAAAATAAACCTAAACGATTAAGAGTGATAGATATATCAAAGTATAACCAATGATAGATATTTAAAATTCCTATACGTTTTTCTTTTCCCAATTAGTCATTATATCATTATTATTATAGACTGCACGGATGGCGTAGTGGTTTAAGCGGTCGCCACGCCGCTTCTCACTACGCTCAGTGTTGTGTGTTCGATCCCCACATGGGACGACACTTTGTGTGATCCAAAAATTGTTGTTCTGAGTCTGGGTGTTCTTTGTGTTCATTTCATGTATGTTTGTAAAGTCTCACGCGACACAGGATACATTCCGAATGCGGGAGCTGTCTTTAACAAAAAAAAATCATGTGGAAAAGATTATATTCCCAAAGAACGTTGGCGTAAGACACACTGCGACGATTAAATAAAACACTTTGCAATATTGTACATCGTGTCGTTTGTGGTTGCCCAAATAAAAAAGGAATAAAGAAAGATAAAGACGATGCTGATAATATAAGATTTCTATGATACCATAAACAAAATTTATAAAATAACTTACTTGAAACATATCGGTGACCGGATGGCGTAGTGGTTTGTGTAACAGACTGCTATTCCAAAGGGTTCGATTCCCGCTCAAGTCAAACATTTTCGTGCATTAACATTTAATGTTTGATTTGGGGGTGTTTCTATGTATAATATGTATTTACAAAAAAAGTATGGATTTATTTATATCAGTTGTCTAGTACCTATAGTACAAGCTCTGCTTAGTTTGGGACTAGATGGCGTTGTGTGAATGTGGTAGAATATTATTATACTTAAGTTAAATTGTTTCAGTGGTATTATTTCACAACTTTATAATTTGAAATCGATGTGAAACAAAATAGTTTTTTTTATAAAAACACACCTGTTTACTTCAATTGGTGATTTTTTATATCTTACAGATTATATTTACTCTCAAAATAAAAAACGATGTGCTTCATAAATTACTGATTTGATCAAAATGTAGTAAGGGTTATTGCATGAGCCTCAGCTTCATTTTCCCTTTCCCAAAACTTATAATCATTTCGGAAACTAAATCGAGAAATTAATTCATTAACTTCAAAAATTAATGATAATGTATGCCCGCGGCCTCATCGCCTTATATGTCGGTTTTCAATGTAGTAAAATGTAGGCTATGTCCTTCTTCAAGAATCAAAGTATATCCATGCCAAATTTTAATAAAATCGGTTCACCCTTGAAAGGGTAACAGACAGACATAGTTACTTGGATATTTCTAATATTTTCCCCCCTTAAGGGCTGATTTCGGGGATATAAAATATACTATAACCATCCTTACTACTTCAAACTATCTCCATATCAAACTTCATCTACATCGGTTTAGCGGTTATTGATTGTCCATACAAACTTCCACCATCCTTTTCACCCCTTTAAAGGATGATTTCTGGAATAAAAGCTATCATATATCCTTGCCCGGGACTCGAACTTTTTCTATACCGAACTTCATCTAAATCGATTCAGCGGTTTAAGCGTGAAGAGGTAACAGACAGACAGACATACTCATATTTTTAATATTAACATGGGTTCCTTAATTTTCCACCCTTACGGTGGTATTTTTTCAACACAATTTAATGTTAGTTAATTTTAGTGTTGGCTAACTTGTTTTTAGGCTAAAACAATACCTATTGTCTCGCTTGGGAATATTTTGGTAGGTATTCTCGTATACTATGTAGGTATAATAATAAGTGGCATATATATGTAGGGGTTATTATATAGGCAACGAGGCAACGCACACTTTGGTCGCATCGGTTATAAAAAGCCATTTCAGTCGAGTAGAGTCGAGAGTGTAAGAATTAGGTACCACCTTTCATTTATCAAAAACACCTAAATAATAATAGGTATAATAAGAGAAGGAAGCATTTCTGAAAATCCAATAAAAATACTACAACAATTATTCTTGCCATAAAATAAATTATCCAATACATACAACACTCATGTCTTGACTATCAAAATCAATAAACTTAGATCAAAAAGCTTGCTTACTATCTATCTTACTTCATCATTATAATCATCAACAGCCTTTAATAGTCCACTGCTGGACATAGACCTCTTCTTAGCTCTGGAGAGAGGTTCTGGGCTACTATAGCTCGCTGGCCAGACGGTTTTTATATAGGGTTTGTGTCAAGTTTTTATTCTCTTTGCAATGCTGTTTTCCTGCGTAGTTTGATCCCCACGGGATGAGTAAGGGTGGTGACACTCCGTGTTCTTAATCTAATATATACTAATAACTTACTACACTATCGTACTTAATAAAGTTTCATCATTTCTTCATTCTTTTTAGAAACTACAATGATTGTCTTGTTGTTATTGCCAAATTTAACAAAAAAATTATGTAAAAAAAACCGCTGTTAAAATTTTTGCTCACTTGATATAGCACATCGTTATTGTACAAACATAACATAAACAGCGCTTTATATTCATACTTGATTGTATGCATAAACAAAACTTATGATGTGTATTCGTTAAAAGCAAACAAAAAATTAAATAATATAATTGAAGTCCAACACGGAAACCAAAATTATGGACTAAAACAATGAATCATGCATAATTAAACTTAACAAAAAAAAAATGGATAAATTACAATTTTACACGTAAAAATTTGACATTTTGACATTTGGACTGATCTTAGAATAGTTTATATTTCTAACTAGCTGACCCGCGCACCTTCGTCTGCGTCTCTCAATAGTAATAAATTTTCTCCGTTTTTGAAACATTCTTCATTGGTGCTACGCTCCTATTAGTCTTAGCGTGATGATATATAGCCTATAGCCTTCCTCGATAAATGGGCTATCTAACACTGAAATTATTTTTCAAATCGGACCAGTAGTTCCTGAGATTAGCGCGTTCAAACAAACAAACAAACAAACAAACTCTTCAGCTTTATAATATTAGTATAGATAACAATAAATAGATACAATCCTGTACTAAAGAACAATGGCAGAAACATATTTACCTAAAACTTAAGCGTTTAAAAAATCGAGTCACAGTAAACTTAATCAATTTTTTTTCTATGATTTATCATTAAACCACCATGTGTTGTATAAGTCTTATAAGAGATAAGATATTTTTGAAGATTTTATTTGACCTAAGTAGGTAATGTCAGATTCGCCATCACGTATAAGTATAACTGACTAGGGATGCGTGGTGGCAATATTATATTATGGAACAATTTATCGATAATCGATTCTTATAGCTTTGGCTGAAATATTTACCGAAGGTTCACTATTATGATTATGAATTTGCTTCTGCCCACGTCTTCACTCGTACGGTAGAGTGACTGAATCAACATAATTAGAAATGATTTAAAATATTTTTGACTCTCTTTAAACGATTTTAAACACACTAAAGAAATAGAATATAGTTACGTTATTTTCCACTACACAGTGTGATGAGAAAAATACATTGTCATTGATAACGGCACATAAATAGACATACATCGATATTTTCAAAATGTCGATACGTCGTCGTTTATTTAGTACATATCTCTTAATCTGTAGTTTAGATCCTGTCAAGTTCCGGACTCACCACGTTTGTTACTTTATTTTTGTTTAATTTAGTGTTAAACTCGAATAGATGTTATGCTTTAATTTTTTTTATTTCATATACCTACTGTATAATAATGTAATAATAATGAAAATAATATTTTCGGCTATCTGACACACAACGCCATCTAGTTTCAAACAAAACATTAACAATATGTTAGTACTTAACCTCGAAACATTCAAAATCCAATATCTTTTTTCCTAGACTTCTTTCGCAAGTAATTTTGATATGAGAATGGTCAAGAATAAATTCTCAAGTGTTAAGGATTTTTTGATATTTAAACGCTAACATTTCAGTTCAAATAAAATTATGTATGGGGACCTGCCATTGTCCTTTATAAATTTAGTACAGGTTTATATTTATTGGCAACAGTTTTTTGTGTATAAAAGATGAAGTATTGCAGTAATGGTTTAAATGTTTAAGAAACTTAAAGTATTGCAAAACGTAAAAACAACTTCTAATCACTGCCCATTCGCACCATTTCATTAAACCTATTAAGAAAGGAACAAAATTAGATTCAAAATTACTGGTATTATATATACTAGCCTACAGAAGTATTATAAAACTGAAGAGTTTGTTTGGTTAAACGCGCTAATTTCAGGAGCTACTGTTTCGAATTGAAAAATACTTTGATTGTTGGATGGCCAATCAGACACTTAAATTTTTCAATTCGAACCAACCCTTCCTCGATAAATGGGATCTGTAACATCACGGTATGACCAATATGGTCCAAAGTGGTTCATTGGTTTGACGTCAAAAATTTGCTGTTTAATGAACAAAAAACTAAATGTATACGTTTTACTCTGCACAATCTCAAGCTAGTGAAAACTACTGTGATGATTAAGGATGTCGAGTTGGACCTTGGATATTAAGACACTTTTCGGTATAACACTAGACTCTAAGCTACAGTTGGGCCCACACATTGATAAATTATCGAGTTGACTCAGCTCAGTAGCATACGCAGTAGGAAAAATTCCTTTTGAAAGTCGCAGATAAAGTCGCACGGGTCAGTTAGTCCATCACATTATAAGCAGCAAGAAGTTGAAATTATATCAGTGGCTATAAGTTTTTGCATAAATATTATCCGTTATGTTATTATCGTTTTTTTCTGCTTCGATGTGGGAATTCTAAGATACAAGTTTTTCCTGTTCAACTGTTAGAGATGTGTCAGGGTCTAAGTTATTTATGATTATAATATTATGTGTGATAAAAACTTGCTTTAAGGAAAATAAAACACAGTAATAATAATTAAAACGCACTAGACTTGAACCAGATGTACGTTTTATCAGAGTCTGGAATGTTCTAAAGTATTGTAAAACCAGCCTACCTATTAGTTAGTAGGTATAGCTAACTGTTGTTATATCAAATAACCTACACTCCAGAGCAATAAATCCACGTCACATAAGATCCCTGAAAATGTAGGAAACTAAGAATTATTGATGAACTAAATTTTCCCCAAATAGGTTATTACACTGCAAACTTAAGCCATGCTAGCCATGTCAGTCTATGGTTGGGTGACCATTGAGACCCCTTCGTGCCTCGGAGAGCACTAAAGTCCCAGTTGCCATACGAACATATGTGACAATCGTACAGGATAGTTGGAGTCCTCAAAAGTTCTACTAAACTACTAAAAGAACTTCGATATTGCCTAATACTTGGGTTTGAAGATCTGACGGCAGACGCAGTGTCGTAGTAAACTGATAGCGGACCCCAACCTAGTTGGGGAAAAGGATTGGAGGAGGATGACAAACCATGGCCGGTAGCGACAGTTGTTTTACCGCGGTCGCAACCTTCTGCGAGGAAGTAATCTCGCAGAAGGAGGCGGCGGAGAAGGCCCGGGAGGACGACCTCCACTCGGACCCGATCCGCCGCCGGCGAACCGAGCGGGGGAGGCGCGCTCACCTACGCCTCATGCCGCCCTGAGTGTGGCCGCGGGTGGACGGGGTGGTTTCCCCTCCACCCGCATTAGTTTGGCCAGCCGCGAGGGGGCGGCGTCCGCGTGTGCCGGACGTCGCCTAAATAGAGAGTTTACCGAAGGTGGTGCCAGCGCCGTTGCGGGCAGGCGCTAGGAGGGGTCCGGATGTCTTAATAACAGCTGTTCCCGGATCCCTCCTATTACAGGCGCAGAGTGGCACACCGTGTGGTTTTAGTCGGTCCGAGTCCGACACACCACCCCGCCGCAAATCAAGGTGGGGTGACGGTCCGAGGGGATTTCCACACGTAAAAAAAAAAAAAAGGATGACAAGCCAATCGCTATATCGCTTGCTGTATATCTTGCTTACACTATGTTGAGGACAAATCTCGCTCATCCCAAGCTCAATCGGTTGTAGGTCCTGACTGCCTACTAGTCCCATGCGGTTAATATTCACCTCTTAAAGGATGGAGCCGGATTCTTTGCTTTTCAGTTCAAAAAGTTTTTGTTAGGTCTAAGAGTAGTTCTAGATAACAGGAGTTATATTAATATGCTTTTAACATTGCTTACAGAGGAAGGGAAGTGCACAACGTCGGAAGGAAGGTCGGGACGATGCAAATCAATCTTTAATTGTGAGCAGATGCTAGAAATAGCTAAGAAACGAAATAAAGACGCGCAAGATTTGCTAAGACAATCACATTGCGGGTTTTTAGGAACAACACCTAAAGTAAGTGAGACATTAGAAATTATAGAACACGAATGCAAAATACAACTAGGTTTTAAAATTCTCAATCACTTGAAGAGTGATTTTACCTCATAAACCTATATTATATAACTTCAGACAAATTTGTCGTATACGGAGCTCGAGGCAGCAGTTATTCCGAGTCTTTAAACCTTTGAAAATAGTAAAAATAAATAAAGAATTGAATGAAATCCCTTCCTAGGTCTGCTGTCCAGAACAAGACCCACAACCAACTGATCCACGGTCACCAAAAAATCAATGTTATACGCCAGACTTTAAGATTGGCCAGTGTGTTGGTGTGTACTCCTGCCCACATCTTGCTACTCTGCTAAAAGAACCTGTTTCAGAACAAAACCTGCAACATGTAAATCGTTTTAGGTAAATTGAAATAATTTTTATATACTTATTAAAGAACTATGTAAACTTAAAATTTCTTCAAATGATGTGTTTATTGTATACCTGGTCAAATGTAGGCCTAGCTGAAGATCTAAAGACCTGTATCGATTACGCGTGGTAACTCCTGAAAGTTTGACTCGCGCAGCGATAATATGTAATGACTATCAGGTTGCTGCATGTTTAAATTTAACTACTGCAAGTCGTCCTGGGGCCTACCACTTTCTATTACTTTTTAGGAACAAGACATAAGCGTTTAACAAAATATCTGAAAAAATCAAAACCTTATAAAATCTTTAGACTTTTAAATGGAAGTGTTGAATCTTGTATCTATTCTATTTTTTTTTCTATTTATTAACTACAACAACCTTGGGTCCGTGTCCGTGTAGAAATAGGGTGGCAGCCTGATCGCATCAAGACGTGATCGGACCATAAGGTAGTTATAAGACCGATTAGCGGGGAAATCTTACGGCTTAACACATTGCCCAGCCCCTTCCACCGGTTCCAAAAACCATACCGGTTGGGTTAGTTTTCAGTAGAAACACCACATACTAGTGGATCCTTCACAGTCACCAAAGCGCTAGAGATCCGAAAGCATTTTCTACTCTGTCAAGAAAACAAAAAAGATCCATATCCACAGACACGAATCCAATACTTGCGTGTGCATTCATGGTATATATTTTTAGCGATCAAGGACATCACTACTTGCGATTACAGGTCCCACTAGCGATCTTCTATAGGGACACCTACTGCTACGTTAATACCTAAAATATATTGAAAGTTACTGCTTTCAGATGCAATGGTCCTGTTCAAAACAGTGTATGTTGCGAATTAGATACGACCAGTGGGAATAAACCAAAAGATAAATGCAAAGCTTCGGTGTCTGCGTTGCCGCCTGATCCAACATCCCAATGCTGTGGTCTTGATGCTAGTGCTGGCAATAAGATATATGGTTAGTGTATACGTTCAATCACTGTAAAATCACATGATTTTTAGTTGTTTTGATGTTTTCTTTAAACTGCAATTCAAGACAGACACAGTTAAGAACACCGCTTTCTGTTTTCCCTTCAGCTTCTTTCATCTTCTAGTAACACAAAATTGGCCCGTCTTCCTACTTTAACAATGTTCTTTTATATGTAACCGCACTCTCCTTGATGGTTTAATTAATATATATAATAATATATTTTACTATATTTACAGTATATTTACAATATAGTTATAGTAGGCAGTAACAATTAGCAATAATCTAATTTTGTTTGGAACAAAATCGGTTTTGACCATTTGTACTTATACACAGTCCGTGTTCTAGTTTTAGTATGAAGTTTAACCTATGCTTACCTTTTTTTTAAATTTACAATAATCCTGTGTAATCTTATAAAAGTAAAATTTAAAACAAACAATCAACATTCTATTGCTGGCAATATGTTTCTGGTCAGTCGTGAAAGGTGCTTTTATATGATTATTCCGGGGGGATAATTAGACTGCAAAAAACCTATAAACTGCATAAATAATTATTTGCTAGTGTAATTTCAGGCGGGACAGAGACAGCAATAGACGAGTACCCGTGGTTGGCGCTCATAGAATATGAAAGTAATTCAATCACGCAAACACTGTGTGGTGGTAGTCTTATTAGTGGCAGATACGTTTTGACTGCTGGCCATTGTGTTATTGGATCAATTTTGAAAAATGGAAGACCGTAAGCAATAAAATAGGTTTATTTTTTTATAATTTATGTTTGAAATACGAGATGGACTTCATTAGTAAATTATTGGGCTGTACGTCGAAGAACATAACTTTATTGCCAAGGAAGTCAAAAAAGAGTAGGAATGGTGCGCTATTAATGAAAAAATAATACGTATAAATATGAATGTAGTTGTTGGAAGATCAATGGACACCCTGATAACCATGATGTTGTTTAATGTTTTTGCAGAATCAGAATCCGTCTTGGAGAATACGACAAAGATCACGAAGGTCCTGACTGTAAGACAAGCGAAAGTGGAGGTGTTGACTGTACAGATGGTACGATCAGAATTCCTATAGAGAAGGCGATACCACACCCAGAGTACAACCCTAATAGTGTGTCCAGACGTCATGATATAGCTTTGATCAGGATGAACCGCCTAGCACCCTTTACAGGTTTGTACTGAATATTAAACGAGTAAAATACGTTATACTGTAACAATGGACGTAATAAAGAATTCTTCGTGTGCTTCGTGACCTAGTCTATACCGCCATTACCAGGTCATTCAGTGCTTCTAGTATCAACTTTACTTGTTAAAAACAATTGGCTAAATATCCAATATAACATATAAACTACCACTTTGTGTAGGCCCGTGGCAATACCGACTACAATTTATCTGCTTTTGACCAAGACTAGTATAACATAGTCGAATCCAAAAACAGTTCAAAACTTCAAAGATACCAATATATCCAAAGCGTTGAAAATCCCGTCCGTCCATTTTGGTAAGCTTTGAATTCCTATGGATGGGAATGGGACAGTTCATCTTCAAGATTTGTTAGGCAAATTTACAGTTTATTGTGTCATCCCTGAGAGTAATTCTTTTATTTTTTAGAGTTTATCCGTCCTATCTGCCTCCCAACAATGGACTTTACGTTGACTGCTGATTCTTCCTACAACTTAACTACGTCCGGTTGGGGAGCTGTCAGCGCCAGAGCTCGGAGTAGCGCTGTAAAGCTGTATGTAGACCTGCCATATATCGTCCAAGATGTAAGTTTCTAAATTTATTATGAAAACAAAGTATTGAAATTATTATCTGACAATAGTAAAGTGTGAAGTAATTTATAGATATAACGTTTATGTCAAATGTTTTTAAGTCAATCAGTGGCAAACGAAAAATTCAGTAACTTTTAGTAAGATATCAATAAGTTAGTTAGTACTAGTTAGTAATTAGAGCTCTCGGGACTTTCCGGCAACAGTCAATTCGAGTTACAGGTGTGTGAACCTGACATGCTAGAGCAGTTGCACGTTTATACGGATGAATTAAGCAATCCAAGCAAGTTATATCTTACCTACTACATTTATTTCAAACTTGAATACAAACCATATACCAAACCCGTCTGGCCACCGTAGTATAGTGGGCCAAAACCTCCCTTCTAATTAGAGGCATATGTCCAGCAGTGGACTGTAAAGTTGTTGATGATTCTTAGCAATTATTTGTTTCACAGAATTGTCAACTAATGTTTGACCGATTGGCGACCAAAATCACCTTGTGGAAAGGTCAACTTTGCGCCGGAGGGGAGCAGGGAAGAGACTCGTGCAAAGGTGACTCCGGCGGTCCTCTAATGTTACTTAATGGCAGGCGTCACGATATCATCGGGGTTGCTAGTTTTGGACATAAAGATTGTGGCACGAAAAATGTTCCCGGCGTTTACACTAAGGTGTATGAGTATGATAGTTGGATAAGGAGTAATATTTTACCTTAGTGTCATTAAGATCTTTTAATAGTAACGTGGGCTAACCTATTACTGGTATTCTTGTTACTATATCAACGACAAAAAAAATCGTATCCCGAATATTTACTTAAATATAAATCTTCATCATCATCATCAGCCTATCGCAGTCCATTGCCGGACATAGGCCTAAATAAATAAAAAATCTTACCAGTGTAATTATTAACCAAAAAAACCTTGGTTTTTACTAAAAACTTTAGAAGCTATGAATTTTTGAAACAGCTTTTGTTGTTTAGTTGAATTATATTTAAATTAAAAATTTCGAGATAGGACAATCGCTTCGCTGTCTGTATTAAGAGTTGGTTTTCTGCATTAGAGTGGGTTTGGTGCAAACCAGCCCAAAGCTTTAGCAAGCATGCTCCGGCTTTATGGCTCATTTATTATGTTACCTCTAGAAGACTTGTAAGAAGACTAATTTAAATTTAAGTAAAAACTATTATATTCAAGAGTTTTTTTTTTGTTAAAAATTGTAGTAGTAATTTTTAGTTATTTTCAAAGGAATTGTAACATCCTTTGAAAATAACGAAAAAATAACTGAATTGTTACTATACAAAGAGTTTTAGAGTAACTATTTTATTTCTTATAATTGTACTATTATTGATATTAAGTTACAAATGAATGTAAATAAAGTAAAAAAGACTGTTTTGAGTTTTTGTTTGGTAAAATGTTGAATTTGTCCGTGTGGTGACGGATTAAGAATACAGAGTGTCACCACCCCTATTCATCCCGTGGGTACCGTAAGAGCCGACTAAGGGAGCAAACTACGCAGAACAACAGCACTGCAAAGAGAATGAAAACTTGAAACAAACCCTATACCAACCCGTTTGGCCAGCGTGGTATAGTAGGCCAAAACCTCCTTACTAAGGAGAGGCCTATGGTCCAGCATTGGACTAATAAAAGCTGTTGATGATGATGAAAGAAGATAATTGTCGACGATACAGGTATGCACAAATCATACAGATATACACAAATAAATAAAACACGCACTTGGGGGACATAATATTGTTATATTTTCACCATTTGATATCAATTACATACGTGTTTTCCTTAACTAATAGTTTAGTAAACCGGAAGTCACTAGTGGAACTATTTTTAGAGGAAATTATTGACGAAACCATTTTGATCGTGAGGTAAAATTTCGATAAAATAAAATGTATATTTTATTTTATCTAAATTTATTACTGTATTCGAATCAGTGTATCTAAAAGTAGAAAGAAAGTAACAATAGAAATCTGGATTAACGGCTTGTGACGTCATAACTCCCTATGTTCATGTCATTTTTTTAATTCCTAGTTTTACATTAAACCAACTTTAAAATATCAAGAATCGTCCTTCCATATTAATATTTAAAAATAATGGAATAGTTAAGTATATAAATCGGCATTATAAATATAAAAAGTAAAAAAAAAAAAGTTCTTTGACAATTCTTTAAACTGGCAACCTACTGAAATAAAAAAGGTATCGCTTGCTTTTATTGAATACAGCCAATTTTCTGAATCTTTTTATTTTTTAATTATTAACGTGAGAGAACCCATTTGTAGATACAAAATGACAGTGTTTAATACGCTTCTGTCTACTTCTTGGACGATATTGTGGACGTGTATACTCGTATATGTATAGTATATATGATAGTTAAGAATTACCAATCCAGATCAATATTTTTAATACTCTTTAACAAATTTTCACTGTATAATATTGAACTCAGTATATTAAAACGGTATTGCAACACTTTTTACCTTTTCTTCGACAAAAGATAATAATAATTATAGAACGGTGTTTGCAAAACAAAGCATGCGCATGCGTTGGTAATTTCAGTTCTTTCTTAAAAAACATCATTATTTTCAAAATCACGAGACTTTATAATAATCTCTTTTATTTATTTGATTCCCTTTGTGAAAATTGACTATTATAAGTAGTAGCCGTAATATTTTCTTATTTGATGTCACCGCCACGTCCCGTGACATGTGCAATAATTATTGAACTTACCGTCGGAGAAAGAGATCTCCTAAAAATACAAATCCAAATTCTGTTTTGATGATTTAATACAAAAGTACGTAGCTTACAATAGTAAATGGACACTAAGTTTATTACTTTATATTTTGGACAAAAACCTCATGCACCTGTTTCTTTAGAGAAAAAATTATAAAAACACCATGTTCAACACAAAAATGCTTGATTGTTTTCTGAACCCAACCTAAAAAAAAACCGATGATGGGGGGGGGGGGGGGTGGTTTAGGCTCAGAAAAATTGCCTGTGTTGAAACACCGGTTTTCGGTGATACCGTGTTATCACTCCATTCAAGCCTGGCTCTACTATGTCTTAAAAATACATTATCTGGAGAGATGGTTTATTGAACTAAAAGTTGATGACTATTGAAGGTGTAAAAAGGCATAAGTCTAATAATTTCCACTAAAACTTTAACGTACAGAGGGGAGGGGAGTAATTCGGCGACAACATGGACGTACGTACAAGACTATAGTACCAAGATATGTAAACACCTACCCTAAATGCTATAGACACACTTATACTAGTTATACATACATATTAGCATTCAGTACTGCTCGTCGCAAAATATTGAAAAAAACAGTATTATAAAATAAACGAGCGAATTTCTAAGAAATATATAAACCACCTTATTCTGCGTACTCCGATATATTATCGATGTTCATTTTACGATGAGGTACAACACTATTTTTTTTTCATTACCTCACTATAGAGAAATAAAAAATATATGTTAGCGTCTGAAACTAATTATACTAATATTGAAACTATAATTTTTATTACAGTTTAAAACTTACGCGAAAATATTACAGGCTGTTTTTGTTAGGCATGAAAAATATTTTGTCTACCTAAGATACTACAATATTGATCTATAAAACACATTTAAGTATAAATATATATGTGTATGCAATATATTTTTACAGACGCTCATTTAAGGTTAGATTCCATGAACGCGACTTTTTACTAAACTTATTAAAATAAGCCCTATTATATAAGCAGCACACGCCGAATTAAAAAAAACTAAATAAACTAAACAAGATTCACATATAAACGTTTCGGTCTGAATTCTTCAAACCACAATTATATATATTTTTAGTTTTCTATATAATTGTAAGTCATGACAAAAGAACTGCGGTTTCATGCTAATCCTTTCGTCATCCTCATCAAAATCAACCCTTTGAAAAATATATCTGGAGTCAGTGCAATTAGTTTATTTCTTATTAGTGAATAACGTAATTAAAATTAGCTTCACAAACTTTCTTTTAAACTAAACCTTAGCCCTGGGCACAGTCGCATCCATGGAAACAATCTTTAAGAAAATTTACTCCCAAGACAAAGATATGTTGTTAGTTACTTCTGAAAGAATTTCCACGTTTACATTATTATAATAGTATACTACAAAATGTTAGAAAAAACACGAACATTGGCAAATTGGTCCAATCAATTGCCATTGACAGAATGAATTGGTCCAATCGATTGCCATTGACAGAAAGAATTGGTCCAATCGATTGCCATTGACAGAAATAATTGGTTCAATCCAATTCCATTGACTGAAAGAATTGGTGAAATCAGTTGCCATTGACAGAAAGAATTGGTCCAATCAATTAGAATCGACAGAAAGAATTGGTCCAATCATTTGCCATTGACAGAAATAATTGGTCCAATCAATTGCCACTGACAGAAAAAATACAGTTTTTTTGATAACTGTATTAATTTCCATCAATGGCAATTGATGTAATACCACAATCTTAGCATTTACAGACAGTAAGTCTATGAAATCTGTAGATAATTAATATAAAAAAAAAACATTCAATAGCAAAAACGAAATGTTTCATTATATGTATGTTAACGATTGATAATATTTCTCTTAACACTAATAATTTATATTTTGAAAACTTATATTCAAAACCTATTTCCTTTTCATTAGTATACATTTCTATTAGTCAGCATTAGTCAAACAGTTCCAAGGTACTTTAAATATAAAGTAATAACAATCAGATAAATGACTCGTAAGTCAATGAAAATAAAGACTGTTTTCGAATAACACTATATTCGCAGTTTTAGACAAATACTAATTTAATTTGCAAATACCCGCAATATTTGGAACTTTAATATGTAGGTATGTGCGTAATGAGATCGCATTATGTAAAAATGAATCAATTTTCAAATTAAACAATATTTTAATTTTGATAATTTGTGGATTGAATTATTTCTGCATAAAACCATTGATGTTTACTTTAAATGCATACCACCAAAAGGTTTTATATTATTATATATAATTTTTTTCTTGTGCACTACACCTTTGCATTTTTTTACATGCAACAAGCATGTTTCAATAGTTTTCACAAATAAATCCTTCACTTTATTAATTCTTGTTAATAATTATTTAAAACAGAACAGACATTTCTTTGAGTTCTGATTCAATGGTCCGAGAGTATTTCAATAGTCGATTATTTCTCAAAAAACCTTTTCGACGTATTTTTCCTTAGAAAAGTCGTCATAACGATTTTCTTAATTATTGCATAACTTATTCAGTTTTCTGGTAGGTCGGGTTACGAACCTACATAGCTTTAGTTATAAGCCTATCTGGTGATCGCAGACTGGTTTATGTTAGGTCTTGCAATAGGGATATAAACGTACTTTTTTGATGTGATGGAAAGGGGCGGTTGTAGATCGCGCACAGGCATATAATAGATTTTCGATATGTATATATTTGGGTGTTTTCTATGTATAATATGTATGTATTTACGAAAATAAAGTATAAAAGTTTTTCATCAGTCAATCCAGCTTTCATAGTACAAGCTCTACTTAGTTTGAAACTAGATGGCGTTGTGTGTCATATGTCCGAAATATTATTACTTTGTTAAATATTTGATAAAACAGAGATTGTTGCTATTGTGCGTGTTGATCTATGACTTTAGAGTCTACAGGCGTAAGAGATGATTTTAAAGAATTTATGAAATAAAGATATTTTGCGTTTGAGTTTGACCTTCACTTGTTCAACAGGGTCATTTCGTTGCTGTTATTCTAGTAACTCTTTTTTTTAATTTGATTATCATTTGTACTACTGACGTTTGAAAGTTCTGCACCTAGGCCTACTGAATAAAGAAAATTTGAGTTTGAGTTTGATTACTGTCCGTAGTCTGTCTGTATGATCGGAAATCGTAAATATAAGTATGTAGTTGTTTTGTAAGTTATTAAGCATATTTAGCTTAACATCGTTTAAAACTGCGAAAATAGTTTTATAGAAGTTTATTTTAACAGTAAACTTTATATGGTATTTCACAGGCATATTTTTATCAGTTTCAAAAACTCGTTGAAGTCAAAGTTGGAAAAAATTCTTTTTTTTAATTTGTCATTTCTCTTCCGGACATAGCTTGTCATAAATGTTCAAGCTTCATTATAAGTCAGTTCTAGTTAGGACCAGATACACAAACTATACATACAATATTAAAAACATTGATACAGTAACATGTATTGTAACGTCTAACGTATCTTCGGCGCGGACCTGTCGTTGCAGTGCTTGTTGCGGCGTAGCGTTGCACCGCGTTTGATTTGTTCCATTAAGGACGTGTGGCACACTCGAGGGTCTGGCTGTTAGGAAAAACAGGAATCTGAACACATTTTTTCACAAAAAAAAATATTGTAAGACAGCCAAAAGTCAAAAGTAAAACACAATTTTCGGTCGGTTATAAAAACATCAAGAATCTTATAAAAAATTAAAACAATTAATTTGATTTTCTGGTATGGTTTATTTTGAGATAGGTCAGTTTTTACAAAACGGAAACGGTTTTTACAAAACTAAAAAAATACTTGTTAAATAATTATTTTTTTTTCTAATTCTTCTCTTCCTTATATAAATTAGTTTTTTTTAGTATGTTGCTTTATACTATGTTAAGCATTTTTTTTTGGGTTGACTAACATATTAAAAAATATTCGAGAAGTTTGTTAAATTACCTGCGCGTGAGCATTGATCATGTCCCTGACAGATCTAGCTCTAGTCGAGTCCAATTGTCGCCGTTGTTGCTGTATCGTTGCAGATAACTTGTCTAAAAATCCCGGCTGCACCGCAGCAGGTAACGAACCTGAGAATAGAAGGTTACCTTAAAAGGTTAATTTTATACAATAATGTCACTAAAAATATGTTTCAGACTCATTATCATTAATTTTTGAATGTTTGACCTTAAAAATCATACTAAATCGTAATTTATCATTAAGTTATTTGAATAAGATTAAAATAAATAAAGATTAAAAGTTAGAAATAGTGCTGATTTCAGTTTGACCGCCGTTTCTGTAATTGGTGGCCGCATTAAGTTATATTATCAAAAAGAAGAAAGCTATCATTTAATATTATAAGTTTGTTTGGCACACCTTGATTACTCAATCGATTGATTATTTTTAATCGCTGTGAGGAAAAAAATACACACTAAAATAATAGGTAAAGTATTGTGACCGAAAAAAAAAGATCGTGGCTTCGCTCACGTTGACATAGACTTTGTCAATCCATCTTGCTTTTGGTGACTGTACTTTCTCTAAAAAAAGTATTCTAAGATTTTATTGATTGAAAAGAGAAAAAAAAAAATCGGGCATTCTCTCGTATAATAACTCGCAGTAGGAGGCGGTGTCGGGGTACCAGGGCTTTCCTTTTTAGGGTATACCTGGTTCCCTACCGGTACCCGGAGACGGTGTGCGGTCTTCGGTCGGTCCGAGTCCGACATAACCACCCCACCGGTGGGTAGTATCCGAGGGGAGTACCGTACCTTTCCCCTTGTGCGGGTCGGCGTGCGGGGCGTGCGGGGCGTGCGGGGCGGGGGGCGCGAGCGCGGAGAGCGCGCGGCGCGAGGTGCGCGGCGACAGCGCCGGCGCCAGCTTGGCGCTCAGGCTCGCGATCAGCCCGCCCTCTGCACACACATACGACACATCAACGACTTCATCGAACGGCTTTCTGTGAATACTCATACGAATACGATAAGCGATAGACGGTTCGGTTCCACTCGTCGGCGAGCCTATACGTGTGAGCGAAGCTATACGTACGTTCGACGTGGTGCCTGTCGGCGGAGTGCGAGCGCGCGGCGATGTTGCGGCGCAGCGCGAGCGGGCTGAGCGCGTCGTGGCGCGACATGCTGTTGAAGCCCGCGATTATCTCCGACGGCTGCGCGTATATCGTGTTCTGACCGTACTTCTTCTCTTGTTGGAGCTTGAAGCCTATAATAACGAGTTTCTACTTACTAAAATCAAATTTACATTTGATTTTTATTGTGTCCAACGCGAAGAGCCATTTCAAAAATAATTCTGATTAACAAATATTGGGTGTTTTTTGCCACACTAACGATTTGTCTATAACCAATGAACAATTTAAAGGATGTTAATTATTTTAAAATGCCAATTTCATGGTTTTTATATATTGTAACTAATATTTATAGATGCGAAATTAACTTTGTTTGTCTGTTACGCTTTCACGGCTAAACCGCTAAGTCGATTTTAATAAAATTGGCATGAAGATACTTTAATTCCTAAAGAAGGATATAGGCTACTTTACAGACATAGACGCGGGCAGAGCCACGTCAAAGTCAAAGTCAAAGTCAAAGTTTTTATTGCGTTCATGTGTACATAAGGTGTTAATTACAATATTGGTTCTAAAGACATGAAACCCTGCTAGGGCACAGCAATTTTGTTGGTATTAGGCGTTATCATGTATGTCATTAAATTAAAATATTTATACATTAAATTAAATTTCCAATTACATATATTATTATGTTACAATGAAGAATAACGTAACACTAATTATTTTTCCTATAAATGCAATTTATAAATTTAGTTCTATAGAATATTAGTTTTGCAAATCAATTTAAAATTCATTATCACAAACAACAGTATTTATTGTTATTATTATTGTGGCCTATCTTCAAAAAACTCTTGCAGAGAGTAGTATGCTTTTTGTGATAAGTAATTATTTAACTTTTTTTTAAATATGCTATCAGATTTTAAATCTTTAAGTGTCTGTGGTATTTTATTGTATATTTTTATACACATAACATACGGACCCGAATGGTAGATTGAGAGGTTGGATATTGGCAGTGCCAATCTGTCTTTATGTCGTAAGCTACGAGGTTGAGTGTAGTGGTCTTGGTTCGAAGGAAAAAGAGGCATGTGTTTGTTGACAAAGAGACATATTTCAAGAATGTAAAGGGATGTGAGTGTCAGTATACCATATTCAATGAAATGTGGTCTACAGCTTGCCATGTCATCTATGTCGGATAGGATTCGAATGCACTTTTTTTGAAGTTTGAATAGCTTGTCAGCGTCCACACTGTTTCCCCAGAGCACTATACCATAACGAAGCCAGGAGTGCGCGTATGCGTAATAAGCAGCTTTTGCCGATTTAATGTCCGTAGTTCTTTTTAACTCGTAAAGTGCATAGGTAAATTTTGATAATTTATTTGATACGTTTTGGATATGGTTTTTCCAATTTAAATTTGTGTCAATATGTAAGCCTAATAGTTTAAAGTTATCAACGCACTCCAGTTTTGCGTTATTATATGAAAAATTGAATGTTAAAAGGCGTTTTTGATATGGTCTAAATTGCATTAATTTTGTTTTGGCAAAATTTTATTCAAGGTTGTGTTCATTTAGCCAGGTAGATATTTCAGACAATCTTTGGTGTATTTGGTTATTTAAGTGTCTTATGTCAGTACACGGGAAGACTACAGAGATATCGTCTGCGAATAGGACGCTAGTCGCATTTATAATTTTTGGTAAATCATTTATATATATCAGAAATAGAATACACCCAAGGACGCTGCCTTGCGGGATTGATATATTAACTAAAGATTTTTGTGATTGGACATATGTAATATCCCCAGTTTCATAGTGATAATGCTCTATTTCAACGTATTGAGTACGGTTGTTTAGGTAGGAAGAGAACCATTTATGTGCTATACCACGTATCCCTATACCATCAAGCTTTTTAAGAAGAATGTGAAATTGGACTCTATCGTATGCCTTGCTCATGTCAAGTAGGATGCCTATGGCGTATTTTTTATCATTTATTATGTCTAGGGTTTTTTGGATATATCTGTAGACCGCATTGGTTGTCGATCTGTTCCTTCTAAATCCATTTTGACTGTCATCGAAGATGTTGTATTTTTCACAATACGAATACAAGCGCGTGGTCATAGCGGTTTCCATTATTTTTGAGAAGGTGGGCAATAACGATATTGGTCGGTAATTGCTACAGATGGTTTGGGGGCCTTTTTTGTGGACAGGTTTAATGACCGAGATTTTTAAAAGATTAGGCACTGTTCCCTCAGAAAATGATTGATTTATGAGGTGTGCTATTGGTACTGCTAATTCTTTTGCACATTTTTTTATTAATGTCGGGGGAAGTTCGTCGAAGCCAAAGCTGTGTTTATTTTTTAAGTTATTTATGATTGTAAGTATTTCGTAAGGGTCAACTGGCTCAATGTAGAATGAGTTTTTCGTCGGGTTCATCACTGGGCGGCCCGTTTGCGCCCCGGGTGCACCGCCTACTGATACGAAAAAATCGTTGAACTTGTTTGTAACGATAACCGGGTCTTTTATGATTTTTTCTTGGATGTTTAATTTAATGTTCTTTCTCGCTCTTTTTGTTATTTTGTTAGTGCGCTCTTTAATTATTTGCCACATTGTTTTTGATATATTATGACTATTTCTTATTTTATTGATGTTTTGTAATTTTTTTGAATGTATAACAGTCTTTTTAAGTAATTTTTCATACTTTTTGTAAAAACTAATTAAAATGGGGTTTTTGGTTTTTGAGATAAATATTTTTAGTTCACGTTTATGCTTACAAGACAATTTCAATCCGTTGGTTAGCCATGTGTTTTTTGGTTTATTTTTTAGTTTGATGCTTATTTTTGGAATGCAGTTATTTAATAGTTTTTTCATAGTAGAATATAATGACTCGAAATTTTTATTTACATCGTTATCGTCCATAATTATGTTACACCAGTCAACTTCGGTTAGAGCTGCTTTGAAACGCATTATGTTTTTTTCATTAAATACTCTTTTATTTGTAAACCAAATCTGACGTTCGTATACAGATTCAATTTTGGGCAATGATATTAAAATTCCCTTATGATCTGACAGGCCATATTCGTTTACAGAGGCAGAAAATTCTTTTAATTTGAAATTTATGAATATAAGGTCAATACATGTGGAGCTTGTTTTAGTAATTCTTGTAGGTGATTTAATGCACTGATAAAAGTTATGACTATTCATTAGGTTTAGTAGGTCCGTAGTTATGGAAGAGTTTACCAGTATATTAATATTGAAATCCCCTCCAATTATAATATTCTTTTTTCTATCTTTTTTATTTAATATCTGCAAAAGCTTTCTGAGGGATTCGTAGAATATTTCTGGTTTTCGGTTTGTTTGTGGCCAGTATACGACTATGATCAATAGGTTTTGCTTACTAATTTCTATTGCACAGATTTCAAATATAAACTCAATGGACAACTCAGTAATGTCGCTTCTCTCTAAGGTTTCAATAGTATCCTTGATAAAGATGCAGACTCCACCACCCTCATAGTTCTCTCTGCAGTAGAAAGAAGCCAGATTGAATCCATCCAGATGTAGTAAGTCTATCTTCGTATCCTTTATCCATGTTTCTGTTAAACAAATAGCTTGTATGTTTTTAGTTTCTTCTATAACTGATTGAAGTAAATGGCCTTTGTTGTTTATACTACATATGTTTTGATAAAGAATGTCGAAGCTATTCACGAAAGGGCAGAGGTACATTTGTTGGTGTTGTTGGCGATGGTAATGTCGTTGCATGTTCATTGTTGTAAGTAGAGGTCTGGGTTAGATGGGTGATCATGTCTTCACAGGGCCCTGAAGATTCTTTACCGTCTATTATTAGTTTATTATTCCTGATTACAGCGTAATGGCCATTTTGCCTTGCTTTCAAAAGCATCTGTCTTTGTAATTTTAGTTCTTGAACAGATTTTTTGTCTAAGAATTCTGATATAGCCATTCCGGTGTTTCTAAAGAATCGATTATTTTGGAGTAGATATCGTATCATCCTTTTGCTTAATAGTTCAATTACTACTGGTCTGCGACTTCCTCTTTTACCAATTCTAAATATATCTTCAATATAACCTGTGAGGTTTAAGTTGGCTATATTTTCAAAGATGTGTATTATTTGTTCATGTAGATCAGTTTCAGTCTCCTGGTAGTGTTCGTTGAGGCCAAACAGTACAATTTTTTTATGGTTTTCAGATTTTTTTGTATTTCGCAACGGAGTTAGGAGTGTCATAAGGGTGTGGTTCGTGGGACTTTAGTTCTTGAAGTTGACTTTTCAAGTTAGCGCATTCAGATTCTAGGTTTTTAATCTGTTTGGATAAGTTACTTATTTCGGTTTTAGTCTTGTTGTGTTCCAGTGAAATCGTATTGACATTTTTGACGTTCTGAGTTAACTCGTTCCTTAGGCATTGTAGTGTTTTTGAGACTTCGGTATTTATGAACTCTTTAATTTCTGAAATTAAAGATTTTTTATTTGATTCAAATTTTAGGTCAAGGAGCTTCTCGAGCCTATCAAAAGTTGTGTCATTGTATTTAGTTTCTTTATCATGTAACTTATAACTGCTATTTAGTGTATCATCTACAAAACTCAGGTCGACTTCAGAGTTAATGGTATTGCTTCCGCCGCTGTTTATCTTTTTCCGTATTGTTATGTTGACGCTTGTGGGCAACTCAGATCCAGTAACAGTTTGAAGAGGTGAAGTAGAAAGAGGTGGTACACGGATTGGAGTATTCGAGTTATCAGACTTTGGTTTCTTACAACAGCAAAGTTGACAGTTCCAGGTCATTTTTTGCTCCAGCGTCATTTTGGTCCAAAACCTATTATATAAATATAAAACGAATTAGGGGGTTTGAGAAGCGAACCACAATCTTTCGCCCCAAGCCAACCTCACCTGCCCGCGGTGCATCCTGCTGAATGACGAACGAGGCTCTGGCGACCGACCGATGGCAGTATATCCTTCCCAATAGGCGTAGCTAAATACAACAGGCCGGTGACGGGCAGCAGCGTTACCGGTGCGACAAGCTATGCCCTGCGTTCGCCAACCCGCCTGCCACGCGTGGCGATTATGGGCAAACCCTCCCCATGCAGACGCAACAAAGGCCACGGCCCCCAGTTCCCGGCGGCCCCGCTATTCCTGGTCATGGTGGCGACCACGGTAAAGGCGGGGCAGGGGGTGCGAAGAATCTCCGGGCTACGGGAGGCCACCACAACCGACTGACCCTGGCTACGTACAACGGACGCACGCTACGGCTAGGCTCGCATCTGGCGCAACTTGAGGTGGAACTTGGGAAGATTAGGTGGCATATCCTAGGGCTATGTGAAGTCCGAAGAGAGGGGGAGGACACCATAACCCTCGAGTCAGGCCACCTAATGTACTTCCGCGAGGGAGACCAACAATCCCAAGGTGGCGTTGGGTTTCTGGTAAATAAATCCCTATCTGACAACGTTGTGGAAATTTCCAGTGTCTCGAACAGGGTAGCGTACCTCATTATCAAGCTCACCGAGAGGTATAGCCTCAAGGTTGTGCAAGTGTACGCACCGACCTCGGCACACGCGGACGACGAGGTGGAGGATATGTACGATGACATATCCAGGGCCCTCCACTTCACAACTAAGACCCACTACAACGTTGTCATGGGTGACCTCAACGCTAAAGTGGGAGTACAGAATTGCGGCGAATCGAATAGGTAGTAGGATCCCATGGATTTGGAAGCAGGAATCATAGGGGGCAAATGCTGGTCAACTTCCTCGAACGGGAGGGGCTCTTTTTGATGAACTCTTTCTTCAAGAAACAGCCCCAAAGGAAGTGGACGTGGCAAAGCCCCGACGCTATGACCAGAAATGAGATCGATTTCATCATGACGGATAGAAAGCACATATTCAGAGACGTCTCAGTGATCAATAGGTTAATACCGGTAGTGATCACCGACTTGTCCGGGGCTCTCTGAATATCAACTTTAAGGCGGAACGTGTCTGTTTGATGAAATCCAGGCTCCGACCGACTCTGCTCCAAGCCATGACAGGATCTGAAACGTTCCAGTCAAAACTGGAAAACCGATTCGCTGCCGTGGAAACCACAATCGACGTAAACCAGAACCTCGAAAATGTGGTTCGGATCCTCAGGGAAGAAGGCCTGATTTTGTGAAATGCAGCGTAAGGGCAGGAAGTCGAAGCTTTCAGAAAGGACCCTAGGGCTGATGAAGAAACGACGTGAAAACCCAGCTGTTACTCTGTCGGCAAAGCGGACTCTAAACCGAGAGATCAGTAAACTCGTACGACACGACCTCCGGTGCTCCAATACTCTTTCAATTAAAAGAGCGGTCGAGCAAAATCGGGGGTCAAAAGTGTTCGTACAATCTCTTGGAAGAAGCCACCTGACAAAGTTGACCACAGAAAGTGGAGAAGTCGTTGCTTCGAAGCCGGCAGTCCTTTTGGAAGTGGAAAGCTTCTATGGCCGGTTATACACTTCGCATGCATCTCGACCTGATCCCGAAAATGAGGACTCTAGAGCCACAATAACACGTCACTACACCGAAGACCTGCCAGAAGTTAGCATTGACGAAATCGAGATGGCTCTTGGACAGCTGAAAAATGGAAAAGCCCCTGGAGAGGATGGCGTTACAACAGAGCTGCTAAAGGCCGGGGGTGAACCTGTACTAAGGGAGCTCCAAAAGCTCTTCAACGCTGTCCTGTTTGAAGGGAGAACTCCGGAAGCGTGGAGTAGGAGTGTGGTCGTCTTGTTCTTCAAAAAGGGTGACAAGACCAGGTTGAAGAACTATCGACCCATATCCCTTCTAAGCCACGTCTACAAGCTGTTTTCGAGAGTCGAACGTCAGAGTCACGAACCGTCTTGCGCAAAGACTCGACGAATTCCAACCACCGGAGCAAGCTGGGTTTCGGAGCGGATATGGCACCATGGACCACATCCACACAGTGCGGCAGATTATACAGAAGACCGAAGAATATAATCAGCCCCTGTGTCTAGCATTCGTGGACTATGAGAAAGCCTTTGACTCGATCGAGATCTGGTCTGTTCTGGAGTCCCTGCAACGTTGCCAAGTAGATTGGCGATACATCCAAGTGATGAGATGTCCGTCCAAGTTCAAAATCAGCAAACAAGGCCCGTACCATTGCATCGAGGACAAGGGGACGTTATTTCCCCGAAATTGTTCACAAATGCAATGGAGGACATGTTCAAGACGCTGCACTGGAAAGGGCGTGGCATCAATATCCATGGCGAATACATCTCTCACTAGCGATTTGCAGACGACATCGTCATCATGGCAGAGACGTTGCAGGACCTACAGCAAATGCTGAATGACCTAGCTGACACTTCTGTACGCATCGGCCTACGGATGAACTTGGATAAAACCAAGGTCATGTTCAACGAACATGTACTACCGGAACCGATTGCGGTACACGGTGCCGTTCTCGAAGTTGTTCAAAATTACGTGTACCTCGGGCAAACATTGCAGTTAGGTAGAAACAACTTCGAGGACGAGGTGAACAGAAGAATTCGGTTGGGTGGGGCAGCGTTTGGGAAGCTACGTCGAGTCTTCTCATCGTCGATCCCACAGTGCCTTAAGACGAAAGTCTTTAATGAGTGCGTCCTACCCGTCATGACATACGGAGCTGAAACGTGGACACTTACGGTACGGCTGGTCCACAAGTTCAAAGTCGCTCAACGTGCTATGGAAAGGGCTATGCTCGGCGTTTCTCTAAGGGATCGCATCAGAAATGAGGTGATCCGGCAGAGAACCAAGGGCACCGACATAGCCTACCGGATCAGCAAGCTGAAGTGGCAGTGGGCTGGGGATATTAGCAGCAGAACCGACAACCGTTGGGGAAAACGAGTTCTTGAGTGGAGACCGCGTCTCGGTAAACGTAGTGTAGGACGCCAACAGGCCAGGTGGAGTGACGATTTGCGCAAGATGGCTGGCAGGAGCTGGATGCGAGAAGCCCAAAATCGATCTAAGTGGCGTGCAATGGGAGAGGCCTATGTCCAGCAGTGGACTGCGATAGGCTGATGATGATGATGATGAAAACGAATTATAGATTCGCATTTTGACTTAACTATAATCCTAATTGTAAATTAATTACTCCCTCTAAATTACATAAAAATTACACTCGCAATAACTTTTTCACACGCTCACTTAATATATACTCGTATAACAAAGACTTGAATAGTATTGATCTTTTTAATAACTCTTTGAATAATGTTAAAAAAACGTCTAAATGTAAATTGTTAACATTTACTTAGTAATGTCGTAATGTATGTATTTCTTTTAAACCTTTTAATTTCTTTTTTGTGACATTTCCACAGGTTATTTGAGTCTAACGCTCTGTGAAATGTACTACATTTATTTAAATCCATTCTTGGGTACTCCTTGTCTTTTGTTCAGTGTATTTTTATATTGCTTTATGTTTAATGACTGCTTTGTACCAAAATAAATGAAAAAAAAAAAAAATTACCAACGATTCAATCCAAAAAAAACCGTTAATTTTATTGCACCAAGAACTCTATTGCTTCCATCCATTCCATTGATTCAGTAGGCGAACGAAAATCTACACTCACCAGTTTGTCCATAATGCGACTCGTTCGACACTCTCGGTCCAAAGCTGGAGAAAGAATTATTTTCTCCGTAACTTGGTGTTGAAGGGCTCGAGCCGTGAGGGGAACCGCGTCCTTCTCCGTAGATGCCTCCTGTAAATAAACATTTTTTTTTAATAATTTTATTTCGGAGTTCTGACACAACGCCATCTAGTTTTAAACTAAGCCGAACTTGTACTATGAAACCTGACTTGACTGATAGAATACTAGATTGACTGATAGGATACTTACATACTCTTTTTTTTTCGTAAATACATACATAGAAAACACCAAAACTTCGAAACAAATATTTGCAGATTATACAACCATTTGGTCCGACTCGAGAATCGAACCTGAGACCTCAGCACAGCAGTCGCATATGCTACTACTGCACCACCGAGGCAGTAAATCAAATTATCTGCCCAGTTTGAGATCAAACTGCCATGTGTGTAAAATGTGAGATACGAAGTGAATTTATTATATTACTTAAAGAAACTTTTATAACAACAAAAAACTTTAACAATAATAAGTTCTCAAATGTTACACACGGCAGTTTGATCCCAAACTGGGCAGAGACAGCGCTATGGTAACCAGACAACTAATAAACATCCAATCTTTGTTCATACTAATATTATAAATGCGAAAGTGTGTTGTCTATCCGCTGAACTGATTTAAATGAAATTTGGTACAGAGAACGTCCGAATCCCGAGAAATGATATAGGATTGTTTTTATTCAAGAAATCGTCCTTTAAAGGGGTAAAAAGGGGTATGGAAGTTCGTATTCGGAATCAAAAACCGCTCCGATTCAGATGATTCTTGATCAAGGACATCACCGACATACACGCGGGCGGAATCGTTGGCAAAAGCTAGTATTTCATATAGTCATTAAATCGCCATAACTTACCTGAATTTTCTCGCACAAGATCCGAATTCGAACTGTTCAAGCTATTTTTCCTTACATACATAGAATTCTCAACGTACGCCATTATCCTGTTCCCCGTCTGCCCATAGATTGGGTTCAGATTGCCAGTGCTATTTAAACTGGTGTTCGAAGAGAAATTGCTCTTCGCTTGTTGGAAGGTGCTCAAAGAAGGTTGTGTTGGCGATTGGGGGTTGGCGTTGTTTTGATTTTGGAGTTGTTGGAGGCTTCGACGGACTATGCCTGGGGATGCAGGCATGTGTTTCAGTTCAGTGAGTTGCTTCACAGTTTCTGCTACCGTGATGTGGGCTGCAAAGAAAAATATGAAACTTTACACTATCTAATTTATAAAATTCTCGTGTCACGGTGTGCGTGGTTGAACTCCTCCGAAACGACCGATTTTCGTTAAATTTTGTGTGCATATCGGGTAGGTCTGAGAATCGGCCAATATCTATTTTTCATACATCTTATTTTTTGTCAATTTTTTTTTTGAAATAATGTATTTGGCAAAACAACATTTGCCGGGTCAGCTAGTTCTAAAATATAAACAGATACACGAAACGAAATGCAGTCAGAAAGTAAAGTCAATATAAGTATTCCAGTGATATTTATTACTTTAAAAATTATTTATTCTTCCCCCTTTATTTCTGTGCCCTTAAATAAAAAAAAATTCTACTAAATCTAAATTATACTAGTGCCAAATAATTTAAAAAAGAACGCTTCCTCTTAATCAAACCGATATTTATGTGTATAAAAATCTCCTCCTTTTTGAGGTCAGTTAATAAAATAATATTAATTTAATTATAATTGAGTATGAATGCTCTTTGAAAACATTTATTAGAGCCATGTTGTTGTTAGTAAATGAAATACAAGCGCAAATATAAACAGACTAATTAGTTATTATTAGTTACTTCTTAGTTAGAACAGCAAAATTAATGGCAATTTAATGGTACTTAGAGTTTTGCTACTTTGAGAATGAAGGGATTGGGCAATGAAAAGCACGAGAACACATACAACGACAAAAAATGATTTAAAAGAAAATCTATGTATATACAGTCGTCATAATCACCGCCACTTGTTTCGTTGTCTGGCTGCAGGAGGAATGCTGGCGGGGGCGGCAGGTTGTCCGCGTCCGTTGAACCCATCTGAGATGACTGCGCATTGTTCTGTAATTTGTATATTAAAAATAAGATATAAAATATTTGGGAGTTTATTTTAACATCACATATATTAAAATTTCAATTATTATTTTTTTATTCAAGTCAGATCATATAACCCGCCCCGCGTCGCTCCCGGTGCAAAGGTGCCCATGATACGATGCGAGGCAATGCTGCCAAGCATTGCCTCGCTGAGTTGCAACGGACATCCTTTGCACCAGAAACGCGCCGGAGCGGGAGTCACCACTTTTATCCCTAACTCGACGACCAATCTCCGCGATTTAGAAGGGAGTTTTAAAAAGCTTTGGATATTCGAATTTAGAAGACCGAAGTGTAGTATGATGTGACGCCCATTACCCAAGATAAGACAAACTTTTTAACGTGGGAGAGTGATGCTTCGGTACAAATGGGACGGCTCGACTAAAGTATATATAATAATACCACGGTATAACAGAAACCTGGTGTTAACCAATTTTTAAATTACTTTTGTAGCCTACTGCACTACTTCTATTTCTGTGAGGAAGAGCTCAAAGAAGCACTTGTGTCTCTAGAATTTTCAACTCCGACTTGGGCGGTGGTAGTCCTCGCTATCTGGTGACCTGTTTACTAATTTGACCCATATTTCAAAAAAAAAACAGTATAATATATAATAAGTACTAGTCATGTATAATACAATGAAAATTCTCTCTGATGAGTATACTATAGTCCTACCATCAACCAGGCATAATCACCTATCCTTGTCGAAGGATTATTATGCTATAGATACATAACAATGGTTCCTACAAAATCATAAACTGTCATGAAATAAAAAAAAATAAAAAAATAAAAATCATAATTAATTTAATTGTAAATCTTACCTGTTGCACGTAAGCTGGCCTCTGCGGTCTTGATATAGACGACGACCGCCGCACTGGCGGTGGTGGTTTTCCCAAAGAACTTGATGAGCCACGGCGGGACCACACAGACGCTACATAAATAAAATTAACTTTATTAAACCCAAAGATGTTCAGAGTCAATATTTTACTTTTTAGAGTTGCAACGTGCGAAACCTGTTCTTTAGTGCACGTAAAAGAATACCTTTAAAAAAAACCTACCAAACATTTTATTGCCTAAAAAAAAATGATTTCTCCTTCCTAAACCTCCTCATTTAGTAAGGTAAATTAAATCCCTACTAATACTATAATTGCGTTCTTATTGTATAAAACCTGTTGCGATCGGGTCGCCGATCGGCAATGTGTAATCGGTAACGTATTACGCAGTTGGAACTAAATTAACCTACAACCTACAATGTCTACCCACTCAAATTTATTATTTCTTTTTCCGAAATATGTAAGTACACCCGGGATAGATGATGTTGTGATGTGTGTGATTTTGTTGTCTTATTAATTTACAATAATTAACTGTTTAAATATGTGTAAATATGTATTAGTGATAACGCTGATGCACAGCGATTTTTATGCGGCATCTTACTGTTTAAACGTACTTTATGTTGTAACAATAAATAAAATAAAAAACTCTGTCTGTCTGTTAAACCTTCACGGCTAAACCTTTGAACCGATTTTAATGATTTTGGCATGGAGATACTTTGATTGTTGAGGAAGAACAAGCTACTTTTTACTGCGATAAGTAACAGATATACACGCTAAAACCTAGTATTGTATATGTCACTATGGTCCACCAGTATGGTCACTGGTAGGCTTTATTCTCAGTTACTATCGTCATTGGAGTTGAGGAACTTATTGGAAAAAAAATCACAATGTGTGTTAAATGACAGCCTTCTATTGGAATTAAACCTTCAAAAAAAACATTGAATGAACATTGTGAGTGAACATTGAGTATTTAAACATTAAATTACTACAGTTTAATTGAAAACATTTCTGTTTCTTATAGAAGGCTGAAATTTTTTTAATAAAATAAATATTTTATAGTTTTATAAAAAATAGTTTTATTTAAGTATCTGACTTCAAAATTATTTTGTTGACCTTACTTTCCCAAGACATAAATTGTATTTTAATAGTGGTCCCAATATACTACTCAAAAATAATTATTGTTTCTATAGGGGGAATTCGGAACCACGATCCATCTCCCGTAAGCCATTCCAATCCATTTATTTCTTTCTTATGCTAATATATCTCAATATTTAATAGCTAGTGATCTTTTCTAATATTATGTCTGTTTTTAACTTATTAATCTAAAATCATCAATATCGTATATCTCTCTTATTGCACACAAAAAAGTGAACACATTTTATATACCTATACATTCAAATAATTGAAGACATTCGATATCTTCACGACATTTCTGTTAAATATTTAAGTAAAATCTTCCACTTACATTACTCGTATACCTAACTACATATAGCAGTCACTCACACTAAGTACTTTTAAAAATATATTTAAATAAATAACGAGTTTTATTAATAAGCAAGTTAACATATTATCCATTTAAAAAAAAACCGAAATCGATTTAGAAGCGGACTCTGAATAGGTTAATTTTAGGGAGTGCGTTTTCACACAGCAAACTGTGTTCAGCTACAACAAACACGATGAATAAACTTTTACTTAAAGGTCTTTGAAGGAGAATAGGGGCTGCTGAAAAGGAGATAATGGGAAATTGTACAGCTATCTCACCGGTCATAGACACGGGCCGTCGTTTAGGTACGGCCGGTTTCTTCGCGATTGTGGCAAACGCTGGAGTGTCAGTTGCTTCGTCTAATGACCTCACTGCTTCTTCTAAGCTGCCGAGTGAGATAGAGAAACTCTCTCGGGCAGCAGCTACCGAGGCGTCGCTGTCCCGACGGAGAGTCACGATCTCCGATTCGACTATAGTGCGGAATTCATGCAAAGCAGCATTACAAATAAAATAAAAATAATCATAAAATAAATAACATAAATGTGAAGAAATGATAAGTAAAACAATATTAAGAAAATAATATTTGAGCAAAAATAAAACGCTTCAAATTATGTGTTCTGGTAAACAGCGTATCAATTATGAATTCATCCATTATTATTTAAATAAATTATAAACATTTTTAGTAATTCAATAAAAATACATCAGACCACATTATCTTTTTCTTCGTGTTTTCTTTTTTTTCATTTATTAGCAATATATCTTTAAATAGATATTTTACTTTAATGTTTATTTTACGATCAAAAAATATAATGGCAGGATATTTGTAAGATGATTTTCGGATAAGATCAGAATAATAAATAATAAGTGCTAATCTACCCTTTTAGTTTAATTTTTTTATTAAGAAAAAATCAATAAAAAGTAACAAAACGAGGTACAAGCAGACACGCACATCTACAATCGACTAACATTGAACTACAGAACACAATCAACCATGACTACGACATAAATCATATACAAACACAAAACACACAGAAAAATTCAAACTAATTTCAAGTTACGGTCGCATTAAAATACAATTGAAACTCGTGTCATGAGCTTATAGGTCCATGACTCTGTTTAATAAATAAGAAAATAGAAAACAAATCAAATGTAACAACAACATCTAAATTATTATATAAAAATGTAAGTTAGTTAGTGTACGCTTTAGAAACTTAAAAAGTTCTGGACCTGTTGATCAAATTTTGACACGACATACAACCCGCTGTATTTTTCGTGTCACTTTTATTCCTCGTTTCTCATGAATAAAAACAGTGTGCCATAGCGATGCGTGGCAGCGTACATCTAGTTTTTAATAAACTTGAACCGGATAAAAATTTCATTAATGCGTTCATAACTTACTACCAAAAACAATGACGACATCTAATCTAATCAAACTAAACATAACTTTATATGGACACACAAAAATCTTTCTTACCATCAGTGTACTGTACTTGGTGCTGGTGACCGTGGTCTTCGGCGGCAAAGGCGCCCTGGCTGCCGTACCCGCTTGATGACTCAAGAGACGATTCACTTGCACTGCTCTCGGAGCAAACCTGATAGAAAGGAGTTTTGTTTAACAGTAACATAAAGCTGAAGAGTTTCTTCTCTTATCTCCAGAAGTAATAACTTCACACATCTCACACACGGCAGTCTGATTCCAGAATAGGCAGAGCCTGTACTATGGTAACCAGACTGCTGATAAACATATTTAAATATTTCTACATACAGACAGTACAGTCATTTAGTCTCTAGTAGAGCAATCATTGGGGAAGTTTGCCTGGTTTTTAATATTATACGGACTTGGCGTCTCAAACCAAAGAGGAGATATCAAACCGTTCAGATCTACTTTTTGGTGTACACATCCTATAGTCAACATCATCAACTTCCTTTAGTAGTGCCAAATGCATCAGAAAGGAGGTTTAGGCCTAATATACCACGCTGGCCAGACGGGTTGGTTTTAAGATTTCCTTGACTTTGCAGTGCATGTTAATCCCTTATCGGCTCTTACGACACACATGAGAAAAATAGGGGTAGGGACACTCCGTATTCTTAATCCGTTACCACACGGAACATTTTATAGTAAAGGACACCATTGCAAGTAAAATATAACGTATATAATTGTTTCTAAAAGTAATAAGTACTTGTAATTAGAAATTTATGTTTACTAGTCATTATGAAAAGGTCAAAATTGGACCGATGGCCATTGAACTATTGACAACAAGAAAGTTCCTTTGAAAGTACTAAAGAAACGGAGAAAATATAAGCTCATAAATATTAACAAAGAAGAAAAAAGTTCTTAGACAAATCTTGGAGCAAAAGGCACTGAACTATTTCGTCATTGAATTTATATCAATTGATTAGATCCTTTACAAAAACGTTTATATTTAAAACAAAGTCTTGATATGTACTAAAATGGAGCCGTTACATTATTATTATACAAGCAGGAAGATGAACTTTAAAAATAAATGTAGCAAAATCTTACAGAGACGGTATTATTAAAAAATATAAATATTATTACACAACGTTTGTATTGTTAAAATGGACACAGTACCGAAATGTATGCACATTGTTACTGTACCGTATTTAATCAAAGTTTTCATGAACGCGAACAATAGCATGAGGTTATGACCACTATCTAATAAACTGCGATGAGGTTTTGATACTTTGAGAAAGAAATATATAAATTTCACGCCTATATCCCCGAAGGTGTAAATATAGGCGTACTATACACTCACATTACACCAACTATAAAGGATGATTTCCTCCTAACGGCATCTATTCATTAGATCACAAAGGATACGATGGGATGCAGCGACAGCCAATCGTACGGCTACCGTCGCTTGCCAACGTATCCGTTTCTGCGTCTAGTAAATAGTTTCATTCCTACCATGTTGACGTGTTCTAATTTTTGCACTAAGTGCTTTTGCACCAAACAAATCATTTTTTCTTCTAAGTCCAAGTTTGTGTGACGTTTGCAGTACATGCACTTTTGAGACTGATGCTTCCCGGCCACGGCTACGAGCGATGACACCGTTGTACACGGCCGTATACAAATCCGAAATGCCTATTGCCGGAAAGTCCGAGTCTAATAATCAAATATTTAAAAATGGAATATTTGACGTTTAACCTATACAATATCTACATACCTTTATAGTAAAGAATGCGTGTCTTAACTATCTGTCTCATAAGATAAAAAAATAAAAGAAATAAACAATAATGTAAGATAAAAGAGTAATTGATTGAAGAATTTCAATCAATCAAAAAGGAAGTATCAAGATTATAAAGCATCTTGACAGAGAGATGATCATATTTTTTTTTTAAATACTGATAATCACGACTTGATTTAAGTACTTTTTATAGATAGGTGGTTTATGTTAGCCCATTACAGAGACGCTATCATACCCAATCGCGTAAACGATCAAAATCATTTGGTCGCGCTACAACGTGTGATCTGAATGAGTATACCTACATAACTATATACCATAGTAAAGTACAGTATAACCTGCATACGGTTCGCAATATAACGCATTACATCTCAAACGGCGGTCACAATCAGTTCACTCGGCGTTAATCTTGTGTCGTAACATTCGTTTAATCAGTAGTTTAATTGTGAAGTAATAAGTGAAGCAAAACGTCATGCTTGGGAACGCAATATTCGTTTTTTTTCATATACTGTGAGTATGGTAATTAGTTTTGTAGATAGTGGAATTGCAATAGAAGATTGGATTTTTCATTACAGCAAAAAAATCTATGTGCCCTACGATGTGTTTTTCGATTAAAACTTTCCATAAATACGTACGGGAATATGTCATACCTAATGTCCTACGAGTCGATTATGCGGTTAAACTTCAGTTGATTTTTCATTTCGTCTATCATCTTTATATTGCCCTTTTTTACGTGCATCTACCACTTCTTTCTCTCTCTTCCTTCAGTAGAGAATGCCTTAGGAATTAAATCCGCCAATGCATTAATTTGTTGATAAAGTTTCATTAATAAATAAACAAATTGCAAAATCTAGCCATGCTTCGGCACGAATGGGCCGGCTTGACCGGAGTTATGCCATGACCTCCTGATTCTGGAGGAGGGAGAGCTCTGGCGGCAGATTTTGGGTTGCGGTAGGGAATAGGGTGGTGGCCTGTTTGCATCAAGACGCGATCGGGCCACGACGGATGGCGTAACGATAGGATCGATTGAGTCACCTGAGGGTTTAGAGCAAATTTATTTGACATCAACATTATCTCGTCTTACGGTTGGTCAACTGTGACAATCGAGTCGATGTGAAATAAACTCGCACTTGGGCTTCTGATGGTAAGTGACTACCGCAGCCCAAGGAGTCTCAACTCAAAAGACTTAAGAGTGTGGCCGCCGCATGTGAACCCCTACCTCCCAGAATAAGAGGGCTTCAGTAATCTCAGTCACTTGGTGAAGAGCTGGTTTTCTGTGAGGCCGTGGTGTCACTCCGGTATAGCTGAGCCTTTCTCTGCATCTCTTAAGTAAATTTTCTAGGGGCAGCAAAACTCCAAGGAGAGTTGAAATACACTAACATACGGAAGTTGACATATACGGACAAAAAGTCAAAGAAATTAAAGAAACGATAGTTTTCCTTGACGAATTGTCATTAGTTTGATGTCAGAATTGGATGGATTGGATTACTTAGTGTCGTTTGTAACAGTGACTGTATACGACAATACACGCATTGAACCTTTACAATTTTATGAACAATGTGTTACAAAACGAGTGGTCTAAAGTTGCAAACTCACCTTATAAAGGCATTGTCAATACGTACTAAGTGATCTATAATGTGTGAAAAATATCTTATATTTCTTACAAATATCTATTTCTGAAATATTTACTACACCATTGTTTTTAAGGAGAGTACATATTTTTATGGATAATAAATGTATTCATTTTAAAGCATTCATTTTACTTGCTATGGCAGTAAAATCCCCTTCTTTCGAAGGTATCCTCTACAGATATTTCTATTGTCTATAACACTTTTAATTTGCGTAAAATCCCTCTGATATCCCTACCGGACGATCAGTGGCGTGGCTAGGTCGGACTCGAACTGACTGTAACAAATTACTATATCGCACAGTAGGTGCAGTAAAGACACGCAAACGAGCAAACGCCGCCACTCATGGATGGAACTCAGGAGTTACAAGCGCGTTGTTGGCCTTTGAGGAAGGAGTACAATCTTAGCTTAAAAGTTTGAACGTATCGGAAACACCGCAGACGGTAATGTGTTCCACAGATTGGTTGTGCGATGAAAAAAGAATATATGAGGTGATACAAAATGACAAGTATCCACCGGAGCCAGGCAACCTACTATAAGTAAACATAAGCAACGAAACAATGAACATTCCTTAATAGGAAAACAAACGGTCCCAACAATCCGAAAGTAATTATAACAATAGTGTTCCATTACATGAAAGGTGAAACGCATTTTTGGCTGACTTAGTCTCATCTCATACAGGTCTTCTATTACTTGAGATTGGCCTCTTATAGAACTTTTTCAAAGAGGCAGAGGAACGTTTGACATCATGAAATAGAGTCCGTTTATACGAAGACTCTTTTGGTGATGTCAAACGTAAGACTCTATTATTCTTAATATTCTGGGCAATATTACACAGCGCTATGTAGACCCCAAGACTCCTAAACCAAATATAGTAAATAGAAATCCTCCTAAATCAGGACTTCAAAATCTTTATAAATTGTATCTTACCTTTTTCTTCTAAACCTAAACTGGATAACACATTGGTAGAAGACTTTAGCTTTGTTTCTTTCTTTAGATTTCTTCTACATTTTAACTTTGGTATTCCAAACTTCACCTATGTTAGCAAAACTTAGCACAGAGAGTACTTAAATAGATTATAATTTTATATTCCAAAGAAAAAATATTATTGACCATGAAAATTTACACAATGATCCTTTATATTATATTTCTATTCCAGACTAGCTGTCAACATTCGGATAAATTGGGCATGGTGAGTATAATAATTAGTCTACATCTATCTATATTATATATTCGTATATACCAGCTGACCCGGCAAACGTTGTTTTGCCATATACATTTCAAAAAAAATTGACAAAAAAAACAAAAATTAGGGGTAGGAAAAATAGAGGTGGGCCGATTCTAAGACCTACCCAATGTGCACACAAAATTTCACGAAAATGGGTCGAGCCGTTTCGGAGGAGTTCAGACACGGGAATTTTATATATTAGATTTACATAAGACATTATGCATTAGGCGAAACCGGTCAGGTCAATAAAAGTACGAGTGAGTTTAATTTAATAATGAGCTTCAAAGATAGTTTTTATTTATTTTTCGCGTCAGTTTTGTTACTCCTTTCTCACCTATGTAACCACAATGTTCTATGGCGAAGCGTGGCAGGCTACAGATGGTATATGTAAAATAGATACTGTCTATTGCTCAGACCATCTCTGGCGAATGGCTGCAATAATATGGCAAATTTTTGTTGTATATATATACGGTTACATATAATATAGTTTAGTTTCTGGACAAAGAAGAAAAATGGGTATAACTCTTTCTTTTTTAATTTAAATAAGTAAATAACTTTTGTGGCCAAAGGCATTTAATTTTAATTCCATAAATAGCTATTATGGAATTAAAATTGAATGCCTTTTGGTAGAGAGGAGAACTAAACTTTTAAGTAACTATACGGTACAATACTTGTATTGACAATAAAATTTAACGGGACAACCAACGGGACAAAAAAATTAGCACATTTTCTAGCAGAAAAGTCATTTAGACTATGGGACTTAAATACACAAATCTATCTCACTTGTAACATTTACATATAATTTTATAATTATCAAAAGTATTTTCTTAAATATTTTACAACGATTTCAGTCCTCTTAATGTGCAAGCTGAAATGAAAGCCGCTTACAAATCAGGGGAGATCCCCGATCAATCAGCCCCTATAACGTTGGAGAAGATCAAGACCAAGTTGAAACAGAGCGAAATATTTGACTGGCAAGACCCGACCCTCACCGACAGAGAGAAGAAAGAGATGGGAAAACTATTTGACGCTGTCGAGATTATGGTAACTTTTTTATGTATAATGTCCTCTCTTCTGTCTTACAATTTTGTATGAGTGATTTTTTGAGTGTCACTCATCCCGTGGGTGTCGTAAGAGCCTACCAAAGGAGCAAACTACGCAGGACAACAGCACTGCGAACAGAAGGAAAACTTGAAACAACCCCGTCTGTCCAGCGTGGTATAGTAGTCCAAAACCTATGTTTTAAGGAGAGGCTTATGTCCAGCAGTGGTCTATTAAAGGCTGTTGATGATAAATCGGAAATATGGTTTTAAACTACCCGACTCAAAAAAAACAAAACTGCTAACTAGAACTGGGTAACAGGAAGACGAGGCACTTGATTTGACAAATGAGTGCTCACGTTGCCTTAGTTGGCCGTTAGATGTTACGCATCATTTGCGACTAATAAGTAATATATATTATATTACTTATTAGTATATACTTATTTTATAATAATATTTAAGTCTAGCTCGTTTTTTTCTAATATGCTGGCAACATACTGTTGTTTTATTTAAACAGTTTAAGAAATAAAGAGAAAGCTGAAACTGAAAGAATAATTGAGAAAATATAGAATAATGACTTCCAAAACTCATATTATGGGTACAATCGCTTTAATATGCGTAGCCATAGGTTTTTTGTGGTATTTCTACTGCGATAACAGGCAACGGCGCAGTTGTGCTATCGTAAACATTGTAAAATCATTTCGTAATACCTCTTTGTGAAGTATTTGTTTTTTTTTTTCTAAAAAGACAACTCCCGCACTAGAAATAAATCCTGTGTCGCGGGGGACTTTACAAACATACATGAAACGGACACAAAGGAGACTCAAACTCAGAACAACAATTTATGGATCACACAAAGTGTTGTCCCATGTGGAGATCGAACCCACAACACTCAGCGCAGTAGGAAGCGGCGAGGTGACCGCTTAAACCACTACGCCACCTGTCAAGTCAATTGCAGTATATTTTCTGCTTGCTCTATGTTCAACATTCCTAAATAGGATTTACAAAACAAATTATGTTCATTTATAATATTTTCTCTCTTCTTGACTCTCGGAATGTGAATTCGACTAGGGATTTCCCAATTTAAATATTCAATTTGCCGGATATACATTACATATTAAATGAACACGAGGACATCGCAATTAGGTAGAACTTGGGAATGGTGAAGTTTAGCTGATTGTAACCGCTTGATAATAAATGTATTTGTTTATTTACAAAAAGAAATTTTGTACAAAGGCAGACTTAATACACAGGACATTCACAAGTCTGTGTGCCATTTCTTAAAACTGACGGTATAAGAAAATTCTTCTTATTCACGTTTTAAATTATTGTCTTGCTGTAAAAGCAAAGCTGCGCCTTTTTTATTGTGTAATCTGTCCATCCTCAATAGGTGACGGATTATTATTAACAAAATTCTTTTAAAATTATAATGAAAACCCGCATCGAAAAGTTGTGCAAAATCAGTTTCTCCTGCAAACCCTGACTTATAAATGTTTCGAGGTCTTCTAAATTATGACTTATTGGAATAGTACAAGATACAAGATACAAGATATTTTATTTGCATAAACATGTGTACATTAAAGATGTTAAGTAATATTGCCTGATCGACATGTACATAGTAAAAGATACGGTACAGTTTAACGCAATAAGAAAATACATTTTCGCAAAATTGTTCCAGACAACCTCTCGCAACCGACAACCAAGCAATGTCCAGACGATGTTCTCATCACTGCGTCTCGTGGAAAGAGTCGTCAAAAAGCAGCTAAAGGAGGGACAGATTTCTGAAGCGCTCGCTTCCAAATTCAACTGGGATAAAGTGTAAGTGTAATATTGCTTCTGCTATAGCTTAATTTTGTTTTGTTTTACATCTTTATGAAGTTTGCAAAGCTTTGTTTTGAAATGCAGCCGTTCATTGGTCATTCTGCTACATAAGGTATTGCTAGTAAGATATAGCAGAAAAGTTTAAAAGGGTTAATATAGTTGAAGCAAAAGGAATAAAAATTTGGTTCAGTGACATCTAGCGAAGACAAATCAAACTGCGTTGTAACTCATGGAGTTGCATCACGCAATGAGAATTTACAAACATAATTCTATCATTGATGATCGTGTTGAAAGGGAGGATCTTGAGAAAAAATACACCTTATAGAGGCATAAGGACAAAACGAATCACACATATATTCTCTTATATCTCGTAGAAAAAATTACTTCATTAGTGTCAAAACTATTTTAAATTCTAAATAAAAGGTGTTTAGTGATATTTTTTTCATATAATATATTTACAACTATCTATATTTCACAGACCAAAAGCGAATTAAGGAAATCGGATAGTAAAAAATTAAGGTAAAACATTTAAAATTAAACACTTTAAAAGACATTCATTCATTCATATAATTTTCTTATGCTTATTATACTTTCCGGACTTGTATATGGGCCTTCTAATTAATTTTAACTGTATTGACGATTTTCTGTTTTAAACAAACGATTCTTGGATCTTAAGCCCTTTTTTAACTATCTCAGTTATCATGTTATAATCTTCTGACATGTAAAATAATGTTGTTGAAAAAATAATTGACTTAGTAAATTCCAACATAAAATAGGGCTAAGTATATAAAATGGACTACAAAGCGGAGGCAGCGATTTTAATGGAATTCTCGATTAATACGTTGACAAGATCAAATTAATAGATTTTACTGCTTATCTTTGGTTTCTAGGATTACGGGTCTCATGGATTTTATAGATATAGTTAGTCACGAAACTAGAGCCGAAGTCAAATATTTACTATTCATTTACAATTACAATATTTGTAACTCTGAAAATTAGATAATGATTTAATTTTAGTAAAACCATCAAAATATTTTCAAATAATTCCTTTAGTACGGTTTTTTATTAAGTATTATTCATTTCTTTATTTGTATGTGAAGATTTTTTTAATACATTCCATTCCACAATCATTTCCTTAAGTCTGGCAACATCAATGGGAAATAATAATAATACTCTACCACATTGACACAACGCCATCTAGTCCCAAACTAAGCAGAGCTTGTACTATGGGTACTAGACAACTGATATAATAGAATCATCACTAACTCATGCGATTTTATTACTTTCCTATAACCTAGAATATTAGGCTTACATTTTGTTAACACCATATCATCCCATAAATACCAATACAACCATCTCACTCTAATATCTTCTTGATCAGTTTTTATTATTAAGCTTTTGCCCACTGGACCACAAAAATAAATATGACAATATTAGGCCCAGACGGGCAGTTTAAACCCTTAAGCACCTGTGATATTCGCTTACTGCAATATTCGACTCTGGCAAACCTACGAGCCAGCAACCAACTACTATCCTACATAGTTAGTAGCTACTGTAGATGGCAGAGGGTTCTCCAATTAGCAACTAAAATGTCTTGTATGCTAAGTTATTTTCAAATTAATTTAAAATAATCATAATTTACATTTTCAGATGCACTATCATACTTTCTTACAAATGTTAATTTGATATATAAAAAACTTTACTTTTTATTTCAGAACCAAACGTGTAAGACGAGATAAGCCGACGTACATCTTTGACAAAACGACGAATATGAGAATGTTTAACACTCGTCAATAATATAATATTAATTAAGAACTTACTGTCTGACAAGAATTAAGAAATAAATCATGGAAATAATTATATATTATCCAAACCGGATAAGGATGTTGTACAGGGATTGCAATGAGCACATGATACCTCTCGTGTAGCAGATAATTATAGAATAATAATAACTTGAGTCATCAATTATTTATTTTATTATTTATCAATGTATTAAAATACACTCACGACATATTCCCAGACAGAGACAATAGAATGTTTTTTGCCATGAGCCATACATGGGGCTTGGTGAAGAATTAAGTGCGCGCCAATTGCAGCGACGAACACGTTGATGTGAAATGAACTCACACTCCTAGTTTACGACTCTTTCACATCCATTAGACTTTTCATCATACAGGTCAGTTCCGGATGCTATCATCTGGGCCCTTTTTCAGAATACTGCCCGTCAGCATACTTCTTTCGACTCGTCCACTAACCTCCTTCCTAACCTTTAGTTATTCTATAACTCATCGCTTCAATCCGCTCAAACCATCTCATCCAGTCTTCTCTCAATTCTCGTCAATACATCTTCTTCTAACCCACAATATTTCATCTCTCTTCATTCGCTCATCTCTTTTCTCATCTCATCATTCACACCACATTATTCTTTACAAACAAATCAATTTCACAACTACACTACAGATCAATTTTAAGTTACACACAGTTCTTACTGAACGCATTTTATCGATATGAATTTTATTATTGTATTCCTTTTGTTATTTATTATTATATTATTTATAGAATATGCTTATTGCTTTCCATCAACTAGGCCTAGGCTTAAGGGTTTCGTTATAACGTAAAAAGAATAGTTCCTCTCAAGAGTGTGTTGTCTTGTGAATCTCTATATGACAATCACAAGAACTTTTTTTTTGTTTGGAAATGAATGACAGATAGATCAAGTCGGGGCAATAAGGTCTTAAGGCGTGTTAATATTTAAGAAATTATAGTCCTTATTTGATTGATACGCCAATGTATTATGTTGTATATAATATCTTGGTTAATGTGAATCAGGTGCACTTTAATATAGATTTTTTGACTGAAATATACTTTTTGTAATTAAGTTTTGTCTTTTATTTTGACAGATGTTTTTTTCTGTAAAAGAGAATATTAAAGATCCAGAAGGGAGTTTTCAATAGAGTAATTTCTTATATTTCAAAATGTATTGTTACAATCCTCATGAAATTTAGTCTATATACAAAGAACCTGACAGACTGATTCACTGACTGATCGATCAACTATATGTATATATATATATATACTACCTGAGACCCGCGGTGTTACCCGCGTTTGTTGTTATAACCGCGGGCAACGCCACGGGGCGAAGCTAGTCTAAAAAAAGTAGCCTAAGTTACTCCTTATGTCATTAGCTATCTGCCAGTGAAGTCCCGTCGAAATCGGTCCAGCCGTTCCAGAGATTACGGAACAAACAGACAGACAGACAGACAAAAATTAAAAAAAAAAAATTTGGCATATGTACCGTGTAAACATACATATGCATTTAGTAAAAAGCGGTTATTTTAATATTACAAATAGACACTCCAATTTTATTTATTTGTATAGATATAGATATATACGCTGGGCGTAAAGATGCAAAATAGGGGTTGGAAATCTATATGAAACATTGTTATTTTTAGTTAGTAGCGTATCCTCTACGATGTGTGATGTCGACCAAAGCTACTCGTAGTATTACAAAAGACTATGAGTACCCAGATTGAACTGGGTTGTAAAGCTTTTGAAAAGCATTAAGCCCCTCGCAATTGGGTTCATTTTGATTTGTTTTAACATGTCTTGGCGATTTTTAAAGCCTTCTTATAAATATGTTGAATTATTTTGGAGACATCACCTTGGCACAAAATAATTCAGTTTGATAGAAGATGATGATTATTGATAGAATAGATGTTATTTCTACTAAACTCTTTTTTAAACATTGCTTTCCCCCTCTTCCTACAGCTAGGCTTACCTTTTCTTGTTGTGGATGTTCGACGTTGTGTTGCTGAGCACGCGAAGCGGCCAGTGTTGCCAGCTCCGACATATTCACGTATAAAGCTTGTGGCATTTCTGTGTAACAAGAACATTTAAATTTACTTTTAAGCTATTGCATAGCTTCTATCGCGGGCCTTGAGCGTGGAGACCGAATTCAGAAATTCCGTAACGAAAATAACCTAACACACCCCACGTGATACTTTTTAGTTTTCTATCGATTAATAGCAGAACTTTTAATGACTTTTTTGAAATATCACGCTTGTCTCTTTAGTTCGGCAACTCACCTCTAGGTGGCATTAGTTATATCGGCGTTACTACGCATGCGTAATCCCCCTCTTCGCCCCGCAATCTAATTAATATCAAAGAAAAAAAAAGCAAAGGGAAAAAAATACTGCATAAATAAAATAAATAAATAATTATAATTGCATAAGTTGATAAAAAATGCTATGCAATAGCTTTACTGCGGCAGTCCCCGAGTGCCACACGTCTTTTTTTGTAGTAGTTGTTATCAGTTTGTGAGTAGTTGTCATAATACCCTTTGAAAATACCTTGAGGCGAAATTGATCTAACATCCGGTTTAATAAATGCATATTATGGAACAGTATAAGTGACTTAATTCAATATGTTAAATTTACTACTTAATGTTATCGGTGGCTAGGTTTTGCTCGCTCTGTCATTTCATCAAGAAATACAATCATAGATCAAGAAAGTACTTACGCACTAATGGAGTTAAAATTTTGTGTTTGCCTTTGTTTATAAAAATCAAAAAATACTCCTTTTCTGCAGAAATAATAATAACCTCACACATATCGGCAGAGCCTGTAATAAGTAACCAGACTGCTGATAAACATACTTATATATTTCTAAATACATAAATTTTATAAATAAATAACATCCAGACACAGAACAAATGACCGTGCTCATCACACATTCATTTGTCCCTGGTGGAAATCGAACCTCCGGCTTAGCAGTCTGGTTTACTAGCCACTAGGTTTTTTTTCTATACAGGTTGTTATCAATATCGAACCAGCCACTCGACAATTTTTGAAAGAGGTTGCCATTCGGGTTGCCAGACAACAAAATAAGAAGAAAAAAGTTGAGTAAAATTTACCTTTAGTAAGATGTGGCGGCAATGACGAAGGTTTGGTCGGTTTGAACTCTTGCTGGCAGGTGTTGGCGTTGCCGGACTTGCTCGGGACAGTCGGCCGCTCGAGGGATGAGCATCGCTGAACAAATAATTAGATTTTTAGTCTTTAATATCTGACATTAATGCATATAATATATAATGAGTTTGTTTGCCCTTTCTTCCCATAAGGCTCGGCACAGGCATATCATAGATTTTGTATGGGTTTGATTTTTGTTAAATTTGTTTGGTTACTATTTGACAAAACAGAGATTGTTGCTTTTGTGTGTGTTGATCTATGACTTTAGAGTCTACATGGAAGACCATTTCAAACAATTTTGGAAATTTTATGAAATAAAGAAAGTTTGAGTTTGAAACAGAATAAAATGTGACTAATTAATAATTATATCTTTTAATTAAAATAAGGCCTGTGTATACATTTATATTGTACGCTTGATATTATATATTGAGGTCCGTGTGGTGACGGATTAAGAATACAGAGTGTCACCACCCCTATTCATCCCGTGGGTGTCGTAAGAGCCGACTAAGGGAAAAACTAAGCAGGACAACAGCACTGCAGAGACAAGGAAAACTTGACACAAACCCTTTACCAACCCGTCTGGCCAGCGTGGTATAGTAGGCCAAAACCTCCTTTCTCAGGAGAGGCTTATGTCCAGCAGTGGACTATTAAAGGCTGTTGATGATGATGATGATGATATTAAAGTGATGGTCGCTGTATAATTTATAAATAGAGTTCACACTCACAGCTTCACTTCGAATGTTTTTTGTTTATCTCAAATAAATAAGTAAACTAAATAACCTACAGTAGGCAAAGGAGGTCTGGCGTATATCCCTCCACCGTCCCTCTGCTGCGACATTTCCTGTTCGGAGTGAGTGAAAGTGTGCACGCTGAGGGCAGGCCGAGGGTGGCCTCGCTCGTACGCTGGAACAAAAATAACTAATATGAAACCCACTTTGATTATTCTTAAAAGGAACAATTAAAAGTAAAGTTGACATAGCAGGGCTATCAGAGTCAGGTGTGAGTTTATTTTACATCAACTCGCTATCGACAGATTCAGATTTCAGTGCGGGCCAATTGCAGCGCCGAACGCGCTCACCGTGACCATCGAGTAGGTGTGAAATGAACTCGCACTTGGACCTATGGTTTACTGTCACTAGTAATCTTAATTTATAGAAGTAATGAATACCAAGTACTATTAGAGATACGTTAGGTAAAGTGGGTCGTAGGCTGTCAAAGGATAATAAGCATATGTCATAGCAAATATGGTAGGCCAAAACCTTTTTTCTAAGGAGAGGCCTATGTCCAGCAGTGGACTAGTATAGGCTGTTGATGACGATGATGATAGCAAATAATATAATTATTTTGAGGAATATTTCGCCAACAAGGGAAGGTGAAGTTTAAAAAACTGAAAGCTCAACTATGTATTTTAAACTATTTGTGTCATGTGAAGTGTAGGAAAAGCCGACTAAAGAGCAAACTACGCAGGACAACAGCACTGCAAATAGAAGGAAAACTTGACACAAACCCTATACCAAACCGCCTGTCCAGGGTGGTATAGTAGGTCAAAACCTACTTTCTAAGGAGAGGGTTATGTGCAAAAGTGGGCTATTAAAAGCTGTTGATGATGATGTGTCATGTGAAACGCCACATCAAGCTGCGTGTAACTTAGTCTAGTCCAGTATAATATGTAATTGGTACAGAAATAGCAATTCAAGTTCTAATGGCTTTCGAAATAAATCAAAAAAATACAAAATTAAAACGATGAGATCCAAACGTCGGGTATAAAGTATAAAATCAAGATAAATATGAAATAAATAAACAAAAAAAATGTTACCAGCTGAAATAGTGTGTGGCCTACCACCCATGATAGCGGATGCTGCCCTCTCAAACTGAGCTGTGTCCTTTAGGTCCGGCCATGTAGCCGATGCTGAAAAAAAAAAGGAAATTAAGATTACTAATTTAGACTAAATTATAAATGAATACAGTAAAAGTTTATTTTTCAAAGTAAATATTCGCGTGTTAAATAATAAATATTTTTTCATCACATCACATCAACAGCCTTAAATAAGTCCACGACTGGACATAGGCCTCTCTTTAAGAAGAAATATTTTAAAATTTAATATTTTATCATTTCATAAAAATTGTTGTATTTTTTGTTGACGGTACTTTCCCAATACATAACTTTATTATATACTACCATATACTAATCAAAAACAATGATTCCATCAAAAAGGGAATTCGGGACCGCGGTCCCGTTCCCGAAAGCCCCGACGATCTTAAAAATTTCGACGTGTCTCATGACTGAAGATTTCTTTATTTGCGAATCTAGTCGGTATGTTAAATTATTTGGCATCCATTGTTATCTTTTGGGTAATATTGGCGCGTAGCGAGGTAGCTTTTTTAAAGAGTGGATCCGAATCTTCTAAAGCGATGATAGTCATAAGATAGTTTGACTACACGGATGGCGTAGTGGTATAAGCGGTCGCCACGCCGCTTACTACTACGCTGAGTGTTGTGGGTTCGATCCCCACATGGGAAGACACTTTGTGTGAGCCACAAATTGTTGTTCTGAGTCTGGGTGTTCTTTGTGTCCGTTTCATGTGTGTTTGTAATGCGATTTATTCCTAGTGCGGCATTCTTCTCTTCTCTTTTTAAACAAAATAGTTCTTAAAGCTATTTGAGTAACAACAACTGACAGTACCTAGTAAAGCGATCGTGTGATGGTTACGTAATATCGTGATCGCTCTTTAGTAATCACAGTTACGTTGGATTTAGCGAGTTGGTTTGCCCTTTCTTCACATAAGGTGGAATGTGGTAACCCTCCTGGTAGCCCCTTGGAAACAGACAGTTGTGGATAGGCGCAGACTAATAATAGATTTTCTATAGGTATACTTTTATTTTTAAAGACAACTCCCGAATATGTCCTGTGTCGCGGGGGACTTTACACACATTTATAAAACGGATACAAAGAACACCCAGACTCGGAACATCAATTTGTGAATCACACAAAGTGTTTGCCCATGTGGAGATCGAGCCCACAGCGTAGTAGGGAGCGGCGAGGTGACTGCTTAAACCACGACGCCATCCGTCCATACTTTTGCTAAATATTTGACGAAACATATCGTTGCTAATGTATGTGTTGATCTAAGACTTCAGAGCTGTAAGAGATGATTTCAAATAATTATAGAAGAATTTTATGAAATAAAGATATTTTCACTTAGCAACATTTACTCCGACCGAATATTTAAAACTCGACCAAAGACCAATATTATATTTGAAATGTGACTATTTGGGTAATAGTCCTGACTCCTAAGACCGAATAGGTTTCATTTCCACTTAAACACATGCTTACCTGCGTTGCCAATGACGTCATGGCTGTCATCGGCATGATCATCTTCGATATTACTCTTCGTCTGAGTCATACATTCGCTGCTTACGCTCTGATTGTCGGAACCCTGCAAAGTACAGACAGTGGCATTCATCAAATATATTTATTTATTCATACAGCTGACAGCTCGTGACATCACATTAGCTGGATCATATTTAGAAAATGCGACTGTTCAAAAGTATTTTCCATTGAAATAGAAATTAAAGCAGTTAACTGAAAATGAAAGCAAAAGTAGGAAAGCAAAATAAAATAAAATTACATTGTCAACGTAGAGCGAGCGTCGTTGTAGTGTATCTTGTGAGCGAAATCCGGAGTCAGCGCTGCATACGCTTGCCAACCGGAACGCGGACTATACGCCGGGTAAATAAAAATATTAAGCAAAACAAAAGCAAAACCAATTACAAAAAAAAAATACGAACGGAACCTTATTCTGGTGTCAAAACAGAGATCATAATAGGGACCCGCCGATTAAATTCTAGAAAAAGGATATCACGTGTACAAAATAATAAAAGCAATATGTGCGAATGAATAAAAAATCTACTTCACAAGCAATGCTTTATCATCTCACCAATACCTACGGTGGCCTTTTTGCTTAATATGAGGGAGTAGAAAGAAAAAAAAGGGTAATTTAATTCTTAAATTATATTAGAGTGCTTCGTCTGCCAACAAACTGCTGTGCAGTTTGGCAGAAGTAATTAATTATTGTAACATGTTTTTTAATCTTTAATAAACATTCATTATTATTATTATTATATTTTGAAATAATTATTCAAAGAAGAAGTTTAATTATTTATCATTCGATGGACATAAAGAACTACATACGAGAATAATTGACGACGTAACTTCTTCTACGTTATAAAAAGAAAGAAATATATATAATATTTAATTATCTCTTCCAAGTTTTAAGTTTACACGAGTCATTTTTCTATTAACGTATTCCACAAAAAGTCTGAAGAACACAATTCCTTCCAGATCCTTTTATTGGTTGCTGCTAAGTTGATCTCCACGACTCCAGTAAACATGAGAGACTTTTAAAATTTATTTTAATCTGAGTAACCAGCTTGTGTATAAACTTTGAGTGTATATCGTTTGTGATAAATCTAAGTGCTATAAGCGACACAGGTGTCATGACATTAATTGTATTCTTGAGTTCGTTTTGAAAGAGCGCGAAAATTATGTATGTCTTATCTACTAATAGACATTTATCTACTGACACACACACACACATAATCTCTATCATAACAATATTCTACAACAAAACTGAGAAATACTTAAGTAATTGTTTGTTCTACTATACCTGAGAGATACAGTGCTGTGACTCGCTGGGGGCCGGGATGGTGCCAGCTGATGAAGCGTTGGATATCGGAGTGGAACAGCTCACTGTGGAACCAGATATACCTGGAACGTTTATACTTTGTTGATTGTTTTGCACAATATATATACACTTAAGTAATGTTGTTTTATTACAATTTTGTCAATGATTTCCAATAAAGAAATTCGGCTGTTGTTTTCCCCACGTTTGCTACCTCAAAACTCCGTTATTTATCATCATCACCGTTATTTAGCTTCGATTATGAAAATTCCCGCGTTTAAATTAAACGGGATCAAAAAGTTCTACCCCTAAGGGTGAAAGGAGAATTCATGGTTTCACTTTTAGACGACCGCGTCATTATTTCAAATGTTAAAAAAAATATTGATTTTATTGACACAGCAAAAAAGAGTGAAACTGATTTTCATACTGAAATGGGCATTCTCCTTTAGAATTAGAGTACAGTTCACCACGATGTATGCTCATTGAAGTTGGTTATACTTTTTTAAGTAAATTATTTTCATTTGGGCAGATTACAAGATTCCTCACCGTGCTGGTGGTCGGAGCACTGGCTGTTGAGCGAGGAGATGGAGGTGAGAGAAGACTTGCGGCTGCCGAGTCGTGACGAGGCCGATGGAGAGTGCGGAGCTGAGCCACTCTCCGCCCAACCACTGTAGCAGGACTTGATATCGCAAATCACCTGTAAAAGATAAAAATTAACATTATTGTATTGCGATAGTAATAATAATATTTATTTCTTTTCTCTACAAAGGTGATGTGAAAATATTGTATTCGAATCAGAGTTTTTAAGTAATTTGAAATTATCTTATAACAACGATAACTTTTATTCCAATTTTCCATTTTATAATATTTTCACACATCTCACACACGGCCGTCCGATTCCAAACTAAGCAGAGCCTACTATGGTAATCAGACTGCTGATAAGCATACTTATATCTTTCTAAATAGATACATATTATAGATAAAGTACAGCCAGACACAGAACAAATGATCGTGCTCATCACACAATTATTTGTCCTGGGTGGGAATTGAACCCACAACCTCTAGCGTAGCAGTCTGAGTCACTAACCACTAGACCAACAGGCCAGTCAGGACTCATTTAAATAAGACATTGCCTATAATTTGCTCTTAGTTATACTAATAAGAAATTCCGTAGTTGCTCTTCATCGAGTTAGGTTACTGATAGCCAAGCCCCCATGTCCGTGTGGTGACGGATTAAGAATACAGAGTGTCACCACCACCAGAGAGAAGGCAAACTTGACACAAACCCTATACCAACCCGTCTGGCCAGCGTGATATAGTAGGCTAAAACCTCCTTTCTAAGGAGAGGCTTATGTCCAGCAGTGGACTATTAAAAGCTGTTGATGATGATGATGATGATGAAGCCCCCTTATTCTGGGGGAGATTCAAAGTACGGACGGACTTGCGACTCTAAAGTTGCATGTGTCTCTAAAGTTGCATGGGCGGTGATAGTCACTTACTATCAGGTGACCTGTTTGCTCCTTCCTATACCAGAAAAAAATCAAAACTCCATTCAGTAGTTTTAGAGATTTTTGCTAGCAAACAAACAGACAGGCAGAAAAGTTCAAAAAAGAAATCTGCCCAGTGTTCTATTAATTCTTCTTTAGTTACTCACTTTTTTTTATTACATTTCTTTCAATATTAAATAACTATAAAGGTTACTAGCAACCAAAATTACTAGTACTCCCGTTAACCCCTTCCGCTAAGCTAAATCGATTGTGTTAGGAGTGGGTTCACGTCGGTAGTGTACTGGTCAGAATTCGAACCTACGACCTCTTGATCGCAAGTCCAATGCCTTAACTACTAGGCTACCGCCGCTTCAGATTATTTTATTATACCTACCTATAGATTTGCAAAGCGATGACCTTCGGCAGTGCTTATTCTAAAGTCTAATTTACTTACACAAAACGAGTTCGATATTTTTAGCTAAAGGAAAACCCACAAAGTAAATTACCTGTAAACTGGCGGCGGGTAAAGTCCTGGGCTCTGCAGTGTGTCTGATGAGTTGCTCACTGCCCTCTTGTAAATGGCCAACTTCGGCTAGCATTGCCACTTCGGACTCCTGCAATAAATATATCATAAAATATTATTTTTCTGTAATATTAATGATTTTTATACAAAAGTACATTATTCCTCAATCCGACAAACGGGTTTGTTTTAAGGATTCATCTATTTGGTTTAATTCAGAAGACAACTATAACAAGTCAGAAGATTTTGCCCTCGAATGAACCACCTATGAGCTGGTTCCTCAGGAATGATACCACGTCCTTACAGAAAATCGGCGCTAAGCAGTTCTTTCATTACCTTTCATATAGTGAGGGAAGGTACCAGAAGCTCAACCCCACCCCTATATTCATGGTTGCACTTGAACGGCCGAAACCTACTTATATCCGTGTGGTATCGGATTAAGAATATGAAGTATCAGCACCCCTATTCATCTCGTGGGTGTTGTAAGAGTCGACTAAGGAAGCAAATTACGCAGGACAACACCGCTGCAATAAGATGGAAAACTTGACACAAACCCTATACCAACCCGTCTGGGCAGCGTGGTATAGAAGGCCAAAACATCTTTTCTAAGGAGGGCCTATATCCAGCAGTTAATCATCATCATCAATAACCTTTAGTAGTCCACTAAAGGCAGTTGATGATGATGATGAACACACTGAAGTTGCTGGTGTTCATGAGTGGCGGTAGTGAGTTACGATCAGGTAATTCGTCGGCTCGTTTGCCCCCTAAATATCAATATTATTCCTGATTGCTTCACTCTCTTTACATTGGCATCAGGGAAACTGTCCTACAAATATTGCTAGAGTTATGTTTGGCAATCGTTAATTGTAATTGGAGCCCTAAAAAGTCCAACAATAGTCGTTCTACAGAACTTCGAACAACCAAATTCCCAATATCAACCGTTGGGCCGTGGCAGATATAATCATTTTACCTGAATAAAGGATCCTCCCTTTGGTTTGAAGGGAAATAAAACTCGTTCGTCTATATTATAAAAACAAATAAAATTATCTTACCACAACTGGATTAAGCAGTGAGACGAAGTGGCAGAATCGGCTACGTTCTTCAATCAACGCGGCCTTCACCGCTTTTTCCTCCATTTCCTCGAGCTGCTGTTTGCGTTCTTGTATGTCCTGGAAGGAATTTAAAGACATTTTATCCAAAGCTTTCTCAGATATTATCATTATTGCGCAGTCAGTACAGAGATTTAAAGCAAAGGTACATAAGGATAATGTACACCAAAAGACCAGTTCAATTCAAATTATTGTCACCATTTAATGAATCAATAATGCTAACCATTATGGATGGTGCTAATCATTATGTGTCTCAAGATTCTTTCTCAATCGACAGTGGTGAGATTTTACGATACTGATGAGGCTGATGGTTTAAAACTTGCATGCAAGTAATGTAATTGTAGAGAAACTGAAGTTGAATTACTGCTTATTGCATTAGTTATTTATAAAAGTCTATTTGCTGTTAATAAAAGTCCCATGAAAACATGAAAATCAGTCCAGCCGTTTCGAACCTTAATTGGAACGCACAAACAGTAAAGGACTTTAAAATTGTATAGTTATATAAAGCATTCATACGCATTAAGCAAAAAGCTGTTATTTTTTTACAATTGGCAAACACACTCATTCTAATGAATTTCATTTATTTGTCATCCGGCATCGTAAACTATTATGGTAAAACTGATATAAAAAGTGATCAAAAGTACTACATTATTTAAAAAGAAACTGGCAATAAAGATTTAGGAAATTACCGACGGTTATAAGTATTTTTTAATTTTTAAATAAGTTTATCATATATTTGGACTGCCCCTACAACAACACACGCACACACACATGCCGCCCCTTTTTCTCGTGACGGGGTGGAAAATCCGTTCGGACCTCCCGGACCTGACCGGAGGACCCGGACTATGTAATTTCAGTTCCTCCCGTCACCGACACTTCTCATAATCAGACCTTATCTCAGAGTAGTCGCAAACTTCTCGGCAAGACATACTGCTCAAGTTCTTTAGGATATTCTATTGGCGTATATCTAACCTGCAAACAAACTTCATTCTTTCTCTTAGCATCAGGTGGCGCTCTTCTCGCCTTCCTCGCGTGTCGTTGTGCTTCAGTGACTCTGCGGCGTAACTCGGCCCGAGCGCGTTTGCATTCACGCGCGTGCTCGCGGCTGAGCGCGCCTGGCGCGCACGCACCACGCCTCCACTCGTCAGCACGCTCCGCTAGAGGTGTCACTAAAGTGTCCATCAGAACGCTATAAGGGAAAAAATAACTTTGTATTGACTGGCATCTAGTATATGTATATATTTATAATTATAATAAAATAAATTTTAGCTTTGCAACCTATTCTGTTCGAGGTTGGATAGCGAAATATAAAATACTACTCCTGCCTGGTATATAATACTACTTTATTTATAATTCACCCAGAGGATCTTTTTAAAGCGTGATAATCTCTAATAGAATGAACCTAAAGGGGTTTCAGAACTTCAGTGCCAAGTGAGGGGCTAATCCCGTGAATTAAATGTTTGATCCCGAATAGAAATAATATCTGATGTATTAGAAATGAGCCCAAACTCCGTGAAATGTGTGTGACAATTGCACGCAAACATAATCGCTTGCTAATGCCATGCCGCAAGTAACTTGTCGAAACTGTAAACATAAAATTATTAATACCAGAACTTCTCCAAACTTCTGTTTAAAATATAACAACAAGCTTTAATCTTTACAAATATTTAGATAAAGCTTAAGAATTTATTCCATTGAACATGCTAATATTTGGTTCAATGGACGGTGCAGTTTATGGAAGTCGAACATAAATGTTGATGAAACTGTAGAATATTGTTAATTGTGTTGAATATAAGGAAAACCAAATGATTAGTGTACGCATGGAAGTCCAGCAAATATAATCTTGACAAAAACAACAACCTTCATTGAGGATGTTATAACGATGCAGCAAAACAAACTTAGACGGACAGGACAATACAAAAATACATTCAAGAAATTTTGCATATTAAACAATAAAATATTTATAAAATATTATTTTGTTCTGATCAAAGTTTATTGAATGTTAGCTAGTATATATTATAGAGGATTATTGATAAGGAAGATTAAAAAAATTGGATACACGACTGTCCTTCAGACTTTTTTTAAATTGCTAAAATATCCATAGAGTATAAAGCATGCAGATGCTGCTTTCTTTTTGGTAAATTGATAAAAAGGAACAGTCCTTCATACTATGTTATTCGTCGTCCGTCTTTTGCAATACATTTGAACAATGTACAAATAAATAAATTTCATCGATCAAAACCAGTGAAGGGACCATTTAAGCAACCATTTTTTTTTTTTAAAGACAACTCATGAAACGAGCACAAAGAACACCCAGACTCAGAACGTCAATTTGTGGATCACACAAATGTAGGGATCGAACTCACAACACTTATCGCGGCAGCGGTAAGGTGACCTTTTAAACACTATACACTACTGTGCAGTTGTTGCAAGATTCTAACAAACAAAATGTCTCAGGTAACGTGTAGGTATGTAACCTACGAAAGGTTGGCTGTAAACCGTTTACCAGCGTTTTTTTACGCCAATGCTGCGCTTATAGACATACTCGTTTTTTAAAATCATTCAACACTTAGCTTTTATTGACTTGAAAGAAGTCATATTAATTAAACCAGTTTTATAATGTTTTTTCCGTTTTATAGAAGGATTCTAAGAAATATTATTGCAGACGACAAGTTACTTTGAGGGACTCATAAATTAAAAGTACCTGTATCCCATACGACTATAGATGACTAATTAAAATGAAAGAAGTGTATGAGACATAATGACAATACACAGAAGATATATACGAGAGACAATATGAACAAATGAAACATTTTGAAAGTTTACTCGTATATTTTTTTTATGGTTTACTAGCAACCGACATTACTAGTATTCCCGTTAAACCCTCCAGCTAAGCTAACTTACTTGTGTAAGGAGTGGGTTCAAGTCAACAGTGTCAGGACAACTAGTCAGGATTCGAATCTACGACCTCTTGATCGCAAGTCCAATGCCCTAACCACTAGGCTACCGCCGCTTAACTGTTGGGTGTTTCTTTTTCAAACAAGTTTATATTCTCTATATCCTGGTATAGAGAGCAACTAAGAGAAGGACACCTCATGGTTAAGAAATATAGCCGCTCATAGACACATTTAAATCAAGAGTGACAAGTGTGTAGCCGCCTTTATTTCCCCCCTCCTCTCCAACCCCCTCCCCAAATAATACTTCTACAGCAGCTAACCCAATCCACGCAAGGAAAAAATTGCTTACCAGCAGTTTACTTTACACTGAATAAGCATTGAAGCAAAAATATTGTAAACTAGCTGAGACCCGCGGTTTTACCCGCGTTTGTTGTTATAACCGCGGGCAACGCCGCGGGGAGAAGCTAGTCTAAAAAAAGTAGCCTAAGTTACTCCTTATGTCATCAGCTATCTGCCAGTGTAAGCCCCGTCGAAATCAATCCAGCCGTTCCAGAGTTTACCCGGAACAAACAGACAGACAGACAGACAAAAATTGAAAAAAATGTTATTTTAGCATATGTACCGTGTAAACATACATATGCATTTAGTAAAAAGCGGTTATTTTAATATTACAAACAGACACTCCAATTTTATTTATTTGTATAGATGTATAGAAGATATAGACAGAAATAAAACCTAAGTCACGAGAGTAAAAAACTTACCCTATAAAAGTTTTCATTCTGGTTTCAATCGCTCGATGACGTAGGCAAACGCGCGTCAGCGCTGTGCCGATCTCCTTTGTGGCTCCTGCAACAAGGAAATACATTCCATTTAATTTGGTTGTTACAATATGTCCACAATTTTGATGATTTGAAAGCTTATTTTCCGTAAAAAATATATAAATAAAGTATTTTTTACAACTAAAAAGACGTGGTCAAACTTATTCTTTGATCCGTTTCTCCACTTAACCGCTCGTCTAGTCAAGTTTCCAGTTACAATAAATTATCGTCCACTCAAATTGATTTCTATCGTACATGTACATGCTTACAAACTAGAAATTATAAAGACGTAAATATTTCGCCAACATCATCATCTTCCTGCCATTTTCCCAAATTTATTTGTGGTGGGTGCATTGAGTTTTCTTCTTTCATTCTTCTTAATCTCTCGTCATCCTCTTTCAAGCAATCCTTCATTTCATGGCTTTAACTTTTGTGGCAGGTCGCCTACCGTATTTCCTTAGATATAGTGTAATGTAGTTCGTAAATAGTACAAAGCGAAAGATCGTTAAGAATTTCAAAAATCCATAAATATAAAAATTAAATTATTTAAATCAATTAATTTTAATAATTATTTAACTTTTTTAAATGAATTTACGAACATAAATATTTATAATGAACTAAATAATTGTCAGTGTGGTGACGAATTAAGAATACAGAGTGTCACCACCCCTATTCATCCCAAGGGTGTCGTGAGAGCCGACTAAGGGAGCAAACTCTCCAGGACAACAGAACTGCAAAGAGAAGGAAAACTTGAAACAAACCCTATACCAACCCGTCTGGCCAGCGTGGTACAGTAAGCCAAAACCTCATTTCCAAGGAGAGGCATATGTCCAGCAGTGGACTATCAAAAGCTGTTGATGATGATGATTGATGAAATAATTCTTTATCACACAATGTCTGTGTCACACTTAAAACATTTTCTTCTGCTTATAGAGCTTTAGGAATAGATATCATCATTCACTTGGCATTTTTTCATTATAAACAGGGTCAGCTATATAAAATATGGCAAATGGTTTTGGCTAGTTTTTGTCATCAATGGCTGTATGATAACCCTTCTTAATATAGTAATAATTTTCCAACGGGACATAAAGAAGGTAAATTTGGGTAATACAGGCAGCCAGACAGCACATTTGTACCGGCCACTAAGGCAGGAAGGTAGCAGCACTAAAACGTCACTAAAAAACATTGTATGTTCAAAACATTGTAATTTATCAATAACTAACTTCACGAATAAGAATCCTGACTCGCACTGTGCGTACCTGCAAAAGTAGTTGTCCTTGAATTATACGTCACATGAAATGACAGGTTTAAAATATACTTTAACTTTAAAGTAATAGCGTTGGAATTCATTAAAGATTCGTTCTTCACACGTAGATGTTCCATGTATTTATTTGTTTTATTTTTATTTAGTTATTAAACATGTTGACTTACCGAGAAAACTTCATGGTGTAAAACGTACTCATTTCAAGTAAAAAACCGAGTTTTAGTCTATGACATCAATAGACAAAATGAAACATGGAATAATTTTGTTCGTATTCTTTGTCCTTTGTTGTGTTGTGTATGGTCGTAAGTTGTTTTTTTTTTAATCCGTGTCTATTTTAACCCCTTTACTTTTAGCTACCTACGGATTGTTGTGTTTAATTTTTGAATGAAAGTTTTAAAACCTATTAAATAAAGTGGTCAATGTTCTTTTTTATGCCAGTGACCCTAGGAATATTCACCGGATCTTTTATTCACTATAAATGCTGTAGTACTAAAAGTGTCGTTGAATTTTTTACCGGATTTAATTATTGAAAACGAGTGTTTATATTAATTAAAACAGTGAACATGTGAAAAAGAAAAACAGATTGAAAATAAACACACAAATAGAAAAAACGCTTCTGTATTGCAGAGAACAATGGTAGTATTAATAGTGACATTTGATTTTTTATTTAATTTAATTTTAGAAGAGGAATCTTGTATAATAGCAATCGACGGTGGTCGAGGACTATGCAAGTCAATCTTCAAGTGTCAAGCGTTACTGTCAGTGGTCAACAAAGCGTACAAAACGCAGCAGGACAAGAGTCTTCTGAAGAGATCACATTGCGGTATTGATGATGATGCACCAGCAGTAGGTATTATATTCATTAACAACTAATTTGGTGTTGGGCAGTTGTAGTTACACTAGGCAACTATGTTTTTAATAGTGAGAATTACCGGCAAATATATTCCTTTATATAAGGTTTTAAGATTTACCCTTGGTCCCTTTCTGCCTCTGCGCTTTACTGCGCATAATAACAGACAAGACTTGATCCCACTCAAGTCCGGTTCTTGCTTCATGCATCCGTTTAGTGCTAATCCCCGCGATGAGGAAGTACTAGTCAGCATCAAACCAAGTAAGAAAAAGACTTCCTAAATTGACCAAGTTAAAGGATGTGTTTTTATCAAATAACGTCCGAAGGTCAGAAATGTAAATATAAAATTGAAGTTTCTGTTTGTTATGTTAAAGCAGTAGGTTTTTTCATACTCACACGCTTATTTGCACGATACCTATGCCTAAAAACCAGCTTTTTTGTCTGTTGTCGGTTGTTGTCGGTTCTGTGGCTAATATGGCCTTTCGCGCTTTTCAAATTCCACGCGAACAAAGTCTCGGGTGCCAGCTAGTTTTAAATAATATAAATATATATAGTTATAAATAATATAGTGACGAACATAAACGAGGAAGTTGGCGATATTTCTGAAAACCAGTTGCGATGATTTTGATATCTTTAAAGAGTTCGATATCTTTAAACAGTTACTGTAACGGGATCAGCAGGAGATTAAGGTACGAATACATGCATCTTAGGGTGTCTAAAAGCCCTAAATATTTTTAACGCTCATTTTTTCTCATCAAAAAAGAAAAAACAATTTCAAAAGATGTTATAAAGTAAGTAAAAAAATATGACTAGAACGAGAAGCAAGAAAATCAAGAGATTTAGTGGTCAAGAAAAAAAAATTACAAACTTAAATAAAATTTATAATAAATAGATGCTTACATATTATAAAGAAATACATACTTACATATTAGAAGAAAACTATGATATTGGTGGTACACTAAGTATATTTCGTTCTATTACAGGTATGCTGTCCTCTACCAAGTAAGCCGCAACCATGTAACACTCCGGAAGGCAAGCCTGGACAATGCATCAGTGTGTACTCCTGCCCGACATTCGTAAACTTACTGAGGTCACCCATATCGAAAGAAATATTACAGTTTGTAGAGGATTCAAAGTAAGCTATTTACATTTTTCATTAAATATTAAAAAATTGGTGACGGAATCCGTGTGGCGACCGATTAAGAAAACGGAGTGACACCACTACAGTGTGTTAAGAGCCGACTAAGGCAGCAAACCAAGCAGGACAACAGCTCTTCAAAGAGGAGGAAAACTTCAAAGAAATCCTATACCAACCCGCCCAACCATAGTAGGCCAAAACAGTGGATTATTAAAGGCTTTTGATGATGTGACTCAAAAATTTATTTCACATCTATTACATGGTAAAATAAAAAACGGTTTGGGAGATATCCCTTAGGGGATATAGATGTGAGTTTATATATACATAATTTACCTATCTACCTACCTACCTACCTACCTACATTTTCGAGTCAATTATAACAAGCACAGCAATTAAATAATAATCTAGTGATCAATTTAGTGTAACTCTGCATCATCATAGATGTAAACAATTTATATTTCTAAGGCAGGTTTTTTTCTCAATGTATTATATCATGCATCTATGTTATTTTTCAGATGCGACAGTGCAGACCGATACAGTGTGTGCTGCGGTCCTGTACCAAGATTCGAAGTTGTGATGAAAGCAAATTGTACTCTAACAGCTTTCCCACCTGATCCCAAGACTGAATGCTGTGGAGTGGATAGCAGATATAACATTAAAATTGGTGGTAAGTATTTAAATTTGTATTTACAACTTCCAGATAGTCACATTTTGTTTGTGAGACACTGTTTGCAAATAGTAGTAGATTACTGTCCCATATGTAGGACGGTAGAAATAAAAAATATTTCAACTTACGCACATATTAACAGAATATATTTAATGGATTTGTAGTGACAAGCTATTGAAATAAAAATTAAAAAGGTGCAGTTATAATATATTATCCATTTTATAAATATTTCATGGAAAAGTGCATCTAAAAGTGCATTGCAGACATACGGGCCAGTAGGCTTATCTGGGATAAAACATAATGTGGTTCTAACGCATTACCCTGTGGAAAACCTAACTTATTTGTGTTTAAAGAATTTTTATTCTCATAAGAACATACAGTTAGTTCACTTATAATAAGATACATAGTAATTAACTTATGACTAACACAATATTCACTACTTAGTGTATTGGATGCTACAATGTACATTTATTAGGTCTTTACCTATGAAATTGCCGTTTTGTATGCAATAAGTGAAAGTACTTATTTTTTCAAACTTTTTTATTTCTGTTATTCGAAGTAATCACCCATGCAAGGTCTGGTGAGTATGGCGGATGAGGGAGAGCTTCCAACCCCAGCTCTTGCAGCTTGGAGACTGTCTGTTGCGCAGTATGGGGTCGCGCGTTGTCGTGAAGGAGCAGTGGGGACGACCGATTGACCAAAGCTGGTTGCAGATGTGACCACCAGACCTTGCACCTACCGACTATTACTTTTTCCAAAATTTACACAACTTTTTAGTGGGTAAAAAATTCAATTCCCGAGAGGCAGTACAAAATGCCTTTGAAGAGTTTGTTGCCTCCCGTCCAGCTGATTTTTACAAGAAGGGCATCAATAAACTGCCAATGCATTGGCAAAGATGCGTCGATTGCATGGGTGATTACAGACAGAAATAAAAAAGTTTGAAAAAATAAGTACTTTCACTTATTGCATACAAAACGGCAATTTCATAGATAAAGACCTATCTATTATGTTTTTTAAGCCCTCTTTTAAATGCATTCATACTATCACAATCCTTTAATTCTTTCGGCAGTTTATTATACAGTTGTGCTTCCTCATACAGTAATCTTTTGTTTTCGTTCTTTCGTTAGTTGTATTTTATTTATATTTCTTAAATTATGTGTGAGTGTTTTTTTGTGTAATTGTATGTCAGTTTAAATGGAATTGTTAGTAACCTTTTTAACTGGAATGCAAGTATAATATATGTAAAGTTTTTCGAGGTTCAGTAGTTTTATTTTTATATAGTAGTTTAGTTGGAGTTAGGTAATGGAATAGTACTTTAATTATTTTGCTCTGTATTGTTAGATAGTTGTTGTTGTAGATATTCAAGATGTGACCTAACTAAAGAGTTATAAATAATAGTACGGGCGATACGGGTAGTAATTAATTGCCAAAAAAAATTCAGTATCGGCAGGTGAAGCAACAACAATTTACCAATACCCGTGGCTGGCGCTCATACAATATGACAGATTTAGTTTGCTGCAATTCCAATTTAGTGGAGTCCTTATCAGTGGAAAATACGTTCTGACTGCTGGAAGGGCAGTTGCTGATGCCAAACGTAAAAGTGGTATTCCGTGAGTATTTTACTTGATATTTTATTGAAATAAATCAAATACTTTTAGTATTAACGATTGTGAATACTAAAAGTTGTCAGTCATCTGTTAAATCTTGAACTTGATTTCCATGTAGGCTTTAGTAGCTGCTTTCACTTACTTTTTCTCTTTATATTTTTCATAAGTATTGATTATTAATTGTGGCTATCTGCTCTTCATTCATATAGATAGCTTAAGTATTATATAATATGGCAAAAAGAGATGAAAAGATTTTTTTTAAGCCATTTATTTTATGGTTTTGTCTGATATAAGCAAAGGAAACGAATGTCTTCTTTTACTTCAATCCCAAGATCCTCAATAAGCTCTCAATAAAAAACCAAATATGTCAATAGTGTAAACATTACAACTGTAACCCATTTCTATTTGAAATAGAAATCCTTAAATTTGATTCATTGCTTTAATGTACTCCCGGTTCTTCTTAACGCGATTCGCTTTACTCAATTATTTAAACCATATAATTCCAGGTGTACCTCAATAGATAAAAAACGTTCTTACAATATCTAGCGTGGCAATTGTCGTTTTTGAGACTACTCGATTCAGAACTGTATGCACTCCTATTATGATAACTGTTAATGCTAATAATATTATTCTATAGTGTTAACATTCGTCTTGGAGACTACAAAGTTAGTAACGAAGGCGCTGATTGCACTGCAGTTGAAGGTGGCAGAGAGGAATGCAGCGATGGCGCGATCACGATACCAATTGAAACAACGATCCCACACCCGAATTACAATTCAAAAGACAGGTCAAACGATATAGCATTGATTAGGATGATCCAAAATGCACCATTTACTGGTTTGTAAAATTTGTCATCATTTTATCACTTGAACAATAAAAAAGCAGGGATAAATTTTTATCATTGATTCATCACATCACATCAACAGCCTATACTAGTCCACTGCTGGACATAGGCCTCTCCTTAGAAAGGAGGTTTTGGCCTACTATACCACGCTGGCCAGACGGGTTGGTATAGGGATTGTTTCAAGTTTTCCTTCTCTTTGCAGTGCTGTTGTCCTGCTTAGTTTGCTCCCTTAGACGGCTCTTACGACACCCACGGGATGAATTGGGGTGGTGACAATTTGTATTCTTAATCCGTCACCACACGGACGGTCATTGATTAACAAATTCAATTTTTTATGGTATGGTAGACAAGTAAGCCTCTTCGACCACCCCAGTGCACCACCGTGCACTTTTTTTTTGTTTTTTTGCCTCGCACAACCAATCTGGTTAACAAATTACCGCCTGCGATATTTTTACGCACCGATACGACCTCGAAAGAGTGTATTCCTTAAAGGCCGGGAACGCGCTTGTGACTCCTGAGTTACAGGCGTTCATGGGCCGCGATAGTCACTTTCCATCAGATGAATCATCTGCTCATGTGCCCCCTATTTGAAGCAGAAAAGTTACTGCATTAAGAACTTGCCCTTTACAGTTTTATGTAATTTAATTACTAATTTTAATATATCTTTTGCAGACTTCATCCGACCTATTTGTCTGCCAAGTTCGGATATCACACAAAAGACTGATGATTTCACACTGACTACTGTCGGCTGGGGTACTTCTGGTTTATGGCCAATGATAAGTGATACAAAATTCCATGCCGACGTTCCTTACCTGACTCGGAATGTGAGTAATTATATTTGTATATTCATCATCATCAACAGCCTTTAATAGGCCGTTTACACACATGGTGAGCCTTGACAAGTGTCCACAAACACCAGTGTGTAAACGGGGTGTTTCGCTCGGCTCGCGTGTACTCGTCGTCGATCGGTACTAGTGTCGGATTTTTATCACAGAGGGCCAAGTGCGAGTTTATTTCACTTCTACTGGATCGTCAAGGTGACCGCGTTCGGCGCTACGATTGGCCCGCACTAAAATCTCCACCAATCTCAACGTTAAACGAGCTCGCCGTCGAGAGCTTGCACTTGCACTCAGTCCTCAGATCAAAGGGAGCTCGCGGCAAGCGTTTGCGATTTACACGTGTGCGCGTGCTTGTTCCCTACTGCTCAATTTGATATTACACGTATTGTAGTTGAGCAGTCGGGAATCAACATTAAGTCCCAATGCTCTACTGATTGAGCAGTTTAGTTGAGCAGTAGGGCTAGAGACTATTTTTTTAGTTTAGTGCCGCCGTTTATATTTTAAATGAAATATGTCCACGTCTGCTATGTTTGTCTGTCCGGAACACAATAGCACAATCGCCAGCGTGTAAATGGCATCGAAGCGTTTGTAAAGACTTGGAGCGTTTGTAAAGTCCTCTGCTGGACATAGGCCTCTCCTTAGAAAGGAGGTTTCGGTCAATGACGCCATGACGCTTCCTACTACGCTGAGTGTTGTGGGTTCGATTTTGAAAACCTAGGTGTTAGATTCCCTAGTGCAAACCATTTTAATATATGCATACTTTACAAGCATTGGTGTTGAGGTTTCTATGTATAACATTCGTACTTAGAAGAAATCATACTAAGTACGTCTATTTGTGTTCTACAACACAAACTGTATACAGTTTTTTTTGTTTCTTTAGATTCGATAATCTTTCCATATAATAGTCTCAATGTCGTATAGACGCACAATAATAGGACATTAAGATATTATATTTACATAATATTACAATACTACATTACATTAAAGTTAGAATTACATATTATTTATCATATACTTTACATAACGTTACATTCCATTACATTATGTTTTAGTATAATAACCTTGCTATAAATATAATATAAATTTATGAAATTGTATTACTTTTCAGCAATGTCGAGATTTATATTCCCAGCAGGCTTCTAAAGTAACACTAGGAACAGGCCACATATGTGTTGGAAATGCTCCAAGTGATGTTTCCTGCAAAGGCGACAATGTGTTAATGTATAAAAACAATATGGTATACGAATGTGTCGGAATCAACAGCTTTGGCGCTATACCGTGCCAGCATATCGTACCTTTAGTGTACACCAACGTGTACGTATACATGTCTTGGATAAGGGACACAATTGCTCCCTAATATTATTTATTTCTATCTTCTAGAAATTAAAATTAATAAAAATTAAAAGATAATAATGTTATTTTATTTCTAAGAATAAAATAAAAATTCTTTGATCTTGTTCAGTAAAAATATGCTTAATTAATTCAAATTTATTTCATCTACCGAAGAGAAGCCGAACTCCCTGGTAAGTACTGATCTTGCATTCGCAATAAACACTGATCGCGCGATAAGAGTTCTTGCGCTGATTAGTTTAGCACCCCAACTTCTAACGGGTGACGGTCTGCCAGACCTGCCCGACTCACTTCGTCTGGTTAGAGAACTGTCGATATTATCGAAGACTCTTACAGATTCTATCTGCTATCGACTGCAAAAATCTACAATCACGTATCAAAATCCTTAAGGATTTTCAAAACAAAATATTAAACAATGTCGTTGACACTATGAAACCATTTCTACAGCAGAGATTTTTTTTCTTAAAGACAAATTCGGCACTGGGAATATATCCTGTGCCGCGGGGAACTTTACCAACATTTATGAAAGAGACACAAAAAACACCCAGACCCGGAACAAAAATTTGTGGAACGCCGAAAGTGTCCCATGTGGAGATTGAACTCACAAACAAAAGCAACGTACAGTCAGGCGATTTTTAGTATCCATTAAAAGTTGAAATTATATTAATTGTAGTTGTTAAAAAAAAATTCAATGTTGGTATGAATTATGTACTAGTACAACAAAAGAAACGTGTATTTCCGTGAACTTTTGAAAAAAATTGGTGCTCCGTTCACGAAATCGCAACAAATGAGTTGTGCCGATTCACACTGTAAAATAACTCGCAATACCACTTACACTTGAATTAATCAGACATCCTAAGGCGCGCCAGTTTAAATTTAAACTCTATCACATGTGTTTTAGTGCCCAAAATTACTGCAGTTTTATCTGCAAGGGTGCATACATTGCCTCTGATGTAAACACACCGAGTAATGTCAATTGAACAAGTTCGTAGTGAAAAGACGTATTTTAATTTACCCTTTATTGTTTGATATGTGATAATTAATCAATAAGATGCATATTTGGATAACACCGTCCACATATTTTGCTGTTTCCTGTGTGATATATGGACGTAAGTATTTCAGTACTAACTCATTTACAAGATTAAACTATGTAGTTTTACAAACTATATTCCATTAAAACATTCAAACTAAAAGATAGTACATGGTGGTGGTGGGTTTCACCACCCTTAAGACATTATCAATGTACGAGAAATGTTATAATAATAACAATAATAACTGGACCCATCTCACACACAGGCGTCTAATCCCAAAATCCTTAAATTACCAGAATAATTTGCGAGCATATTAGTTTGCTATCCTGTACATATGTCTATTGATTCAGATTAATATAATATGCTCGTTAAAGCAAAAAAAAATGCTACGTTATTTTTGTTAACCTTACTTTTGGATTCGAATTCAATTGAGAAAGTGAAGTTTATAAAAAAATGGGCGTTTTGTAAAAAAATGAGCTTATGTTTACTTACCAACAACTAAACCATGTACTCGCTTGACCCATATACCATTAAAAATAGAATATATGAAGAAAACCCGCAGAGTTTTAAAGAAAGTATTATTTGATTTTAGTATTAACATTATTCTTGGAAAATATGACACTAGTAACGAAGGTCCCGACTGTATTGAAGTTGAGGGCAGTGGTAGCTGTACTGATGGAGCTATCAGAATACGAATTGAGTAAACGATACCACTCCCACAGTACGATCCAAGACAGCTGATCAACAACATAGCATTGATTAGGATGACCTGAATGGCACATTATACAGGTTCATGTGAAATTACTCTTGTTTCTTCGTATGTGCCAAGACATGAGACCGTATTTTAAATTTGATTTGCGTTTATTTTTAATGGTTAGCTGATTCTGGTAATAGATGCTTATAAGTTGAATAATGACTTTTTCACATCAGGGTTAAAGCATAATTACACATTTGCAGATGAGCTACATTTTGGAATCTATGTTACCTCTCCTCAATGCTTTCAATCAAACACATACACAGCGCTATGCGATTATCAGAATGATTTTAGATTATGAGATTATTTTTTTTTTAGTTTTCTCTTTACTTGTATTTGGTACACAAAATAAATATAATCTATGCAAACCCGATTAAGACGAGAGTCCTGAATATTGAAAATACATTACATGCATACATTACATTACGTGCAACTAGAATGGAGCAAGGTGGCAGTCATATAAAAAAGCACTTAACTGCCTTACGTAAATCGGGATGTAAGTAAATAATTCATTGGTAATCTATTAGATATGAACTAGACAACTAACAAATATACTAAATTAAGTATGAGGTGTTTCACAGGGATCCATTTTAGGACCTACACTATTTTTTATTTCGATTGAAAGTTAAAGGCAGAATTGTTTAGATCCTAACAGATAAAGACTTTTATATAAATCTAGTCAAGATTGGTAAATAAATTTTCTTTGAAAGATCCGTATTTCAACAGTGGTAATTTTAATTAACTAATTAATTGACATAAATTTTCAGGAATGTTAAAATGCGTATAATACGAGTACAGTGACACCCGCTAAAGGGTATATTTGCGCTGGTGGCGTAGAGGGTGAAAATACGTGCAGTGGTGATAGTACGCTTGTGTATAAAAAGGGTATGTACGAGTAAACTAGTATCGTCAGCTTTGGCGCTAGGCGGTGTGGCCAAAGGGGCAAACCTACAGTATTCACAAATGTTTACGCGTATAATTCCTGGATTAGTAGCAATATTGTTGCGTAGTTTTGTGGCTGGAGCAGATTTTACATATATGTATGTAGGATATAGGATGATTTATGGACAAAATAAATAATTTTAAACAAAATTTAAAGTTTATTTTGACGTCCCTTGTAACTACACTTAACTATAACTACCATGCTGAAGCTATAATAATTTAAAAAAAGGAAGAAGAATGAGAAGAAACAAAAAATGATCACTAAATTTAGAAACTTCAAATATATAACACAATCAACGGTCAAAATGAAATTAAAAAACAAGACAAAGATTTTCGTTTCAGACATTTTGCAAAATTATAGAAAAGCATGGCAGCTTCAGGAAATAAAGGCAGGAATGCAATTGATGTGGATAGCGGTTTGATGTGTATTTATGAATGGAATACAATTGAGTTCAAGTTAGCATTAACACATTATAATCAGAGGTGGTCCGAGGTCCGTCGGAGTACCAAGGATTTCCTTTCTAGGGTAAAAATTTTACATTTTATATTTATTATTCTAACGAGATATACAGTACCTACATTACAACAGACGAAACTGTCTGGATGAAAAGACGGAGATATATGCAATATGTTTAAATTAACATAGCATGTGTATGTGTATATTGTTGTTGTTGAAAATTTTACATTATTTGATAAGTATAGGATCAAGCATAAAAAAATAAAATGATGGTATTACCATTTAATAAAATATGATGTACATCTCCTTTCTTAAACACTTAAATATTTTTTTACTAAACCTATAATTAACATACATAAATAAAATCAGTCAAAGTTAATACTTATTTAAAAAAAAAAATGAAATAGAATGAAAAATATATTTACCTCGCATATTCCAAGCTAACATAAGATTTGTCAGCTCAAATTAGTGTAAATATCGAATAGAACATTATTAATTATTAAAATAGTTGCATAATTGTGAAATGATGACAAAAAAAGACAAATGGTATTTAGTATAGCAGATAATAGTCCCACCTTCATGCTACTATTACACTAGACACACTAGACAACAAAAATAACTGCCAATTAGAACATTAAACCGGTAAAGGACTGCGACATCAAAGATACAAGCGATGTCCCGTGAAAAAAAGGTCGTATAAAAATAATATAAAATTACAAATCACACACGAATTTTGAGATGAATTTCCGAGCGTTTGGGGGATTCTGCTTTACATAATATGATAGTGATCAAATATAGCTGACTTAGGGCCCATAACAGTTTGTGTCCATGGCGCTTCCCTGATTGAAAGGGTGTATGCCTTAATTTTGTTGCAGCTTCCAAGATAGTTTAACTGTTCTGGGAATTTTCCGAGTGTCATATCTCGGTGTGTTCGTGGGTCACTGCTGTTGATCCTGGTGTGCAGGAGTTACAGTAGTGGACGTGTGGGAGGGATCAGTACCAAATGAAATGAAATGATGATTGATGATTCTTCCATGAAAGAATACCAATCATAGAGTAAAGAATGAAATAAAGGACACCTTAGAAAAACAAATATTAAAAAATAAAATCTAATAGGGATAGAGGCTTTAAGGCTCTTTTTATAAAAATACATTTTTCAAAAGTTTACTAATTTATAGATAAGCAAAGAAGTCACGAATAAGACAGAATAGCTCTGTCTCGTTCGTGTGGCAGTACAGTTAACTAGATATACCAGTTATACTTGACTTTTATTTCCTTAGATGATTTGTCTCAGAGAATAAACAAAATCGTTATGTTAAGACGTCTACGTTACCTTTAAATGTGATATAATTTCATAAAATGAACTACGTATCAATATTATTCGCATTCTTCGCTCCTCCCTACGTGGTGTTTGCACGTAAGTTTTGATAACATTTCGTATAAGGAAACAACTTACAATTAATTTTGTGATTTGTTGATGATGTAAATAAAATCTTCTAGCTGTTAAAAGTTAGTGAATGTCTAGCAGAATTTGTTTTAAAATACTGTACAATAAATAAAATCAATAGTAGTAATTCAATAAACTAAAGTTAGTTGTAATTTAAACTTGGTTTAGTTGTGATTTGTAAATCGAACTTAAAAGTTATAGGTTAAAATTATTTCAAATGCATTTAACAAGAACATTACAAATAAAAAACATAGAGTGACGAAAGTTACAAGCAAATACGCCTGTATAAAGTGACATCAATGAGAAATAATTATGTAAATACACGGGAATCAATTCCAGCAATTCAAACGTATGTATCTTATTCTGTGATCCTATTAATTACCGTGTTAAGTTAGGCAACAAGGCAGTCAGTATCAAGATGATAATTTACGGCAGTTTCTGATTGCACGGAACAATTTGTGCTAAAATAGCAGAGAATTAACATAGAATAGAATTGATTAGAGCTTAACATAAAAGAATATGATAATTTAAATTTTATATGACTAAAATATACAAATATAACTAACATATTTTTGTCTATTGACTGGTATGCAAAAATGTGTAATGTATAAAGGAAGGCCTTATGACAAAACCAATTTCTTCCGGGATACTTTGATTTGTAAATAAATAATGAAATTAGTTTCGTAATCAATAAAGATACCTATATTTATCTTCTTCATATTATAGAACAAGGACCTTGCGAGATACCTTTAAACGGTGGCCAAGGGCAATGCAAGTCAATCTTCAAGTGCCAACCGTTACTGTCTTTAGTCAATCAAGCGAAGAAAAAGCTGCAAGAAAAAGATCTGCTACACAGGTCATATTGTGGTATAGATGATGATACACCAGCTGTAGGTATTTCACATATTTCATTTTTCATGCTCACACTTGAATACATCTTTGGTGACATGCATTTGGCGATATCCACAAATTTTTGATGCAATTGAAAATTAGTTTGCGATATTTCGTCACAGTTAAAATTGAGTTAATGATCATCAGGTCTAAACATGATTGTATTGTAGGTGTGCTGCCCTAAACATAATGAGACACAACCGTGCATTACTCCAGAAGGCAAGCCAGGCCAATGCATCAGCTTGTACTCTTGCTCTCAATTTACAACTTTGCTAATGCAACCTCTAACGAACGATATAAGGGAATTCGTGCGGATTTCAAAGTAAGTAAACAATATTAGATGCCGAGTAAAAAATATCATGATTATGATCAAGAAAAACAATATAAGCATCTGTTTGGAATATTGAATTCCCCCAGTTGATTTCCTACGACTAGGTAATATTAAGACACGGTATGCAATAAGCAACGAGTTAAATATGCCATCTTCTCTGATTTTGAGTTTGTCGTTAGTGTCAAATTTATTGTTTTGACTAAATAAAGAATTGCTTATTTCGATTCGAACCATTAATGAAATTCACTATATGTGAGTACATGGTAGGAATTTGAATATTTTGTAAGTTTCTTAAATCTTTATTCCTTATTTATTTAAAACTTAATGCACATGTTGTACAAAGGCGGACTTAATGTCATTAGGCATTATCTCCCAGTCATCCTTCAGGTGATGTAGAAATATGATGTGGTTTAACTTGGTTTAACCAGCTATCTAGTGATTTATTGTTAGTATAAACATAATTGTTTATAATATTTATATTTTGGTTTTGTATTGCTGTTTTATATCATGTAATTGTAGTTGATATTTTTTCAGATGTGACGGTATGGACCAATACAGTGTGTGCTGCGGGCCCATCCCAAACTTTGACATTGTCAAAGGAAACTGTACACTTACAGCTTTCCCACCTGATCCCAGGACTGAATGTTGCGGGGTGGATAGCAGATACCAAAATAAAATTATAGGTTAGTTTTAATATGATTAAAAGAAAACCCAGAACAATAAGGTATAGAATATCTCATAACGCACGTAACGCGCTAATTGCAATATTTTTTTAAACTAATAAAATCGGGACTTTCTTAAGATTATTGTCTATCAGCTCAAAACTTCAAGACTATCTCCTCTCATTTGTGGCAAAGTATATTTATTTATTTAATGGGTATGGTAACGGAAACAGATCAAAACATTCACAATTATGTTGACAATATTTACTACTTTAAATATTTACAATATTTTTCGTATCAGGCAGTTTTTTTCCTGAATGAAATGTGTACCCTATGTCATTTACAACAATGACTTCACAATGATCGGATGATACTGCATCATATAAGCTCGACTACACAGATTTAGATTTTTATTCATTACGAGGCATGCCTTTTAAGTTTTGTCGTTTGAAGAAAATAATACAACTAGAACCTTATAGTACTTTTTATTGTTTTTCAAAGTATTCATCACGTAGCTTAATACACTTTTCCATTCGCTCAAACCAGTTACTCTAAAGTGGGGGTGTTCAAAATGGCTGACTTGAAAGCGTCGACTGCTTCTTTACCGTACTGGAACCTTTGACCACGAAGACTTTTCTTAATTTTAGGAAATGTAAAGAAATCGTTAGGGCTTAGGTGGAGGATGGTCAAGAATTTCTACTTTTTCCTGCTTCAAATACTCCATCGTTTGACGAGCAGTGTGTGAGCTTGCGTTATCGTGGTGCAGGATGATGCGTCGCTTTGAGTTAGATTTTCGAAGTTCAGGGGATGACTTGTGGTAAACAAACTGTGGTATACCACTCTGCGTTAACCGTTCTACGATCTTCAAGTGCAATAGTCGCAACATGGCCGGTTTTTTCAACGAACGTGGCCACCATCTTCTTTGAAGTGTTTCGAGAAGGAACAACTTTAGTCGGCTTTGGCTCGCCTTGAAAGACCCAGATTGTAGATTGTTGTTTGGAATCAGGATCGTAGGTATAGATCCAAGATTCGTCACCACTGATGATACTGATGTCGTATACGTGATTTCACTCTCCTCGGTTGAACCTTTGCAGAGTTTTCTTACACCATCCGACGCGGGACGCCTTGTGATCTTCTGAATGATTGTCCCTGAGATGCCTGATAGAGCCTCTATCTCTCGATACGTCACATGACGATCTTCGAGAATTAGTTGTCTCACAGCAATGATGTTATCTACAGTTAAGGCGGATTTTGGGCGTCCTTCGCTAGATTTATAACTAACACTAGTATGTCTATGCTGGAATTCTAAATACCAGCGTTCGACAGTCCGCAGACATGGGGCTTCATCACTGAACACAGATGTTAGCTCTTCAAAACACTGAAGCCGTGTCAGGCCTCTTCTTAAGTTGTAAAAAATTATTGCACGAACATTTTCCTTAGAAAGATTTATTTTCGTACGTAACCTGACAGATTCCAATCGACGCTATAACTAAACAGTAGCATTAATCCTAATACTTTCAACTGTTTTAAGATTTAAAATTTAAACACATTCGAATATAGAACAGTTCCAAATTCAAAATTGCCGGGAAATATGGAAACGACAGAACTTAAAAGGCATGCCTAGTAGTGTAATACTAAATATAGTAATATTTCCTTAGAGTAGAACTTCTAATTCTTTCAATAATCTTTGAGGAACTGGACATTTATCCATGCTCTAATGTTCAGTATAATATGTCTTCAGGTGGTACGGCGACAGATATCGATCAGTACCCATGGTTAGCGATGTTGGAATTAAATAAAAATGGTGAGCAGAGGTCGTTTGGCATGGGAGCTCTTATCAGTGGGAAATATGTTGTGACTACCGCCTCAATAGCTGTTAGCGATACTCTTGGCAAAATGTAAGTATTCTATATTTTTGTTCGACATGACTTTTCCTCATTCCTCTTTCTCTTAGTTAGGTAAAACTCCAATCTCACTCAAAATCAATCGGTAAAACTCAAAATCAACTTACGACCAGTTTTACCTGTTTGTGCTGAAAATTTTCACAGAGCACAGAGAGACACAGAGCAGTCTATTTCTTGACTCATGCACTGTGCCATAGCGGCACAGTGCAGGAGATAGTAGGGATAGCAGCTATTGCTACCATACCTAAATATATATTTGTAGGTGAACATGCAGTATAGATATATCTTCTATACAAATAAATAAAATTGAAGTGCCCGTTTGTAATGTAAAATAAAAGGGTTTTTTCATACGGTTATATGCACGATACCCATGCCTAAAAACCAGTTTATTTATTTTTTAGTCTGTCTGTCTGTTTGTTCCGGATAATTTTCTAAACCGCTTGAACGATTCGGGTAATATTTTACATCAGTAACTGAGGCTATTTTGCCTCTCAGAAAAACATTTTTTTTTAAAGTTGTCAGGATCTGGAATCGACCCGACTAAGGCAGCGCAAATTCCACGCAAACGAAGTCGCGGGTACCAGCTAGTTAATACTATATTTGAGCACACATAACTCCGATCCAGCAGCGTGATACAGCTTTCTTTAAAAAAAAAATGTGTTTAAGAAATTATTTCTGTTGCTTTTCTTTGAGTTAACTGAGACGGAGATGCCAACACTCCCCTCTACCCTCCCTTATGTGTGGGTGGCTAGTGAGTTCTCATGGGTAGCAACGCTGTTGTGTATCTTGAATTATACAAGTACATATGCAGTAGCAGTCACTTATCAACAGGTAACCATTACACATAGAATATGTCTGAGAAAATCAAGTGATTTTAAAAGTATTATTTAATTATAGTGTAAACATTGTTCTTGGAGAATATGACACCAGTAACGAAGGTCCCGACTGTGTTGAAGTTGATGGTGGTGGTGTGGACTGTACTGAAGGTGCTATTAAAATACCGGTTGAGAGGATTATACCACATCCCCAATTCAATGCAACAGAGCGGATTAATGATATATCATTGATTAGAATGAAGCAAAATGCACCCTATACAGGTTTGTCTGAAATGTGCTCTTTACTGTTATTGATTATTGATATATTGACTGGTTGGACCGTGGGTGTAGTAAGAGCCGACTAAGGGCGCAAAACAACGCAGGACACCAGCACTGCAAAAAGAAGGAAAACTTGACACAAACCCGCGACTGTCGGCATCAGGGCGACAACTAACAACGGCACTGAAAATCAGTACTGAGGTGGTATCTATCCACCACAGTGTACACTGAGGGTCCACCTATTTTCTGAAGCACGGCGTATAACCCTCAGCAACATTAAAGGTTTTTTATGGTACACAGGTTGATAAGTATTACTTGATAATTACTAAAATAGTTATTATAAGTAAAATTATATGGACGCGTGGTTGGATACGTGGCACATTCATGTGTCATGTCAGTTCTGTCAGAAATGAAAGATTGACACATTGAAGAATGTTGCCGTTATCAAACCTTACTTGATTTTTGGATTCTTTGTGTATGTTGTTTTTAACTTTTGTTTTATTTTTGTATGCTGTGCTTTATGAAATAAGTATAATTATATTCTATTCTATATCAACCCGTCTGGAAAGCCTGGTATAGTAGGCCAAAACCTCCTTTCTTGGGTCTGTATCCAGCAGTGAACTATTAAAGGCTGATGATGATGACTGCTATTGATACTTTACGACGACTTTCGACACGAAAAACAAAGAGCTTTATATGACCATAAAAGTGTGTAGATTTGTAAGTTTGGATATACGCAGTAAAATTAAGGAGTTACTGATACTATCTTCTTCTTTTACCTTCTAAAAATATACTTATATCTATACCAAAAAAGTTAAAAAACACACATTAAAACCTATTAGTAACATATTAGACAATACGGAACAAATACACGATTTTAGTCCAATTTTGAATTCATCTTGTTGCTTTGAAGCTTGAGTGCGATTTGATGGTCAAATCAGTGAACCGCCTGATAGAGACACATGGAGTTAAATTTAGAATAAATTCGTTTTAGGCGTAGCACAAAATATAGTTTTAGTAGTTTCGATTCCGAGACACCGTCAAACCGCAAACAACAGTGGCATAACGACCCAAGAAGGTTTTTACCAAGCAAAAACGAATAAATTATTATGTTTACAAAAATACTTTATTTTTCAGACTTTATCCGACCAATCTGTCTCCCTGCCGCAGATGTTACGTTAAATTCTGAACCTTTTTATTTGGTTGCTGCCGGTTGGGGTGCAATTAGTGTAAGGCAATCCTCGACAGACATTAAACATCATGTGGATCTACCTCACGTAAGCCGGGACGTAAGTATATGAACATATATTTATATATACTGTCTATATATATTTATATATAAATGCAATGTCAGCCAATGTACGTTAATGCGTTATTATGTAAACAAATCAATGTCCAATTATGGCAATGATATCTGGGACTTAGCTTTTATAAACTGTGAGTAAAGACAAAAAGGTTATTTTAAGATTGCACATTCGTAATTGAAAAACGTGATGGAAGGACAGAAAAATCTTGATTCTGAAGATTTTCTTCAGAATCAAGATTTTTCTGTCCTTATCATAACTTTATTTGAGGTCAGTAATCCGGTAATCCGTGTGGTGATGAATTGGGAATATGGAGTGTCACCACTCTAATTCATCCCGTGGGTGTTGTAAGGGAGTATACTACGCATGACAACAGCACTTAAAGGGAAAGAATCTTGAAACAAACCCTATGCCAACACGTCTGGCCAGGTATAGTAGGCCAAAACCTCCTTTCTAAGGAAAGGCTTATGTCCAGCAGTGGACTACTAAAAGTTGTTGATGATGATAAATTAAAAAAAAAACCGACTCACATAACTTGTGACCACGGTCAATAACAATAAAAAATAACAATTATCTCACACCCTAACTACGCAGCCTGTCAATCACTTCAAAGGCATTTTTATCATATATTATGTGACACGTTAATACCTGTTTATTATTAATCTTTTATTTCCAGCAATGTCAAAGTGCGTATTCTTCGAGGCCTAGGCCTGTCGAAATAAGGGAGACCCATCTTTGCGCCGGAGGTGAAGAGGGAAGAGATACTTGCAAAGGTGATGGTACTCTCATGTACATAAACGGCATGACGTACGAATATGCTGGAATCGTTAGTTTTGGGCCTGTTCTATGTGGCCTAAAAGACGTACCTACAGTTTACACAAATGTATACAAATACAATAATTGGATTCGAAACAACATTGTTCCTTAAGTATTCATCCCCGAATTTCAGGAACTGTTTAGTAAGTAATTAACTTGAAAATATAATATAGAAATATTTCTAATGACTTTTATTTTAACAAACAAAAATATATATAGAGGTCGGTGGCGTAGTAGCCAAGTGTCAAATATGAAGCAAAGGACTTAACAGTATACTACCGACACGTAAGCTTATTCCAAAGCCTACGTGTAGAGAATCTCCACAGGCCGAAATCACGACAGAGCTTTTTGGTGAGTTCCAACTAAAGCTACACGACCCAAAAGAGAATAAAGGTTCGTAAACGATTAAATGTTGATATTATAGTAGCAATGCAATGGCACCCGGCTACAGTTTTGCGGGCAGCCATATTCGATTTTTGTTGGGTAGGCGAAAAACATGTCCCGTATATTCGCTGACACACACGCCTAAGATGCAGTTTGTAAAACTTTTTACGACACTTGACATTTTGAAGTGAAACTTCTTTGGAATCAATGTGATTTGAAACTCGATGAAACGAAAATGCGTCACGATAAAGAAACAAACACATACATGTATAGGATTAAGTCGGCGAAAGAATAAAATAGAATGCACATTTTTAATATAATATTTTGACAGTATGAATGTTTTTTTCTTTTTATTTAATACTGGCTGATACCCGCTGCCTTAGTCGATTTCCGGGCCGGGTAAAATTATAAAAGTTTTATTGAGATAAAAAAAAATAAAAAAAAATTGATGTGTGTGAATTGCACACACACACACACACTTTTTTTACTTTTCGTTTCCACCCAGGACAAATATTGTATGATGAGCACGATCATTTGATCTGTGTCTGGGTGTAACTTATCTACTCGTATAATATGTATTTAAAAATATTTGAGCATGTTTATCAGCCGTCTAGTTACCACAGTCCAGGTTCTGCCTAGTTTAGTATCAGATGGACGTGTGTGAAATGTGTGAGGTTATATTATTCATGCGGCCCGCTTATTTGCCTTAGTCTTATTAACTATAGAAAGGCATTTTGTGACGTTTCATATGTGTAGAAAAAAATCTTAGTGAATATAATTATGTAGAATTGTTTATAATGTAGATTTTTTTAAATATCTTTAACAGTTACGGAATCACAGTTACTACATAATGTTAACAATATAAAATACAAATAGAAACACATACAATTCCGATTTAGGCATTTATAGATTCTTAAGAGGGCGTATAAAGCAAAATTACCAATCTTACTTTTGATTTTACATGAAAAATTCCAGACCAAATCTTAAAATAAAAATGTATGAGTAACTACATGATATATCCGAGGGTTCACTTTGATCAAAAACATGAAATAATAACATTTACTCGATAGAAAAAAAGTACGAAGTAACCTCTAATTCTAATATTTTTCCGTTTTGTACTCGATATGGTAATGCCTATTGCGACAAAAATTTGATAATTAATTATACTTATACAAGAGTAAAGGCTTTGTTTAGGCATTTTATGTAATTTCTTTTAGTTTTGGATTTTGACGATATAACAGTTTTGGCGCATACTACGTTTTTATTCCGCGCAAGAAGTCATCGTCCGTCGCACGTTGCGGGAGCTTCAAGCATATTTCTACGAGTATTTCAGACATCAGTCACACCAGTCGCTACCGCTCCGTTGAGACGAGAGGACTACGCTCAAGTGTTTAGGCGCGCCGAGTTATTATCAATTCAATCATAATTGTTGTTGTTGTTCGAAATAAAAGGTGAAATGGGTAACAAGAAAAAAACATTGAAAAGACTTCCGAAACGAAAACTAAAAAAGTTACAAATGGACAAGATGGCTAATTGTCGAAGGTAAGTTTGTGAGTTACCTGTTTGTTTTATATGAAAAGTTAAAAAATACAACATTTCATACGTTCGATAAAGTTTGTACAGGCGATTTTACATTTTATTTTGAGAGATAACGGATCTAAATTCGTTTACCTACTCCCACTTTCACGGGCCAAGTACCTAGATATGACGCGACGATATCAAAAATTCATAGTTGGTACTTTATTAGATTATTAGGATAGGAGGTAATAAATTAGATATATAATAGGTAGCTATTTACTTTTGCTTTTTGTTATATTATTCTTCACAATAAAAAATTCTGATCATTTTCCCCTAGTGTAATTATGATATCTTCCAAAAGTCTAGATAGACGTATGGACTACATAATGATCTTGCGAGTATTCTATAAAAATATTAAAATAATAATAATTATATTCTCCATAATTCTATGATCACTCATAAGTAACGCGGGCAGTATAGTTTGGTATAGTATATGCAAAATAAACACAAGCTTTTAGTTGGTGTCTGTGTTTGTTCGATGAAATATATTTATGTCGATGTCGAAGCTATTTAAGTAGGTTCATTAGGTATTTAAAACCTATTTTTAACCGACTTCCAAAAGAAGGAGGTTATCAATTCGACTATTATGTTTTTTTTTTGTGTGTTTGTTACGTGATTACTCCACCAATTATGAATGGATTTTGATTGTTCTTTTTTTATTTGAAAAATTATACTCCTGAGGTGGTCCCATTTAAATTAGGTGAAGATCTGATGCTGGTCTTCGGAGATATACAAGAGAACTCTTCAAAAATAGACGGTAAATCGGTCGTGATGGCTGCAATCGCTTGGATGTTTATATGCTTGTCAAATATTTTTATAGGATATTACAAATAAAAATAGAAAAATAAAAAAAACTTCTTTGCAAAAAAAAACCGACATCAAAATAAACACAAATCGAAAACAAAAAGAAAACACTAAAAAGTGAAAAATAACTTTAGCTTCAGAAGCCGGTGACAAAAATACCAAATCAATCAAACAAAGGTCAAGCTTCAGAAGCATGTGACAAAAACACCACTTGGCTTGTACGTTGTGTAGTCACAGCTCTAACCTACTAATACTTGGTAATTATAATTAAGTTAATTTTTTTCATTACAGTTCATTGAAGCCACGAGCCACTCGAAAGAGGCGACCACAAATGCAGAGTACAATTCCAGATGAAAATTTGTATGATGCAGTAGAGAGAGTGATAATAGATAAGGTGTACTTTTTTGAAAAATTAAAAATTATATCGAATCATGCTCCTCAATTTAGCTGCACACTATCTAACTTAAACATTATAGGGGAAACTAAATTAGGTTTAAATTCTAAATTAAAACTGTCCTGTAATATGTGCAGAGGTGAATTTATAATTAATACGTCAGATCCACAGCCAACCCAGAACCTAGACATTAATACAGCAGCAGTTTCTGGTATTACTAGTGCAGGTATTGGCTTGGAGCAATTCCAAGGCTTATGTATAGCCATGAATCTTCCCACATTGACACAACAATTGTACCGGAAAAAACACACAGAAATTTGTGATCAATGGGAAAAAACAGCACATAAAGTTATGGAGGCTGCAGCAGAGCGTGAAAGACTAGCTGCAATAGAAGAAGGAAAGGTGAAAAACGGAGTAGCAGTCATTGATGTCATTGCTGATGGCTGCTGGTCTAAGCGCTCGTACAAGAGCAACTATACTGCGCTTTCTGGAGCAGCAGCCATAGTCGGTAGAAAGTTTAGAGAAGTTCTTTTCTTAGGAGTTAGAAACAAGTACTGCTGTATCTGTGCCCGTGCTCAGAATAAAGGCATAGCTCCAAGCGAACATAAATGTTTCTAAAATTATACTGGTAGCTCATCTGGCATGGAGGCCGAAATAATAGCAGAGGGTTTCAGAAAATCAGTAGAGATGTACAACATTATCTACGGAAGACTGATCGCAGATGGCGATTCAAGCACCTACTCGAATATTCACGAAGAAAGGCCATACAAAGATGTTACAGTGGAAAAAATCGAATGCAGGAATCATATTTTACGGAATCTGTGCAACAAATTAGTTTCTGTCAGCAAAGACACAAAATACTCACTGCCTATGAGAAAAATGCTAACTACGCAGAGAATACTCGCTATTAGAAAAGTCATTTGTTGTGCTTTAAAAAATCATAAAGCAGAAACTTTGGAATTGGGAGAAAGAATAAATAAACTCTATACTGATATTTCTAATTCGTGCAATCATGCATTTGGACATCACACCAAATGTCTTGATCACTACTGCAGCAGTGAAAAGAAAAATGAAGATCTCGTTCTAAGAGTTAAAAACTCTGCATTTTGGGCCAAAATCCAATACATTGTAGGCATAGTTGCCGCACATTCTCGAAAGCCTTATTAATGATTGTGATAGCAATGCCGTCGAACAATTTAATAGCATAATTGCTAAATTCGTAGGCGGCAAAAGAACAAATTTAGTACAACGGCAAACATATCAGTCTAGATGTGCAGCTGCAGTGGTGGCATTCAATACCAAAAGGCCATTGTATAATATACAAAAATCTTTGCTGGGCAAAAGCCCCAAATCAAAAAGTAAAACATTTGAAGGGGAAAATCAAAAGAACAAGCTAAGAAGAAAGTTAACACGGAGAAGGATTAATTATAATGAAAAATTGACAAGCACAGACAAACATTATGGAACAGACAGCTGCCATAAACCCGACATGGAAGAATATATTTATAGGATAGCAAAAGAAAGTTTCTTGAAAAGTTTAGAAAAGTCGAACCAGGAAAGGCTGCGTATCGAACGTGCAACTATTTTGCAAAGAGATAGTAGTGAGTGGTTGGAACTTCGTAGGAATTTACTTACAGCGTCCAAATTTGGAAAAATAATAAAACGTCCAACCACCAGCGCGAGTATCGTAAAAGCTATGTTGTATAAAAGCGATATCTCGAACGTAGCTTCAATAAAACACGGTGTGGACAACGAGACTATTGCGCTCAACCAGCTAGCGGCAAAGGAAGGAGTGGAAATAATATCTTGTGGCCTATTCATAGATAGTGAAATACCTTTTTTAGCTGCTACTCCAGATGGTCTCGTGGGAAATGATACAATCGTTTAGGTCAAATGCCCAATGTCAGCTTTTAATATGCCCATTAAAGAAGCTGTTGAAAAAAGAAAAATTAAGTTTTGGAATATCAAAGACGGGACTATGGTTGTCAACACCAACGCTACTTGGTATTACCAAATACAGGGCCAGCTTCATATAACTAAAAGAAATGTTTGTCTCTTTGCTGTATGGCTCGGTGAAAGACAAGCGATAGCCGTCGAAAAAATACAACGTGACGAAGATTTTTGGGAAAAAAAATGATTTCTAAGCTCACTGACTTTTATATGGATCATATATTACCGGAATTGATAGATCCACGTCATACAAGGAACATGCCACTGAGACATGTTCCTTGTATGACGCGGAAAATCTTTAAAAAACCTGAAGAGAAAATATGTAGTGGGCCCTTAAACATATCACGTGACCAACCCGGTCTGAGCAGTACTGCTTCTGAAAGATTTATAATTGAAGGAGACCGAGACTAACCCGGTCCGAGCAGTACTGCTTCTGAAAGATTTATAATTGAAGGAGACCGAGATCTCGTTAGTTCAAATAATTTTGCAGCTGGACCCCATAGCCCTTTATTACAAGAAAATATTATACCAATTACGGCATATTGATAAGAAAGATTGAATATGATTTTTATTATGATTGTTTATTGATTGATATTTGATGTGATTGATTGATTTAATATTTGAAATAAATATAATATTATTTTTTGGTATTGATTTTTTATTGATTCGTGTTCAGTATCAGTGGTATAGTCACCTCCTACTAACTTACTATTTACGTATTATTCGTGTACACAAAACATTTCGTAATATTGTATAACGCAGTCATACTTTGAATACAGTTGTTTCATCTGATTATTATACGTATACTACAGAAGATACGCGTCGAGCGAGCGCATAGGTACACGCGCGATCGTTTTCGATGTGAGGGGAGCGGGCAGGGGAGCGCGGGTGAATTCTTAAATTTTCTGTTTATTATTATTATTTAAAAAAATTGTGGGGAAACCTTGTGTATATAACAAGGGATACAACACCATGCACCACTTACATGTTTTCGCAGTTCTACATCTACAAATCTTGTAATGATTTAAGAATATACTAATAATTTAAAGGAACTGTTCAATTATAATAAATTTAAATGTAAAAGGTAAATGAAAGGAGAAACTAAAGAGACAAAAACCGAAATGGTAAAAAAATAAGCAAAAGTTGTACAGTTCAATCATATTAGCCCGAGAACCATGCATCTGTTAATATTCAGTTAAATTGGTATAGTTTAGAGATACATAGATCTACGAGTAATCATTGATATACATTAACTCACTGGGTCTAATTGTGGAAAGCCAACCAGTCCGTAAATTCCTGCCAAAGAATGAGTTCTGCCTATAGTTCGATGAACATAAAGGAGCATCTAGATATGCATGATATCTAGTCATCCTGTTTGGTACTTTAAGATTGATTTTAGATAATAAGGTAGGTGAATCGATAACGTTCTGAGAAATTTTGACCAGACTGCCAGACTTCTGCCAGCCATTTTGCGCAAATCGTCACTCCACCTGGCCTGTGGGCATACTACACTACGTTTGGCGAGACGCGGTCTTAACTCAAGAACTTGTTTTCCCCAGCGGTTGTCGGTTCTGCGGCTAATATAGCCAGTCCACTGCCACTTCAGCTTGCTGATTAGGTTGGCAGGAGCTGTATGCAAGAAGCCCAAAATCGATCTAAGTGGCGTGCAATGGGAATGGTTTATGTCCAGAGGTGGACTGCGATAGGCTGATGATGAAGTGATATCTGAAATGCACCTTCTTCTTCACACAATGGTAAGATATGATGTCTTCGACAACGCGCTTCGTATGTTGGGTCGTAACACTTAGTAAATCGTGTCAAAAGTTGAGCTCAAACTTTCTGAGTCTTTGAAATAGTTTGAAGCGTACACAAAATCAACTTAACATTTAGTTATATATACCTACGTAAGTTTTTGATTTTATTTATGTATGACTTCATGCACAAATATGTACTTCGGCGGAATTAATGTCTAAGGCATTCTCTGCCAGTCGACCGATTGGGTGATGCAGAGAAAGAATGAGTTAGGTGCATTTATGGGGATAAATGATAGAATTCTTATTCAGTACTATTTGTCCTTCGAATAGACTTATATAGGTCGGACAACGAGACAGAATAGCTCTGTCTCGTTCGTGTGGCAGTACAGTTAACTAGATATACCAGTTATACTTGACTTTTATTTCCTTAGATGATTTGTCTCAGAGAGTAAACAAAATCGTTATGTTAAGACGTCTACGTTACCTTTAAATGTGATATAAGTTTTTATAATGAACTACGTATCAATATTATTCGCATTCTTCGCTCCTCCCTACGTGGTGTTTGCACGTAAGTTTTGATAACATTTCGTATAAGGAAACAACTTACAATTAATTTTGTGATTTGTTGATGATGTAAATAAAATCTTCTAGCTGTTAAAAGTTAGTCAATGTCTAGCAGAATTTGTTTTAAAATACTGTACAATAAATAAAATCAATAGTAGTAATTCAATAAACTACAGTTAGTTGTAATTTAAACTTGATTTAGTTGTGATTTGTAAATCGAACTTAAAAGTTATAGGTTAAAATTATTTCAAATGCATTTAACAAGAACATTACAAATAAAAAACATAGAGTGACGAAAGTTACAAGCAAATACGCCTGTATAAAGTGACATCAATGAGAAATAATTATGTAAATACACGGGAATCAATTCCAGCAATTCAAACGTATGTATCTTATTCTGTGATCCTATTAATTACCGTGTTAAGTTAGGCAACAAGGCAGTCAGTATCAAGATGATAATTTACGGCAGTTTCTGATTGCACGGAACAATTTGTGCTAAAATAGTAGAGAATTACTACATAATAGAATTGGTTAGAGTTTAACATAAAAGAATATGATAATTTTAAATTTTATACGATTAAAATATACAAATATAACTAACATATTTTTGTCTATTGACTGGTATGCAAAAATGTGTAATGTATAAAGGAAGGCCTTGTGACAAAACCAATTTCTTCCGGGATACTTTGATTTGTAAATAAATAATGAAATTAGCTTCGTAATCAATAAAGATATATTCATCTTCTTCATATTATAGAACAAGGACCTTGCGAGATACCTTTAAACGGTGGCCAAGGGCAATGCAAGTCAATCTTCAAGTGCCAACCGTTACTGTCTTTAGTCAATCAAGCGAAGAAAAAGCTGCAAGAAAAAGATCTGCTACACAGGTCATATTGTGGTATAGATGATGATACACCAGCTGTAGGTATTTCACATATTTCATTTTTCATGCTCACACTTGAATACATCTTTGGTGACATGCATTTGGCGATATCCACAAATTTTTGATGCAATTGAAAATTAGTTTGCGATATTTCGTCACAGTTAAAATTGAGTTAATGATCATCAGGTCTAAACATGATTGTATTGTAGGTGTGCTGCCCTAAACATAATGAGACACAACCGTGCATTACTCCAGAAGGCAAGCCAGGCCAATGCATCAGCTTGTACTCTTGCTCTCAATTTACAACTTTGCTAATGCAACCTCTAACGAACGATATAAGGGAATTCGTGCGGATTTCAAAGTAAGTAAACAATATTAGATGCCGAGTAAAAAATATCATGATTATGATCAAGAAAACCATGAATGTAATCATCTGTTTGGAATATTGAATTCCCCCCAGTTGATTTCCTACGACTAGGTAATATTAAGACACGGTATGCATAAGTAACGAGTTAAATATGCCATCTTCTCTGATTTTGAGTTTGTCGTTAGTGTCATATTTATTGTTTTGACTAAATAAAGAATTGCTTATTTTGATTCGAACCATCAATGAAATTCACTATATATGAGTACATGGTAGGAATTGGAATATTTTGTACGTTTCTTAAATCTTTATTCTTTATTTATTTAAAACTTAATGCACATCTTGTACAAAGGCGGACTTAATGCCATTAGGCATTCTCTCCCAGTCATCCTTCAGGTGATGTATATATGATGTATATATATATGATGTGTATATATACTCGTATGATGTGGTTTAACTTGGTTTAACCAGCTATCTAGTGATTTATTGTTACTATAAACATAATTGTTCATAATATTTATATTTTGGTTTTGTATTGCTGTTTTATATCATGTATAGTCTGTTTTTTAATCTCGTAGACTAAACTGACATTACGAGTGTTGTCAGTTTATTGCAATTCTTAAATAGTGATGTGGCACAACCGAAACTTAGCGTTAATAAAATCAAGTATCGTTTTTTTACAATAAGTTATCCTGAAATAATGTGTTTATCCTGAAATAATGTGTAGGTACTTATTTAAAACGTAATAATACAACATTATAAAGTAAAACATATATTTTTAATTACATAACTTAATTACAGGTATTCGCGTTAATCTGATTCAGATAATGACTCTGTCTGAGGAATATTCTGAATCATCAGAATCGCCACCTACTTCTATGATAAACCTATCAGTAATGTCGTCGGTTATATGGCCCAGATGACACATTTGATCTTCAATTTTAATTACATGGACTACACAATCTTTCCACCGCTGCGGGGTCACTTGACGAAGCCCTTCTTCAAAAAGGCTTCGTACTTCATTCATTTTGAATGTTTTGTTATTTTTAGCGACATGCCCCTTTACTTGAGCCCAGACCAACTCAATCGGGTTTAGCTCATAGCCATCTCGTCGACGACATACCTTTCATGGGCTTTTTTGTGCTTTCGGGCAATTTCATTTAATTCGGGCTTTAACATTGTCTCGTCATATGAAATATTTTTTGATTTTAGCCAATCTTGGATTTGCCCTTTTCGCCAACTAGAAGTAGGTAACGATTCCAGTTTCCAGGTGTGATATGGAGCATTATCTATTACAAGTACTGCGTTTCCTTTTAATTTCGGCAAAATATTTTTTAACCAGTTTTCGTAAATATCAGAAGTCATCTCCTTGTGGTAATCATCTAACCCCTTTTTCGCTTCGAATATTAATAGACTATCATCCACGAAACCCTCTTCGCTTCCAACATGGGACACTACAAGTCGTCTCCCCTTGCCTGAAGGCCCTTTTAACCCAGTGGTTAACCCTTCTAAGAAAGCCTGACGTGATGATTTCACACTGGTGTCCACCCAGTGCTTATTCTCAGTATGACCTAAAATGAATTAGTATGTGTGTGAACAAAATAATAAAAAAACATAAATACCTACCAATATAATAAAAACGACAGTCAAACGACAGTGTGTACGTACGTGAATTTTAAATATAAAACTTTGAATGAAAATTAAATTCGTCTATTATAAATAAAAAGTTACGATTCAACAAACCGGTATCGTAGGTCCAACACTGCACAAAAGTGCTGGCAACATTATTTGTAAATTTGACATTTGCATGTGTCAATTTAGTCTACGAGATTAAAAAACAGGCTATAATTGTAGTTGATATTTTTTCAGATGTGACGGTATGGACCAATACAGTGTGTGCTGCGGGCCCATCCCAAACTTTGACATTGTCAAAGGAAACTGTACACTTACAGCTTTCCCACCTGATCCCAGGACTGAATGTTGCGGGGTGGATAGCAGATACCAAAATAAAATTATAGGTTAGTTTTAATATGATCAAAAGAAAACCCAGAACAATAAGGTATAGAATATCTCATAACGGACGTAACGCGCTAAGTGCAATATTTTTTTAAACTAATAAAATCGGGACTTTCTTAAGATTATTGTCTATCAGCTCAAAACTTCAAGACTATCTCCTCTCATTTGTGGAAAAGTATATTTATTTATTTAATGGGTATGGTAACGGAAACAGATCAAAACATTCAGAATTATGTTGACAATATTTACTACTTTAAATATTTATAATATTTTTCGTATCAGGCAGTTTTTTTCCTGAATGAAATGTGTACCCTATGTCATTTACAACAATGACTTCACAATGATCGGATGATACTGCATCATATAAGCTCGACTACACAGATTTAGATTTTTATTCATTACGAGGCATGCCTTTTAAGTTTTGTCGTTTGAAGAAAATAATACAACTAGAACCTTATAGTACTTTTTATTGTTTTTCAAAGTATTCACCATGTAGCTTAATACACTTTTCCATTCGCCCAAACCAGTTACTCTAAAGTGGGGGTGTTCAAAATGGCTGACTTGAAAGCGTCGACTGCTTCTTTACCGTACTGGAACCTTTGACCACGAAGACTTTTCTTAATTTTAGGAAATGTAAAGAAATCGTTAGGGCTTAGGTGGAGGATGGTCAAGAATTTCTACTTTTTCCTGCTTCAAGTACTCAATCGTTTGACGAGCGGTGTGTGAGCTTGCGTTATCGTGGTGCAGGATGATGCGTCGCTTTGAGTTAGATTTTCGAAGTTCGGCGATGACTTGTGGTAAAAAAACTGTGGTATACCACTCTGCGTTAACCGTTCTACGATCTTCAAGTGCAATAGTCCCAACATGGCCGGTTTTTTCAACGAACGTGGCCACCATCTTCTTTGAAGTGTTTCGAGAAGGAACAACTTTAGTCGGCTTTGGCTCGCCTTGAAAGACCCAGATTGTAGATTGTTGTTTGGAATCACGATCGTAGGTATAGATCCAAGATTCGTCACCACTGATGATACCGATGTCGTATACGTGATTTCACTCTCCTCGGTTGAGCCTTTGCAGAGTTTTCTTACACCATCCGACGCGGGCCGCCTTGTGATCTTCTGAATGATTGTCCCTGAGATGCCTAATAGAGCCTCTATCTCTCGATACGTCACATGACGATCTTCGAGAATTAGTTGTCTCACAGCAATGATGTTATCTACAGTGAAGGCGGATTTTGGGCGTCCTTCGCTAGATTTATAACTAACACTAGTATGTCTACGCTGGAATTCTAAATACCAGCGTTCGACAGTCCGCAGACATGGGGCTTCATCACTGAACACAGATGTTAGCTCTTCAAAACACTGAAGCCGTGTCAGGCCTCTTCTAAGGTTGTAGAAAATTATTGCACGAACATTTTCCTTAGAAAGATTCATTTTCGTACGTAACCTGACAGATTCCAATCGACGCTGTGACTAAACAATAGCGTTAATCCTAATACTTTCAACTGTTTTAAGATTCAAAATTTAAACACATTCGAATATAGAACAGTTCCAAATTCAAAATTGCCGGGAAATATGCAAACGACGGAACTTAAAAGGCATGCCTAGTAGTATACTACTAAATATAGTAATATTTCCTTAGAGTAGAACTTCTTATTCTTTCAATAATCTTTGAGGAACTGTACATTTATCCATGTTCTAATGTTCAGTATAATATGTCTTCAGGCGGTACGGCGACAGACATCGACCAGTACCCATGGTTAGCGATGTTGGAATTAAATAAAAATGGTAAGCAGAGGTCGTTTAGCATGGGAGCCCTTATCAGTGGGAAATATGTTGTGACTAGCGCCTCAATAGCTGTTAGCGATACTCTTGGCAAAATGTAAGTATTCTATATTTTTGTTCGACATTACTTTTTCCTCATTCCTCTTTCTCTTAGTTAGGTAAAACTCCAATCTCACTCAAAATCAATCGGTAAAACTCAAAATCAATTTACGACCAATTTTACCTGTTTGTGCTGAAAATTTTCACAGAGCACAGAGAGACACAGAGCAGTCTATTTCTTGACTAATGCACTGTGCCATAGCGGCACAGTGCAGAAGATAGTAGGGATAGCAGCTATTGCTACCATACCTAAATATATATTTGTAGGTCAACATGCAGCATACATATATCTATTAGGGATTTAGGGGTTTGTGTTAACACTGAGCTAAGATTTCGTGATCACATAGTGAAATGCTGTAAAAAAGCTTATAGGAATTTGGGTTTTGTTTTACGAACGGTAAAGGACTTTAGAAACCTAAATACAATTATAGCATTGTATAACGCGTTGGTAAGAAGTCAGCTAGAGAGTAACGCAGTCATCTGGGCACCACATGAAGCTAAATATAGCCTCATGTTGGAGCGAGTTCAAAATAAATTTGTTAGGTTTTTGTACTTCAGATACTATGGAGTATACCCATTGTATCCATTAATGTATACCACGTTATTTATTATGGGTATGGTGGGATACAATGAACTGAGGGTCAGAAGGGAACTCACACTCGTCTCGTACCTGTTTAGGGTACTTAGGGGTGGGATACATAATGAAGACGTGTTAGGACGAGTCAGCATATGTGTTCCGGACAGATACGTGTGGCGGCGCCGCCGGCCGCCGCTGCTGGCTGTCCCGTGCGGGCGCACCAACCTGCAGAGAGAAGCACCGCTGACGCGCGCACTACGTACTCTGAATATAATTGCGGACGAAGTAGATTTATTTTATTGCTCACTGAGTGAATTCACAATAACAGCATTAAGAATTATTTCTTATAATAAATAAGTAGATGGTATAACACTATTGCATTGGGCTAAGCCTGTAAAAATAGTTGTTTTTAAAGAAAATAAATAAATAAATAAATCTTCTATACAAATAAATAAAATTCAAGTGCCCGTTTGTAATGTAAAAAAAAGGGTTTTTTCATGCTCACACGGTTATATGCACGATACCTATGCCTAAAAACCAGTTTATTTATTTTTTTGTCTGTCTGTCTGTTTGTTCCGGCTAATTTTCTAAACGGCTTGACCGATTCTGATAATATTTTACATCAGTAACCAGAGTAACTGAGGCTATTTTGCCTCTCAGAAAAACTTTTTTTTTTAAGTTGTCAGGACCTGGAATCGAACCCACTAAGGCAGCGCTTTTCAAGTTCCACGCAAACGAAGTCGCGGGTACCAGCTAGTTAATACTATATTTGAGCACACATAAGTCTAATCCAGCAGCGTGATACAGCTATCTTTAAAAAAAAAATAGTGTTTAAGAAATTCTTTCTGTTTCTTTTCACTGAGTTAACTGAGACGGAGATGCCAACACTCCCCTCTACCCTCCCTTATGTGTGGGTGGCTAGTGAGTTCTCATGGGTAGAAACACTATTGTGTTTCTTGAATTATACAAGTACATATGCAGTAGCAGTCACTTATCAACAGGTAACCATTACACATAGAATATGTCAGAGAAAATCAAGTGATTTTAAAAGTATTATTTAATTATAGTGTAAACATTGTTCTTGGAGAATATGACACCAGTAACGAAGGTCCCGACTGTGTTGAAGTTGATGGTGGTGGTGTGGACTGTACTGAAGGTGCTATTAAAATACCGGTTGAGAGGATTATACCACATCCCCAATTCAATGCAAAAGAGCGGATTAATGATATATCATTGATTAGAATGAAGCAAAATGCACCCTATACAGGTTTGTCTGAAATGTGCTCTTTACTGTTATTGATTATTGATATTTTGACTGGGTGGACCGTGGGTGTAGTAAGAGCCGACTAAGGGCGTAAAACAACGCAGGACACCAGCACTGCAAAAAGAAGGAAAACTTGACACAAACCCGCGACTGTCGGCATCAGGGCGACAACTAACATGGGCACTGAAAATCAGTACTGAGGTGGTATCTATCCACCACAGTGTACACTGAGGGTCCACCTATTTTCTGAAGCACGGCGTATAATCCTCAGCAACATTTAAGGTTTTTTATGGTACACAGGTTGATAAGTATTAGTTTATAATTACTAAAATAGTTATTATAAGTAAAATTATATGGACGCGTGGTTGGATACGTGGCACATTCATGTGTCATGTCAGTTCTGTCAGAAATGAAAGATTGACACATTGAAGAATGTTGCCGTTATCAAACCTTACTTGATTTTTAGATTCTTTGTGTATGTTGTTTTTAACTTTTGTTTTATTTTTGTATGCTGTGCTTTATGAAATAAGTATAATTATATTCTATTCTATATCAACCCGTCTGGAAAGCCTGGTATAGTAGGCCAAAACCTCCTTTCTTGGGTCTGTATCCAGCAGTGAACTATTAAAGGCTGATGATGATGACTGCTATTGATACTTTACGACGACTTTCGACACGAAAAACAAAGAGCTTTATATGACCATAAAAGTGTGTAGATTTGTAAGTTTGGATATACGCAGTAAAATTAAGGAATTACTGATACTATCTTCTTCTTTTGCCTTCTAAAAATATACTAATATCTATACCAAAAAAGTTAAAAAACACACATTAAAACCTATTAGTAACCTATTAGACAATACGGAACAGATACACGATTTTAGTCTAATTTTAAATTCATCTTGTTGCTTTGAAGCTTGAGTGCGATTTGATGGTCAAATCAGTGAACCGCCTGATAGAGACACATGGAGTTAAATTTAGAATAAATTCGTTTTAGGCGTAGCACAAAATATAGTTTTAGTAGTTTCGATTCCGAGACACCGTCAAACCGCAAACAACAGTGGCATAACGACCCAAGAAGGTTTTTACCAAGCAAAAACGAATAAATTATTATGTTTACAAAAATACTTTATTTTTCAGACTTTATCCGACCAATCTGTCTCCCTACCGCAGATGTTACGTTAAAATCTGAACATTTTTATTTGGTTGCTGCCGGTTGGGGTGCAATTAGTGTAAGCCAATCCTCGACAAACATAAAACATTATGTGTATCTACCTCACGTAAGCCGGGACGTAAGTATATGAACATATATTTATATATACTGTCTATATATTTATATATAAATGCAATGTCAGCCAATGTACGTTAATGCGTTATTATGTAAACAAATCAATGTCCAATTATGGCAATGATATCTGGGACTTAGCTTTTATAAACTGTGAGTAAAGACAAAAAGGTTATTTTAAGATTGCACATTCGTAATTGAAAAACGTGATGGAAGGACAGAAAAATCTTGATTCTGAAGATTTTCTTCAGAATCAAGATTTTTCTGTCCTTATCATAACTTTATTTGAGGTCAGTAATCCGGTAATCCGTGTGGTGATGAATTGGGAATATGGAGTGTCACCACTCTAATTCATCCCGTGGGTGTTGTAAGGGAGTATACTACGCATGACAACAGCACTTAAAGGGAAAGAATCTTGAAACAAACCCTATGCCAACACGTCTGGCCAGGTATAGTAGGCCAAAACCTCCTTTCTAAGGAAAGGCTTATGTCCAGCAGTGGACTACTAAAAGTTGTTGATGATGATAAATTAAAAAAAAACCGACTCACATAACTTGTGACCACGGTCAATAACAATAAAAAATAACAATTATCTCACACACAGGCGACTGATCCCTAACTACGCAGCCTGTCAATCACTTCAAAGGCATTTTTATCATCTATTATGTGACACGTTAATACCTGTTTATTATTAATCTTTTATTTCCAGCAATGTCAAAGTGCGTATTCTTCGAGGCCTAGGCTTGTCGAAATAAGGGAGACCCATCTTTGCGCCGGAGGTGATGAGGGAAGAGATACTTGCAAAGGTGATGGTACTCTCATGTACAAAAACGGCATTACGTACGAATATGCTGGAATCGTTAGTTTTGGGGCCGTTCCATGTGGCCTAAAAGATGTACCTACAGTTTACACAAATGTATACAAATACAATAATTGGATTCGAAACAACATTGTACCTTAAGTATTCATCCTCGAATTTCAGGAACTGTTTGGTAAGTAATTAACTTGAAAATATAATATAGAAATATTTCTAATGACTTTTATTTTAACAAACAAAAATATATATAGAGGTCGGTGGCGTAGTAGCTAAGTGTCGAATATGAAGCAAAGGACTTAACAACAGTATAGTACCGACACGTAAGCTTATTCCAAAGCCTACGTGTAGAGAATCTCCACACGCCGAAATCACGACAGAGCTTTTTGGTGAGTTCCAACTAAAGCTACACGACCCAAAAGAGAATAGAGGTTCGTAAACGATTAAATGTTGATATTATAGGAGCAATGTAATGGCACCCGGCTACAGTTTTGCGGGCAGCCATTTTCGATTTTTGTTGGGTAGGCGAAAAACATGTCCCGTATATTCGCTGACACACACGCCTAAGATGCAGTTTGTAAAACTTTTTACGACACCCGACATTTTGAAGTGAAACTTCTTTGGAATCAGTGTGATTTGAAATTCGATCACATGAAAATGCGTCACGATAAAGAAACAAACACATAAATGTATAGGATTAAGTCGGCGAAAGAATAAAATAGAATGCACATTTTTAATATAATATATTGACAGTATGAATATTTTTTTCTTTTTATTTAATACTGGCTGATACCCGCTGCTTTAGTCGATTTCCGGGCCGGGTGAAATTATAAAAGTTTTACTGAGATAAAAAAATGAAAAAAATTAATGTGTGTGAATTGCACACACACACTTTTTTTACTTTTCGGTTCCCACCCAGGACAAATATTGTATGATGAGCACGATCATTTGATCTGTGTCTGGGTGTAACTTATCTACTCGTATAACATGTATGTATTTAAAAATATTTGAGCATGTTTATCAGCCGTCTAGTTACCACAGTCCAGGTTCTGCCTAGTTTAGTATCAGATGGACGTGTGTGAGATGTGTGAAGTTATTATTATTCATGCGGCCCGCTTGTTTGCCTTAGTCTTATTAACTATAGAAAGGCACTTTTGTGACATTTCATATGTGTAGAAAAAAATCTTAGTGAATATATGTAGAATTGTTTATAATGTAGATTTTTTTTAAATATCTTTAACAGTTACGGAATCACAGTTACTACATAATGTTAACAATATAAAATATAAATAGAAACACATACAATTCCGATTTAGGCATTTATAGATTCTTAAGTACCATTTTGTTTATTATTATTATTAAAAAAAATTGTTGGGAAAACTTAGTGTATATAACAACGGATACAACACCATGCACCATTTACATGTTTTCGCAGTTCTACATCTACAAATCTTGTAATGATTTAAAAATATACTAATAATTTAAAGGAACTGTTCAATTATAATAAATTTAAATGTAAAAGGTAAATGAAAGGAGAAACTAAAGAGACAAAAACCGAAATGGTAAGAAAATAAGCAAAAGTTGTACAGTTCAATCATATTAGCCCGAAAACCATGCATCTGTTAATATTCAGTTAAATTGGTATAGTTTAGAGTTACATAGATCTAATCATTGATATACATTAACTCACTGGGTCTAATTGTGGAAAGCCAACCAGTCCGTTAATTTCTGCCAAAGAATGAGTTCTGCCTATAGTTTGATGAACATAAAGGAGCATCTAGATATGCATGATATCTAGTCATCCTGTTTGGTACTTTAAGATTGATTTTGGATAATAAGGTAGGTGAATCGATAACGTTCTGAGAAATTTTGACCAGACTGCCAGACTTCTGCCAGCCATTTTGCGCAAATCGTCACTCCACCTGGCCTGTGGGCATCCTACACTACGTTTGGCGAGACGCGGTCTTAACTCAAGAACTTGTTTTCCCCAGCGGTAGTCGGTTCTGCGGCTAATGTAGCCAGTCCACTGCCACTTCAGCTTGCTGATTAGGTTGGCAGGAGCTGTATGCAAGAAGCCCAAAATCTAAGTGGCGTGCAATGGGAGTGGCTTATGTCCAGAGGTGGACTGCGATAGGCTGATGATGAAGTGATATCTGAAATGCACCTTCTTCTTCACACAATGGTAAGATATGATGTCTTCGACAACGCGCTTCGTATGTTGGGTCGTAACACTTAGTCTTACACTGCAGATCCTTCAGAAACCTACGCTGGATAGATTAAAGTCTCTCCCTGTAAACTTTGTATCGTGGATTCTACACTTGCGAGCAATACTCGAAGACACTACGCACCAGCGAGCAATAGAGCACTTATAACACTTTTCCATTTTTAAATTGAACACTTGATTATATACTTGCTTTTACTAGCGGCTCTGCCCGCGTGGTTATCGCGGTAAAAAGAAGTCGCACACAGGGATAATAATATATACCTATAAAAATATATATTTTTAACTATGATTGAATTCAAAACCGGATCAGTAGTACCGGCGATTACCCTGAACATACAAACTCACAAACTTTACCTCCTTATAATATTAATATATATTATATTACATTTAATCCTCCTACATATCTCTTACAAGATATAATAGATAAAAGTGATAAGTAAATAAAATCAAAAATGGTCAAGTCACATTGTATTTATTAGTTTGAGTTCCGGGATTCGGATTATTAGCTTTCATATCAAAAATAATCCTTGAAAAAAGGGGTAGAAGTTTGTATGGGGAATCATTAACTGCTGAACCTTTAGATGTAATTTGGTATGGAGATAGCTACTTTTTGGGCTACGACATATACGCGGACGAGCCGGCAAAAGCTAGTTATTGTATAATTATTTTTTACTGCTTAATACCATTTGTTCAGTTTTTTAACAATTGTATGTAAATAAAGTTGAGATACAGCACACGCAATCGTCTGATCTCAAACTAGGCTGAACCTGCAACCTGGAAATCAGACGTACTCGTAATTACATCTAGAGAAGATGACAAAATTATTTGTACAGCGTGGGAATCGAACCCACGACGGCGGCAAAGTTTTGATAAACGTAATGCTATATAATATATCCTAGTATTTACTAACTACTCTTTACAACTTAGCGGACCGTAAACAGTTCGCATAAATAGGATATTCCAAGTACCAGTATGAAGTCACTCGTAATACCGGTCAGACTTCAATATTATCATACTAACTAACCAGTAGTTCGATATCATGTTTTATTTGTACAGAAATAAAGTTTAAATTAGCATTTACGTAGTCTTGAGTTCTATTGACCGTCGCGTCGACGTCATTTTGTATGAGAGGAGTATTTGATGGCCAGTAACCGCGGAGGGCGGTAGATTTTTATTTCAAAACATAACCGGCTTTCGCACGGTAAAGACGTATTTTAAGTTAGTGTTAAATTTCAAACGCTGTGATATTATCTAAAATGAATAGTTGTACAATATTATCAGTTTTATTCGCCGTTTTCTGTGTTGTGAATGCACGTAAGTTTTTTGTTTTATTATTTTGAAGGAATCGTGTTTAGTCAAGGTTAGATTAGTAAAATATTTAATTTAATAACGTATGTTTTACGTTGTTATTCGTAGCAGTGATTTATAAAGTAATTTTAATATAGTATATAAACATTAATACAGCAGCTCCCAAAGAATAAGATCCTGTAATACTGTTAGGTTCCCATGTCGGTAGCACTTCGATGCTGTCCTCAAAGGCATATACAAACAAAAAACCTAAGAGCTGCGTAGAAGCTTATTAGTAGTATTGCTTAAATGCTGAAGAATAAATTTTGATCAACTTCTGAATATGAAATATGAGTATAAGGAAAAAGTTATTCTAACTTAAAGTTTTTATTAATTTGCTGCAACACTATATTTGGGTTTAAAATTGTATATGGCACCTCGGAAGAAACAAATACTTTGTATAAGACAAAGATATATACCATGTTTGTTTGTCTTACAGAGTGTTTTGTTTGACTTCATATCAAGCAGAATTTTTTATATTTATAACTTAGTAAAGTTAAAGAATCATCTTCATCAACTCGTCGTTAAACACAATCTGTTGGACTCGTCAATACCAATAATCTCAGCCCTAAACTAAATACTGACTATTATCCGTACAAAAGTGTTACTATTCCTTAAATGACTTTCTAAATGAGCGATTTGATTAAAAATGTTTGACATTACATTTGCTTTCGACTTTGTTCTATTTAATTACTTTTATTGTGCCAACGTATTTTGTACATGTTAATTAATTTATTGTATTTGATTTCATTTAATTATAACCAAATCACCTAAATGAAAATATTTGTACGGCAGAAATTGTAGAATGTTAGAAACTAATGAATATAATATAACCCTAATGTACTATGTTCTAACAAATAAATTTATCTTTATCCACTGAAGAGTTTTACCACCATCTACACACAGTAGACATACTATCAGATCCAAGCTGCCAAGTTTTAGTATTGTCATCCAAACCACATTATAAACGAATGTTGGATTTAGGCATTACAATAAATGTTTTAAAATCGACTTCCAAGATTTATTTACACATGAAATTAATAAAGCGTGTTAATCAGGAAACTGATAACTTTGTTGAATAAAAAAACTTATGAAACTTTTATAAGAGCATTAAAGTATATTTTTTATGTTACGTTTTCAGTTTCCTGTACAAATAGATGTATATGTTGGTCTAGTGTAACTCTTACTGCTAAGCCACGGGTCGTAGGTTCGATTACCACCCAGGACAAATAATTGTGTGATGAGCACGATCATTTGTTCTGAGTATGAGTGTTATTTATTTATAATATGTATGTATTTCAAAATATATGTGTGTTTAACAGTAGTCTGGTTACCAGGCGGCCTAGCTCTGTCTAGTTTTGGATCAGACGGCCGTGTATGAGATAGATGTTTGAGGTTATTATTTTTTATAGTTCTCCTAAACAAGGATAACACAAATTTATAGTGGGATTACAAAGTTATAATCTTGTTCAAACATAACATATAAAAAACCCGAGTGTCGCAAGTCGCAAGGCAATTTATCTACTGCAAAAAGATCTAATTGTTACTTAATGTGTACGTGTTTATATCTTTGTAAAAAACAATAGCTTGTCCATCTCACGGCAACATAATCACATTAGAATAACCACTTTATTTTTAAAAGTCTTTATTTTACATTATTTTCCTTATTTGGGATCAGTACCAATTACACAGTTTGATATGAAAACTTAACTCAAGTATACAATCTGACTAAATGTGTAACCGATAGCATTATCCACGCAAATAATACAATATAAAGGAACAGATTGGTAAAAGAACAAAATTATTAACTATAACTGTATATAAGCGCTTTGCTGTGGCAGATTGTGGTTGAGAAATTAGGAACACAAACGAACGCGAAAACAGATAAAAACCATCTTTGATTGTAAATCGTGTCAAAAGTTGATCTCAAACTTTCTGAGTCTTTGAAATAGTTTAAAGCGTACACAAAATCAACTTAACATTTAGTTATATATACCTACGTAAGATTTTGATTTTATTTATGTATGACTTCATGCACAAATATGTACTTTGGCGGAATTAATGCCTAAGGCATTCTCTGCCAGTCGACCGATTGGGTGATGCAGAGAAAGAATGAGTTAGGTGCATTTATGGGGATAAATGATAGAATTCTTATTAAGTACTTATTCGAATAGACGTATATAGGCAATGATATATTATTCTATTTATAGTATATTTACCAGGATTAACACATTTACATATACATACATACGTACACTTTAAATTTACTACACTACAAATTTACTGAAGCACAAAAAAGATTACTATTAATAGGTAACGACACCGATGACAGAGGAACGATAACATTTTTTCTTAAATGAATACTAGATGAATTTAATATGTCAAGGTTATGTAAACATTTATTATACTCGTAACTGTTAACGATTTCTTATATGTGTACTCTTTCAACAGCAATCGTTTACGAGTTTTAACGAAGAACAAGGAATTTGTAGATTACTATGAATCTTATAATTTACAAGATGTACCCCGCCACGGATCGCCGTGGTACATTGCTGTTGAATTGTTGAGAAATTAGACATAAAACTGACGCAAAAAATACATAAAAACCATCGTTGAAGCGCGTTCATCAAATTTGAGCTCAATCGGTTCAGGACTTTCTGAGTTTTTGAAGCGTGTACAAACCAACTCAACATCAATATATTAATAGATTTGCTCAGTTAGTTCTCGGCAATCATAAATAAATACAATGACCTAAGTATAGTCTTAAGTAAAGGTTAGCGTAGCGCTACTGAGACTTAATGCATACACAAACATTGCCGAGTGTGGCTATTAAGACCATCCATCGAGTCAATTATAATTTATTAAAGAAATAAAGATGTCTAATATATCGGTGTAAAAAAACTTGTTTACTCACAAACTGAGTAACAATAATACCTTACAATTTTTTGCTATAGCAGAACTGCGTTACGATTTGCGAGACTTGGTTTTTTTTATAATGTATGTTTTTATGGGCACACATTTCATTCTCATAGACATATTAAAGGAAACATCTACCTGTATCCAGTATTTCTTGGTATAGTGACTAAAAGTTACTGTAAAAATAACTTTGTAATCCAATATTATAGAATTACAAAGGTACTTACGATATTTATACTCGTATATCTAGATCATCATCGTCATCAGCATTTAATATCCCATTGCTGGACATAGGCCTCTCCTTATAAAGGAGGTTAGGGGTCCCTATACCACGCTGCCATACTAGTTGGTTTTGTTGTCAATATACTAGGACTACAGTTTTCCGTGTGGTGACGGATTAAGAATACAAATTGTCACCACCCCAATTCATGCCGTGGGTGTATTAAGAGCCGACTAAGGGAGCAAACTAAGCAGGATAACAGCACTGCAAAGAGGAAGAAAACTTAAAAAAAACCCTATACCAACCCGTCTGGCCAGCGTGGTATAGTAGGCCAAAACCTCCTTTCTAAGGAGAGGCCTATGTCCAGCAGTGGACTAGTATAGGCTGTTGATGACAATTGAAACATGTCTGGGTTTATGCTTTCTTTACAGGCTAAACACTATATGTATAAGGTTTAGGTTAGTTAACGTTGAAGTCAGAAACAAAATTAAGAAACTTTGGCTTGCAATAGTTCTTAAATTGCAGGTTTAAAGTAAAATTATCTGTATGTGGTAATGTAAGAATATACTTAGTTACATTACAACTCTCTTAGTCAATGAAAAAAAAGCTTTAAGACGAACAAGCTGTCTAAAATGTTCTGAATGGTTTCGAGAAAGTTACAGTACGGTTGTTTCTTTATTTATTTTTCTTATATGGGAAACACAGAGCAGCTCTGTTCGGTTCAACTGCGCCATGAATGCTTCCTCATAAACAGAACAATACGTGGGGATTTCAACAAGGCAAAACTCACACATACCTATAGGATAACAGGCTGTTGTCGTATAAGTTTAATAATAACATGTACAATGTCCTTTTTAGCTGTAAGTTTTCCAAACGTAATATAATAAAATAAATAAATAAAATAATAATTTACAACCTCCCACATCTCACACACGACAGTCTGATCCCAAACTAGGCAGATCCTGTATTATAGTAACCAGACTGCTAATAAACATATATATTTCTAAAAACGTACATATTATAGCTATTCGTGGTCATCGCACAATTATTACTCCTAGGCGGGAATCGAACCCACGACCTCCAGCTTAGTAGTCGGGGTCACGAATCACTAAACCACCAGTCAGTCAGCTTAAATTTCTTCGTGGATAGGCCCATTATTTGTATCATCATCAACAGCCTTTAATAGTCCACTGCTGGACATAGGCCTCCCCTTAGAAAGGAGGTTTTGGCCTACTATACCACGCTGGCCAGACGGGTTGGTATAGGGTTTGTTTCAAGTTTTCCTTCTCTCTGCATTGTTGTTGTCCTGCGTAGTTTTCTCCCTTAGTCGCCTCTTACGATACCCACGGGATGAATGTCATACAAATAATGAATTATTTGTATGACTCACATTATTAATGAGTCTCGATTGATAACAGATCAGGCTTTATTCTTGGTATGGGATTACATTTAGTAAAATCCCGCTGGAAAGACGGATATTTTGTTATTAAGGAAATATGCCAGGGTAACAACGCACTTGTAACTTTGGGTTGCAGGTGTCCATGGGCGGTGGTAGTCAGTTATAGTCAGTAGAACCGCCTGCTCGTTTGCCGCCTATGCTATAAAAAAACACAGGAAATCATTGTCTTAGGATGATAAAACGCACCTTCTGTGTTTCGCCCTCATGCTGATCGGGTGTGGAGTTGAGACAAAAACTTTAAAAAAAAATCTCATATTCGTATTTATAATGCTACGATTATACGTCGCTTTGTTATCCATTGCCGGTGTTAAAAAGCGGCTGGCGAATGCCAAGGACACGAATTATAAAACAAAAAAGCAGTTGCAATCTCAG